GAAAAAATATATTCTCTAACCTCAGAGCGTGGGTGAAGTCGATGCTATTTACATATCCCGTAAGATGACTTCCCCGTTGCTTTTATTTCAAAGGTTTCCGGTTAGCTTTTTTAAAATTTCCTCTTTGGTTAGGTCTAGGGTTCAAAGAACTTAAATCTAAAAGCTTTATTCTGCAAACCATTTTTTACTGGACTACGTGTTGGCAACGATTGCCTGTTAATTTAATTAGCTACACAATTACTCGCTCAACCATTAACCAAGTAACCTGAGCTCTCTGATGCAACATGTACAATCCTATGTGTGAGGATTAATTAACTAAATCGGAAATAAATTTTGCTTAAAAGCATTTGCTTCAAAATATTCGAGTCTCTTCCACATACTCTTTACAAAGGAAAAAATGTTTGAAAGAATTTATTTTTAAAACAGCCTTTGCGGTAGAGAGAAAAAAGCGGCAATTCTAAAAGTATTTATGCCTTCGATAAACAAAGCATCCATAAACGTAAGCGTCTCCATTGGATAGTTACCATAAGTGAGCAATACCTCGTTAATAAATTATTCAAGTATGCCATTGAAATAAAATTCTATGCGAAATCCGCACTAGATTTTAGGAATGAAAATTTATCTGAACAAAATTTGCCGTAGTCACGGAAACTCTCGGAGTATATAAGCTGAAAAGAACTGCAGTAGATAAAGCTTTCCAAGGAAATTACCACTTGGTTATATTTCTCGTCGATTTTGATGGCTTCACTGTAAATGATCTAAGAATTGGAAGAGAACTTCATCACAAAAGGTGAGGAATCCTTAAAAAGCATTTCGCCAGCTAAACACGGAAATTAACCAATTATGATTACTTCTGTTTTTCGTAACTGTCGAAGCCATATCCTTTGAACACTTTCTCTCAACTTAAAACCCACAGTGTGGGCTTGCACCGCATGTTTAATGAGACTTCTTCCTTTAGGGCCGATATCATACTGAACATTTGTGATTCGGTCAACGCCAAAACATTGTTTTTATTTCCGTGTGTAGATTGATTGCCTTGCAGAGCTGTTGGCCGCGATTGTTGACTAAAGGAAAGCTGAAGAAAAAATTATACCATTTTTACTTTTACAGGTAAGTTATTTTATAAGTGATACTGCGCTGTTTGCTGGCTGTGTCACAAAGAAACAAGCATTCGCCAAAAACAAGCCAATAAGAGGAAATGTCATGAAACACCGAAAAGTTACTTTTCATATAGGACCGGAGACAAAACGATAAGGATGTTAATGAATTAAGATGTGACTGAAAAACTCTTCTTCTTCAGACTAAGTAAACCTTACGAGTAAAGTTTAGGGGGAAGGAAAATTATATTACGTAATGAGTTTAGTGAGAGCGGTTGGGTAACTAGGAAAATGAAAGAAGAAATTTACATTTAAAATGCTATCGGTTTAAAATCAGATGAGGGATTGAACGCGTCTTGCACAGATACATTAGCCTGAGATTTCTTGTTTTTCTTTTGTTGTTAAGTTTTGTTTTCTACAATTCTGATTTTATCTCTTTGTACACGAGAAGACCTTTGTACAAAAGCGGCCCTTTTGAAAGCCATCTAAAAGCAATCTCAAATGGCTGGTTTCTAAATTGGCAGGCTTAATGAGAATAAACTTATTTTGCTTTAAATCCACCTGAAATTCTATCTTCTCAGGCCTATAATTCCGTTAGGTTTAAAGAATCACTTTCTGATTCTGCCGTGCGTTACGACTGATTTGCAAGTCTGCCATGCGCAATTTTTTTTTCATTTTTTTTTTATCTGACTGACTATGTGGATTTTTATTCAGCTCTGCTTTATTACGATCTATAAATGCGTTCGTTTTCGAAGAGACGATATGAACATGACGCTTAAAACATTGTTCCCAACTTATGAGTTCGGCCTATTTTCATACGCCTTCTGATAACTTTTGCGTCGAAAATTCTACGCGCATTTTCAAAACCCTCAAAATTCTTCCGTATCTCTGCCGGAAGAGTTAACAGGTCAACATTGCGTGATGTTGTTTGTAACTATGCCATTCGAAAAAGCTCGAATGGCGTCATTCCTGAAATCTAATGGATTATTTTTCGGAGAGATCAATAAAAGTTGCGGAAGAGGGCTAGCGAGAAGGACGTAACAAATAAAAAATTTATATTTTTCCCGCCGGGCAAAATCGCCTGGAACGTTACAATACTTCTGTTAATTAATTATGAATGGGGCTGAATCGAGCGAAAAAACACGAAACACTTCGCCTGCTCTAAAATTTGAAACTGTTATGACTAAATAAAGCTATGATCAGAGGATAGTCAGTAATTTTTGTTTCTTGGTGGACGATGTTCAACGTCTACGTATCAAATTTTTAGAATGATTTTTCGTATTTTTTGTGTTTTTTAACTTAAAATTGTTTTTAAACGCTCAGGATGCGTTTTTAGTGCCGAAGACGTGCTAAAACTTTTCGAAGATGTTGCATTGAAACTGATTCTTCTTTGTTTCCTTTTTCAAATGGTTTTGGTCCACTTCAAAGAGAAAGCTTTGAAAGCCATGGGCATCGCTAAATACTGAAAGCATAATTACGTCATAAATACAACATGAGTGAAAGGAATGAAGAAGTCGTTATTCTATTGTCCATGTTAAAGCAATTCCCCCTGTGGATAAAACAATATTGCAAGATTTCCTTCCACAGGACTTATTTAAAGTTCCTCATCGATAAAAGCCGGAGGAAATGACGTCAATTTAACTCATTAGAGGCTAAAAACATCTCTTAAGAGAAAATTTGAGCGATCGGAGAGGAGGTAGTTTAAATTTAGATTTCACATTAGCTTTGTTAACAATGAACAATTGTATCTAACACACATGTCACAACCGCATTTACCAACGATAGAATTGTTCGATTCACTTTACCAGATAAGGTTTAATTAGGGTTCTTTTTCTCCCCTAAAAAAGGATAAAATTAGGAATGCCTAACATTCAACTGACCGACAGAAAATCGAAGGCTTAGGCTCGGGTAATTTCTGTTAGCATAATTGTGAGCATAATTAGTTCTAGCATAGTTAATAGAGGAGACTACTAACTATGGTTCTAGATATCATCAGCATGCCGGCAGAAAACTGCCTTTCGAGCAGAGTTCTGAGTAGAATCCCTTAAAAATTAACGGCGTAGACTAAAAACCACTCAAACAAATAGTTTTCAATCTCTGTTTTGCGGAGTTGCTCGTTGCTTTAGCGTCTCAGCTATTAACGTTGACCACCTTATTATGAATGTTAAAAATTACCGCCGTTTTAAAAGGTTGAATCTAAGTTTGTGATCAATGAAAGAATACATGTACATATATGTACATTTATAATTTGAACTCACACGTCTGGTGTACTTATTCATTTGTTGAGCAGAATTTGAAGAGAACTTCGAGTAGAATTTGCGAGTTTTATTGCGACTTTCATTACCTGCTGTGCTGCATGGCAAGCAGAATTTGTTATGTAGCGGCCAAAGGCTAGCCAGACGTATCCTTTAATAAAGAGCATGCCGCTATCAATCAGATTTGCAAAGCCACATAAAACTAGTCCTAACTTTTTATAAGCTTCTCAGAACGCAACTAACGCGCAGACGAGAGCAAAACATTTCCCTTGCAAGCACTCCGCGGGCGAGCACCACTCATGCGTGGTAAATTCCGCGCCAGTCATAATGGTTAAAATAATCTCACGTTACTATGTCAATAGTATTACTACACTATTCTGATAATTTTCTTTTCTCTACGCTTAAAGTAAAGACTCTTAAAGAAGAAGCCTATTATTTTTCTGAGTCTATTTGTCCATTTCGGACAAATGGCAAGCTCTTATATAGTTGCAAAGATGGAAGATAGTCATTTGAGGCCCTGAATGAATTGGTTAAATATCGTAACCGAAACGTATCCATAAGGTTTTTTTGCTGTATTCTTGCCTGCACGCCTTATCTTAAAAGTTTCCGGAACATAGAAACTCGATTTCGGAGCTCTAACAGTTTTTTTTTGTCTCTTCTTGTTTTAAAAATCGATAACCACTCGCATATTTCTACGAGTATTTTCGTCGTATCCTCGTTGAATTTTACCGACATAATCCTGATAAAAATCAATCATACCAAGGCAAACTATTGGCTTTTGCCTCTTATAGTATTGTCTTTTTAAAGTGCAAAAGGAACTTCAACAATGTTTCAGTTGCAGTTGATTACAAATTTACAGATATCTCGATCCAATCGTAGACAAGCAATGTTTTTCTTCACGTGCTATCGCAAACAAAAGAAATAAAGCTCTCGGTTATTAATTCGCTTTAAAATCAAAGAGCTGTGAGAAAGAACCGAAAAGAACCAACTGTCATCTTTTATTTAGTACATTTTAATCCCGCTCATAAAGCCAATGTCATTTCGGTGTACATTATTGACGAAAACGATTGTTATTGAATTAAGTATGCAATAATTTTCTTCGCGGGTACACTTGTAAATAGGTGATCGCGAAAAATCTGCTGGAAAGCGAAATTTACATGTTTTGGTAATATCTTAGTAGAAAGTCAATGGGATAAATTATTTTGGATGCAGGCACTCGATAATTTGTTGTAGCGGTTAATCATGCAATTCTTTCTGTTTCCCGATGTCAGCGAAGTTGCAATCAGACCATTTGGGAACACTGACAAATTCTGACATACAAAAAGATTAAAATTTTCAATTTCCAATTTAACCTGATAGTTAAAGATAAGAAAAGCAATTTAGGGATAACACTCAAGATTTATTCTAGTTGATTTATAAAATGAAATCTCTGAAATGCAATTTTTTTCCTCTGCTCAGGGAAATACGATATTACAAACATTCTGATTACAATATTAAAAAAAACGTGGAAAGGAAGGAAGGCCTTAATTAAAAGATACGTCAAACAAAAAGGAAAGAAACAAAAGAATGAAATTTAAGAAGGACACTGTATCTTCTCCTTTCAGATTTCTCCTTTAAAGAAGAACAAATTTCAGTTGGATTGGACATCATGTCGAACGGCCAAGACCGCCTGGCGCTAAGCATTGCGCAAAGAGATAATGTCTTCGTTGCGGTGGAAGCCACGATACTGATTTTGGTGGACATCACAGCTTTGATCGGAAACATTCTGGTTTTCGCCGTAGCTTATAGAAATCGCCGTCGGCTTACCATCACAGACGTGTTAATCGTCGCACTCTCCCTGACAGATCTACTGGTAGCAACCTCAGTGATGCCACTTTCTGCAGGAGCGCTTATCGCAGGGGTTTGGCCTTACCACAGAGCTGTTTGCCTTTTCCAGGGATTCTGCGTTATAACGTTTGCTACAGCTTCACTTAATACTCTCTCTGTCATTGCCATTAACAGATATTTCTGCGTCGTGAAGCCTAACGACTATCGAACCGTGTTCTCCATGAAAAGAACGCTAGGTTACTTGGTGATCGTGTGGCTACTGGCGTGCCTTTTTTCAGTTTCTACACTTGTGTTTGGTAGGGAAGACTACGCATTCCAGCCCGGCAAAGTTCTTTGCGTGTATCCCTTCGAAATAAACATCGCTTACACCGTTTGTCTCGATGTTATGTTCATTGGAGTGCCAACATCAACCATTGTTTTCTGTTATTGGCGCGTTTTTAAGACAGTGCGAGGGCAAAACCGCGTCATGACGGCAAATGGGGAAGATTCTGCGACCAGGGTCAACGTGCGCGACGCCAATATCACCAAAACTCTGGTAGCGGTTGTCGTTGGATTTGCATTATGCTGGCTTCCCGTGTTAGTGATGGACACCACAGACGTGGTGACAGGCGCTCTTATTCTGCCCCGTCAGATGTACCTGTTCTATACAATCATGGTTTTCTTGTCTTCTACAATCAACCCTTTTATTTACGCGGTTTTCAACAAAAGATTTAAGAGAGAGTTTTTGAAGATTTTCCGACTTATTCTAAACTACCGTGAACAAGTTCACCTGCCATCCGTGAGATCATCTTCTCAGTAATAAACAGGTTTGCGAAACAACAGAATTTCTCTCGAGGGCCAAAAAACTTGAGGGTTTAAAACTCTAACGAGGGCATTACTGAACGATAAACTGATGTTTATTCACGCCGTTGCAAATATGTTCTTAAAACTTTAACAGCATAACTGATAAATCGCAATTTCCTTGACAATAGAAGGGGCTGTGCGGTGATTGGTCTACGCCAGATAGCGACGCGGTTGGAAGGAGCCTTCCTGATAAAAGCCAGCATTTGGACTTCTGTGGATTAGTACTTTCCCCCTTGGATCAGCGTGTTTCCAGCCGTGATTTTTTCCATGTTAAAAGTCCAACTTATTCGAGACAGCATCGCCCTAACAAATGTTGGCTTTGATGACAGCTCTGGGAAAGAATCGAAACCCAAAGAAGAAGGAAAATGGTCTTAATACGACACTACAATTTTGCGAGACCCTCACAGTTTGGAGAGACCATACGCACCCCTAACACGATATTTTTTCATCGTATTACAGTAGGTAGACTGAACTGAAATATTTTCCTACGAGAGTAAATATCTTCTGGAAAATTTTAAGAGTTATTAACTTCTGTCAAGATTAAACAGTGTTCTCTTGCTAAATCTGTAACCTATGGTTATTCAATAGATAACTCTTTGGTGTTTAAAAATAGGATTTTTTTAGGGAGGGGGGATTGGAGGTGGAAGCAATTTTGTATGTAGCACAAAATCAGCGGGTATTAGACTCAAACAACCAACTAGAAAAAGCTGGTTTTTTCTATAAAAAAAACTAGACGTACGAGTTCTGAAGCCGGGAACTATACTTTGAAAGCAATCCAGAGCGATGGAATATCCAGACCGAAGTTGTACCACAAAAACCGCCCTATACAATCATGAAATTAAAAAACCAAATGTCAAAACAGCGAAAACCAACAACCCCAGTGGATTAAAAAACGGAAAAACCATCAAGATTCTAAGAAGATCAATAAAACACCGACTTCAAAATTGATGTAGACGGGTATATATCTCGAACTTATTAATACCACGTTTTGTCTTTTTGACATTTTGTTGCGGGACTATATCTTATTTATCCATTATTATTTTTATATTAATTTTCAATTTAATTTAATCTGCTATCTACAGCAGACTGAAACTCTATGTAAGAGATATAAGCTTAACGAGCAACTGCATTTCCAATAAATTTTAATCAAGATCACAAATACGATACATTTCATATGATAGTTGTCGAATGTAGAGGACACATTGTGCACTAATAATAAAAAAGCTGAATTCTGCCGACAAAGTATTCATCAGATAACATCTATTAATCCTTTAACTCCCAATATTGGATTCAGTTAACTCTCCCTCTGGCTTCACATTTCCTTGTAAATAACTTACAAGAGTTTGGTGTCAGATCGAGATAACAACTTCAACCTGATAAGTTTGAATATTCTTATGACCTGTTTGCTGGATAATGTTTAGATTTTACAGGGAGAAGTTACTTGTTAATCTCTTCTAGGAGTTAAGGAATTAAAAAGCTTAATAAAATCAATAAAATCAATGGTCTTGTCATACCAGATTATTTCAAAGAGCCGAAAGCCACATGGAAGACACACTAAAAATTGTTACTCAGACATCAAATTACAGCGAAGTCAGACGTCCATATTGGAGATAAAATCCATTCTCAAAGCTTTATAAAACAAAAACATACCGATACTGGAGTTGTCAAACTTGCATCAGAAATCAACCAGAGATACACCACGCTTACCAAAAAAGTCAGGAAGTGCCGTGGACCCGATATATTTTCTTTTACGATTCATACTTTTCGTCGAAGTCGTCGGTCCCACCCAGCGGTTCTTCTGATAAATTTAGTGCGACACGTGACAATTGGGGTGTCAGAGATCCCGGAGGTATGACGTCATCTCCCCTCACCGAGCGCCTCACTTTTTTCTCGTAATTAGTGAAACCAAACCTCCGCAGTATAAAGATGAATGGAATAAAGAAACACGACGACAGAATCAGAATGACTATTACAACATATCCCCAATTTGGATATTGAGTCGGGACCACGTCTGCCTGCGATAGGATAAGAAATTGTTTTTATTTAACATCAGTTTTTCACCCCCAAAAAGATGATTTAATTCTCTATTAGGAATGAATGTTCAAAAATCTTCCACTCTGCCAAGTAAAGCAGAACGAAGTCATTGCTCATACGAGAAAAATGGTTTAAATCAGCAGTCGTTTATATGACCACCGTGTTAACTCGGAAGAGCGCCTCGGCCCTTTTTCAAATTTGTTGTTTTTCGTCGCACTTCTCATTTTAAATTTGTTATGTTCGCAAAACAAGCACGGGCACCTTTTTTCGAGGCAGGGCTATTTCGTGTATTTACGGGTAAACCGCATTCCCATAAGCATGAACAAAGAAAGTAAAAGCTGAATTTACTCACAAGTTCCGGATGCCAGGCTGAATAAACGATAGGTTTGATTCCCATGTTTACTATACTAGCCACCAGAATACTGAAAACAAGGAATGGGGCAACAAAGCGCCATGTGATCTTCCAATACCACCCAGGTCGGCTTCCAATCATGTACTCGATATCATCCTCAAACCTGAGGAGAAACGTAAAACAAAAATTAGTCTCAGAGGAAAGCAAACATTGGGCGAACTTGTGGCCTAGCGACTAATGTCCTGAAATACGAGAGAGGTCTGGATTAGAGTCCTTCCACTGTGCTCGCTCCTAGGGTGGGAGGAGAGAGAGGGGAGGTAAGTGATTCTCTTAGTCGCTCCATGCTTTTGGTGTTGAAACCCTGTAAGTGATGGGTAAGTAAGTAAGTAAGTAAAACCCTTATTCAAACACGATGGGGATTAAAACTAAGCAGCTAGTGGAGGAGAAAACATCAAAATATCCTATTTCTAAAATTTTGGACTAAACGCGATAAGACAAACTCAACTTATCAGTCTACCAAGATCTAAAACAGTAGTCCTGCCAACGGACGTCCCCCTTCCTCTTTTTCAACCATGAGGAAAAACAAATTTTGCGAGGGATATTTTGCTTCATTGAATATAAAATACCAAGTCAAACATGGCGTGAAGAGTGAAGCAGGACATGTCTTTGCTCCCTTGCACCGAGCATCAAGTATTGAGGCACTTACTTGGATGCACCATAGATGTAATGAACAGCAATCAGCTCAAAGAAGCCGATGAACAGAACAGGAATGGTTCCACTGAACGAATCAAACATCTGCAGCCAGTACTCGCCGGACCTCTGACAGAATAACAAACCAACCAGGAAACTAGCAACACAGAGGATACCTGGAGATAACATGAATAACGTGGAATATCCGCCATCATAAGCTTTTATCACGAGCTTAAATTTTACCCTAAAACTCCCAAGATCTACGGTCAGTTTCCTCACCCTTCAAGATGTCATCATTTCTCTGTTAAAATCGGACAATAAAAAGAGACGAGAAATAAAATACTTGTGAAATTAGGGAAAGAAAATAAAAAACACATTCTCGGACTGCAGAAGTCAAGCAGGCCTGCAAAGTAAATTTATATGGCGGAATCCACCGTCACGAGCACACTGAAGAGCATTTCAACCTGATTCAGAGTACGGAAAGTCTCGTGTTTCGGTTATCATCAAGGAATGAGCTCTTCTCTCCTAACCTTAACACATATTAATTTTTAAACTTACCATAGTTTCATTTACTTACCAGTGAGGATCTCTTTCCGGCAAGGAAAAATTTGAAGGTCATATAAAGGTGTGAGCGCTCCCTCCAAAGTTCCAAACATACTGCCGAGTCCAAGAGTCAGTAACATGCAAAAAAACAGCACAGCCCACAGCGGGGATATGGGCATCTTCACTATCGCTTCCGTGAAGGCGATGAATGTTAACCCAGGTCCCTGTGCAGACTGGATACAGAAAGGAAAAAATAGCAACCATAGCGTTTAGCTTCTCTTTTCAAAGTTTTTGGCATCTCATCCATTTCAGTGTTAGTTGCTCCTCATGTTAGACATACAAGGTATGATTACTCTTAATATGGTCCTTTGCTGTTCTATATTTGTTGCTTAAAAAATTTGGCCTGTACATCGTTCAATATACAGTTTATTCAATTAATATGACATGAAGTGCTCGACCCACTTTTCGTGGTCGCTTCCTTCCCTACAAGAATGCAACGGACAACATCCTCGAAGATAAAATGCATAGATATCAATTCATTACAGCTTTTATTGTGAACTAGGAAATGTATCATCTTCACACTGAGTGTACGCACTTACCTCAGACAACCAAAATTCCAAATCCTTACAATGCTTTTCAATGTTGGTGCTATTTCCTCCGTAGATATCCAAACATTCGTGATATGAATGATGGGCCTTGAAAAAAAAAAAAAAAGGGTGGTAACCGTTTTCCCCTAAAAGCGTTCAGCACGGATGTCGAATGTGAACCTAATAGTAACCCAGCTCACCGGCTCTCAGCGGTAAAGCACATGTTCCCGAGATCCTATCTCTGGTGGGAAATTAAGATTCTTAGTTGTAACATGTGTTAGGTATGTTACGTTTATGGTTTACATGACCATATCTAGAAATGGCATTTGGTGTAAATCTACATGAATTGTTGACTTAAAGCTACAAATAAAAAGCGAAGGAGTGTTTTTTAAGCGCACTTTGTGACGGAAACACTTGGCTTCTGACCATTGAATACAAATTTTTATTCGACGACCGAATTCCAAATTCATTTACAACCTTTTTAAACATATTTGTGCCGACAGCATTATTTATGATCTTACCTTGAATCCAAGAATGGAGAAAATGACAATTGAAGCAAAGATTGAGGTGCCACAGTTGATGGTGGACACCAGAATAGCGTCCCGTTTGCAATTGTTATGGACATCGTTGTAACTGGACATGGCGATGAGTCCACCGAAAGCAACTCCTAACGAGTAGAAAATCTGTGTGGCGGCTTCCAGCCAGACTTGAGGATCAGTAAGTTTATCAAACTGGAAAAAGAAAACAAAGAGAATACCAAAAATAAGATTGAGATATTGATTATACCAGTTATTTGCTGGCACACAAAGCACATAATAACTTGCAATCTCCTTTAAAAATTTTCGAGAGTTTATTTGGTTTAACCAATACAGGTTTATAAATAGATTAAATCAGTTTTAAGATCTCTTGGGATATTAAGTTTTTCGCAAGCGTTGAATTGTACGCAAATTTCTAATTCTTTTTTTTGTTGTTGTTGTCTGATTTTGTTTGAAAAAACAAAGTGGGATCCAAATTAATCTGAAATACGTGAAATGTCTGGTGAAATAACTTAATCTGGGCCATTTTGATGAAGGTAATTGTTATCTCTCATGCTCACAGGAATAAAACAGACTATTTAATTAAAATCTTAGATGTTTCATATTTGTTTCATGACTGGGTTTACTACCTGAGGGGTAAACATGTGTTTGACGCCATCAACAGAGCCTGGTAAACTGATCCCACGACCAAAGAAGATAATCAGTACGACGTATGGAAATGTGGCGGTGAAGTAGACTGCCTGCAAACCAGAAAGAAACTCAAACAATTTTCAACTATTGCAACGCTGTGAACTGAATCTGATTCGTCCTCTCAATTATCAAAGGACGAAAACTGCCGTCACCATTTTATCAACGAAGCACTCACAACTTCTTTGTCAAGCAAGTTTATCCGACTTCTAGCAGCGCGAAGGGACATTTAGGCCCCAACCTCGTTCGCAAACTCATATCTTTGAAACGTTTTTGTCCTTCACACAAACTTAAACGCTATAAAATTAAAGGAAAAACGCATTAGTGTGGCAAGTGTCTCACTCTTTCTGTGGTTGAAAAGTAGGAATACAAACACACTGCAATTATTTATCTTCCGCAAAAGAAAACGAACGATCTCGATGAGTTAGAAGGCTCATTACCGTAGAGAACTATGTAGCGGTTTTTTCTTTTTTGGCGCTAAAAGCTACCTTAAACATAAACACAAACACAATACATTGACTCAAAAGAGATAAACAAGACAATAAACCCAGAAGAGACAAGGATGGAGAAGGATGTCGAAAGACTGAAACAGAGAAGAAAATTTAGGCTACCAGTAAACTATGGTTAAATGCAAGAATATTTATCATAGTACTCACTTTTCCTGCTGATTCCACACCACGCATCATGCACAAGAATACAACAATCCAAGAGAGCAGCAACACCAGGCACAAATGCCACAGGAGTCCTCCACTCTCTTCGATGGACGCACTTATTTCTAAGGCATTCCTGTACCAGTAATACTGTGTACGACCTGCTAAGTGACACTCCTCCACGAAAGTGACATTATCCACCATAGGACAATTGGCGTAAGGCAAAGGGTCCTGGAAAGAAGCGAATAAATAGTAAAAGCACCAGGCGATGATCATGTTGTAATACAGGCCCACCAACAGGCAGATAACCACTGATGCGAACCCCAGTCCACCCAAGAAGGGGTGAATGGCATTCCACACACCCACAGATCCTTGACGCAGGCTCTGACCAATCGCCAACTCCATGAAAAACAGGGGGATTCCCATTACAACCAAACTGAAGACGTACGGGATGAGAAAAGCACCTAGAAAAAAATTTTAAAGAAATGCTGTTCACCGCCTCTCATATCTGAAACTGTGAGGGCAAAGAAAAAGCCGCGAGCACAAAGTTCCTAGCCTCTCGCTTCCAAGTTTCACCTCGTTTTGTTCCCAGAGATTGACGTTCCGAAAAAAACCGGAGAGCTCAGTCCGGTATAGCAAAGGCTACAGTAAATTGGACCTGAAAAGATTTTCCATTTTCTTTAAATCTCCGTAAGGTCTCCATGAAACGAACCACATTCTACGAAGGGAAGCGTTACTAACATTCTAATAACCATTTGACTCCCTAAGAGTGACAAGCATCTAACTTCTCCCCCCCGAATCACACATAAAGGTCACGACAATAAAGGAAATGATCACCAGCTAAAGAAGCTCATGATTATTAGACAAATTCTCCATGTCAACACCTCAGGAAATGTATAGAGAACAGTATGGAGAAGATGCATACTGATGTTAGGGTATAAAGGGTTAAAGCTGTCCATAGGATTTTCCGCAAAGCCTCCTTTGGGAGTGACATTGCGTGACATCCTAGCTCTGGAACGCCTCCTTCGGCAGTAACGTTGCATGACATCCTAGCTCTAGAGCGGTTGCAAAGGAGACCCATCCTAGCGATCGATTCACACTTATTTCGTGCAAACTACCCATGTTCCGGGAAACCCTCGGAATATATTTGAGAAATACTTTTGTTGATAGTTCATGTAGGTGATGCTAGAGGAGAGGTTTTATTTTTTCTGTTAATGACAAGTCAACTGCGAATCTGACACCTCTCCAGTACACTAAGCTAAGATCACACACCCAACCGATAAAGAGAAAATAGTACATTCAGTCCACTAAAAATTTGGCTAAAATGTCTTTGAGGTCAAAATTATTTCTATCATGATGAGGTTTTTCTTGTTAGAAACTTCATCTCCGTCAAGGACTGTCTCAACAATAGGATATTTCTGAATCACTATACTTTGTTTTGGTTTCAACGAATAAAGCGATACTCGGTCCATCCTCGCAGTTTTTCCATTGTACAAGATTAAGATGCGCGAAAAATATTTACTGAAGCGCCCAGTTCTGTTTCTAAAACAATCTTTAGTTCATTGTCGTAAGAAACGGAAACTAAAGGCCACTATCGGCAGACAAATACAAGCGTGTGGGAATAGGATAGCGCTCAACACCAGGTCTTTTACTGAGAGTTTTTCTTAGCTATACCAAACTCTTTTTTTGAAAAAATGAAGCGAAATTGCTCACGAAGGGCAAAAGATCAAATTTCGAAGCATTCAATTAAAGGTTGCTTACCCTAAGAATCGATCTCGAACAAACTAAAATACAGTAAAGTTATTTCCGGTGTCGACGCTATGAAAGTCAAAAGGAATGAAATTCACCACTAAAACTGTCCACCCTTCATCAGGTATACTTTTCTGTCACATAAAGTACTGCTCGATATAATTTTACGAAAGATTCGTTGAAAGCGCAAGACCCCTTTGAATTCTAGTAAGCTAAACGGGTTTGACACAGAAGTGTGAAATAGGAAACCCTTCGAATTCTCACCCGATGTCTCTGGGGTGTTAAAATCGTCCAGTAGTCAATACTTAGATAAGAAACCAGGCAAAACTATGTCTTTTGTTAGTCACTGGATTTACTAACCTCCTCCATTCTTTTGGCACAAGTAAGGGAAACGCCATACATTTCCAAGACCAACAGCAAATCCGACAGTGGCAAGCATGTACTCCAATTTGTTTCCCCATCCTTTCCGCTTCGCCTCCACTTCAACTTGGAGCTCGTCACCGTTTTCCTCATCAGTGATGACCTGTTCCTCGTTTGAGGGTGAGGTGACTGTGACCGTAATATGTCCGTTTGATTCGCCTTTTTCCGACATTTTCTCTAGCACTCTTGCAGTACGATCCGTGCAAGCTACCAGGTACCCTTGGGAGTTAAGACCTGGAAAACTACATGTCACTTCAGACAGTAACTTATTCCAGTTATTAAAGAATATCGAGTTTCTACAAAACAATCGATTCAAAGAAAAATGTATTGTGGTCACTCAATCAACACAATCTGGAAAAAAAATCCTTTGTTGACAAAACATTGAAAGATATTGAAAGTCAGTTGAGAAATATAAATAACTCAGGTAAAAAGAAATTAAAAAAAAAACCCCTATCTCTCCCTTGATGAACGTGGTTTCAGTGGTATGTTGATTCAAGCGTTTTAAGCAAATATTAACCTACTACCTTAACAGAAAACTTTAATTAGCATTTCTCGCAAAGCCACGTATTGCATAATGTTCGGTCTGTTCTATCAGTATTTCCATTTTAGCAAGGACATGTTTTACCCAGTCGTAATTGCACGGGAAATCCATGGGTAACGCCGGAACAAACATTGTACAAAGTGAACCCAAACGGAGGAAAAAAGCTTTTTATTTCAAAATCACCAGTCTTTTTAAACAGTAATCAGCTGTCTGTCATGTGTCCTTGTCAGAACAAGACATGGTATCGGTCTAACGCGGGAGGGGGGGGGGTAATTGGAATAGAGTGGCTGACCGATGGAGGGATTAGGAACTTGTAAAAAGTCAATAATAATTACGATAATGGCTGTTATTATGTTATTTTTTATTTAAACATGACAACGATCCATTTTTTATCGCAACAATCATCTCATAAACATCAAATAAAATCAAACCTCTCCAGTCTCTGCGAAGAGTGACTGAAACTATATAAGCGGCGTATTGGACTGTACTAGAGCTCATGCACTGTTGACTGTATATATTGAAAAAATGAACCTATCTGGAGTCTTGTAATTATATTAGTCTACAATGTTCCTTTTTGATCTATTTTCATAATGTAGTTTCTATCGAGGCTAGGGCTGTCTTAGTTAACCGTTCAATTCCTAAAAGAAAAAGGAATTTCTCATGGCGCTCTGCGTTCTCCAAATATCATTATTTGGTTATTTCGCATTGTAGTTTTACTCAGCGAAGTTCTAGTCGCGGTTTCTGTCCTCCTTTTCGAAAGGTTGTTCTAATTTTTGTGCGCCAACATTTGAAGTCATGAGGCAAGACCTAAGACGACATGTGGCCCTACATTTACAGTAATGAGGCAAGACCTAAGACCCTTTGCCTCGTGATCATGAGGCAAGACCTAAGAACCTTTGAAGTCATGAGGCAACGCCCAAGACCCTCTGCCTTGTGTACTCCCAAACGAGTAGAGCCCCACTGACATGCACGTTGAGGGACCTTATGATGCCAACCTGTGGAATCTCTACGCACACATCAAGCATCTGAATCAGCTCTACGGGTATGCCCTGTTTCTCGTTGCCAAGCAACAATAGCGACTTGTGTGGGAACTGGTAATGAGTTAAGTTCACGCTATTTGCTGTTTGCTCTGCGCCGATTAGCGTGTAGCCTTCATGGCGCATGCGCGCCAGGTAGGACTTGAGCTCTGACTCGCGAGCCTCGTCGATGTTCATCCATTTGGCAGCGGTAACGCTTAGAGATTTGAATTGGATGTCTTCGAGTACATGAGAGTTACTAAGCACCAAGGTCTGGACGCCAAATATTTCACAAGTACGGCAAAGGCCGCCCAGATTTGGGGCCTTGTCGATTAGTGAAGCAACCACTATCAAACTTCCAGCTGAGCTCTTCTCAAGGTTCGCCAATCGCTGCCGTTGCATTTCTGATATAATATCTGCGTCGGGAGGAATCACTTTCCAAGGGACGATTTTTTTCTGGACATCACCGCTCTGTACTTCAGAAGTCCTCGCTGAATCGTTTATTTGCGCAGTGTTTTTACTGTTCGTTCTCTCGCCCGCTAATCGTCGACGAATTTGTTCCCCCACGTTTTCACCGTAGTTAAAATATGGACCATGAGAAATCTGAGCCAGATGTGTATCATCAGGATTGTACAGCGGCAGTACACTAAGGCCATGCTTACGAGAACCTCAAACGCGCATGCCTAACCATCCCTCAGTGAACACTTTGGGAGAAATCCATTCTTCATCAGTAACCTCTGTTAAACGAGGAAGAGTCTCGAACAGAGTCTGCATAGAAAAGTCTCGGTGGGGATGCAAATCAAGGAAGAAAAAGTCTCCCAGCAAGCGAACTTTCTGACGTACACTTTCATTATTCGTCTCCAAGAAGTGCACACAAGACTGAATGATGGCGTGGTTGGACGTCACGTCATGCAGATTCTCTCGCTGGCACGTAAGCCACATCTTCTGTAACGTCACCTGGGCATAGGCCTGGACCTGAGAGAGACAAACACCAATAGATTACTCACCTGCCTCTACTTGGCGGATAACCAGCGTCAAACCTTTTATGGAAAACCACTAGTTTTTTCCAGCTGTTTTTTCTTTCCTATTCTTAACTTACGATTTGACAGAATTGCAATTGGTGATGTTCTGATCAAAGTGCAAATTTCATACCTTGCCTTCTTAAAACTTTATTGTTTGGTAGCTAGTGTTCCCTGAACACAGCAGACCGCGTATGCGAATTCTTCAGATAAGACGAACAACGAACGATGGGCAAAACTTGCCTTAATTTGGTTTCAACGAAATTCTGTATAACATTAACCCATGAAACAGCTACGTTTCTGGGCGAATGAACAGGTTGGTCAATAACCGACTCGACAGTTTCATCCAAAGTCTTTACCCGTTGCGCCCTATCAGCTGACAACCTTAAAACTCTTCATCGGAAGAGGGGACTTAATACTTTTTCGCCCAGGAGTTCATATTACCTAAGTAAAAACGAAGATGATAGACGCTGTTATTGTCAAATCATCATTTTTCTCTGACTTAGGGCTAAACATCGACCGCTGGCCTAAAAGCTGGCTAGCAACGAGAAGAAAAGAACATGGTAATTTATTAATACTTCGCCGCTAGAGCCAAAACGACGGTGGATAATGTCCGGCGCTTTACTTTTCAAACATGATTTAAGAAACAATAACACAGATATATCATACCATAACATGTGATGTTAACGCCCAAGGGAGTATAGTGGGAAAAGCCTGCTGGAAATAAGCCGCCTGGGAGCGGGAATCTGAAAATGAAAACTCGCCAACGAGCGCGGCAACGGCAAGAAGTGACGACACACTACCAGCTTTTCTCTCAACATCGTACTTCAGTTGCGCCCATAACAAAGGCTCGAGGCTTGGGTACCTGATGAAGCAAGACACATTATTTCTACCGTTAGTTCTTATTTGCTTAGCGACCATGGTGCTCCTTTTCAAAGGTAAGCCATAAGGGAATCACACTTCCAAGTCTTTCCTCTCAGAATACGGAGAGCATACGATACTGATCCACAAAGCTATCAGTGGGGATCCCGGTGTCTATACCACAAAACAACTTAGAGTGAAGTTAATACTAATAGGTGGGATACTCCCCAACGCAGATCACCCTACGGTCAGGGTAACACCCTGGACTCGCGATCTGAAGCTCCCGGGTACAAATCCCGGGACACGGTTTTAATAGGCCTACTAGTCCGCCTCTCGTAACTTTTACCTGGAATTTTTACCATGCTATAAAACATTTGAATTATTGGTTTCCCTGATATGGGTTTTTTTGATGTAGAAATTAAACTTTTTCCTCCAAAGACACAACATAGTGAAATTGATCCTAGATTCGTGTTGAGCAAAGGCTTTCTGATCTGCGCCGATGTATGTTCAGCGCTCTGAAGCTTAGGCCACCGGAAACTTTGGGGAGAGAGGGGAGGGAGGGTGCCTCCATTAACAACTGGTTTGGCTCTGAGAATGGAGATCACCGAAGAACATGCCTGAAACGACCACGATTTTTTTTCGGTGAGAAAAGATGTGCCTTATTTCCTGCGTTAGAGCACTTCCTAACGAACTTACTTTCCTAGGATCAGAACCACTCCCCATTGAAGAAAGTTCCGGACCGACATTTGGTTCTCGGAAAGAATGGCACGGAAAATCCCTTCCAACACTCGACTGGCAAACATCTCATCAACGACGTCGGCATCAAAAAAGCGAGAGAGCACCACGAGAACAGCTTGCCATACTCGGTGCTTTCTCCTATGTGAGTACGAGTTAATAGAGGAACGGGGTTTATCTTCCGACAGCTCGCCGTTCTTACTGATCAAAGATTCGGCGAGACGTTGTAGAAGCTTCGCATCCTGAGTGTCCATCGGATTTAAAGTCATTAACACGTTAATCGCGTTCACTCGCACTCGCGTGTCATCGCGCAACTCGTCCGACTTGAAGGAACAAATCACCCCTTCCCTGCCCAACCGACGAACGTATTCCAGCACGTAATTTGTACCTCGCGCCGTTTTCTTTTCCCTGGGACCGAAAAAACAAGCTTCAGTAATGAAATCCAGGTGAACATCTAAGCTTTGACTGCGATTTTCGTCACTGATTTGATAAACTAGGTTCCCAAGGATACGATCACAAGGAGAGCCAGCCCAGAATTCACAGCACGGCCCGATCACATGATTCATAATACCCGGACGACCTTCTCCCAGAGCCGACAATTCTCCCCAGTACCTTCGCACGAATGCGGTCACAGGGTGGTCCTCGGCCAGTATCAGGAGACAGGGGTTAAAAAACACCTGTGAAACTTCCCGCAACGTTCTCCAAAACCAGATCTGATCGCCTTTTTGCCGATCCTGAAAAGTCCACCAAACTGCCTCCAGAGCCTGTGAACACAGCGAGTCGTTTGCTAGAAGCATTCGAGGAGTCAACAAGCGCACGCATCTTATGACGGGAAGCACCGCAAGACCTGAGCCCAAAGAAAGGGCCTCTAAGGCAGCCTCAGGCAGATCCGCCAAGAAGCGCTCCAATTTGCTGCCAAGTTCCATGTCCCTTCCATCGGAAGATCCCTGGGATTCCTCGAGCAGAAATTGAACACACTGCCACTGAGCTTCGATAAAGTCAGAGACCAGTCTCCCCCAACCTTTCTTGAGGAATACACTTGATTCGGTTGAAGACTCGCTACGAACATCGACCGGGTATAGAAACTTTGGTGTTGGAAACTCGGAGCTCAGATCAAGCTCTGTCACCGTCTGCAACAAGGTGGATGCTAAATGAGTGGTATACAGGTCAGGTTTGGTTCTCAAAGCTGCACAGCACCACGCTAAGCATTTCATGGACAAAACAAATGCATGCCAATCACTCAGTGCTAGCTGTTCTCTGTCTGGTTGTTTCCCTAACACAACTCTCCGGCTTCGCTGTGTAAGGGTTTCAACAAATTGGTGCCACACTTCCAAACTCTGACTAGAGTTCCCAGAGACTTTTGTGAACAGCAACAGCTGAACAGCGAGATCAAGAAACGCAGAGTTGCTATCTATTTGGGAGAAATTCACGGACACGGTGGTGAGTTTCCTCAACAACAGCTCGAAGTTGTCTACGCCACTGCGTCCAAACACGTTTTCAATGATCTCCCTACTGCCATCGACTTCCTTCACAGCGATGTCATCTGTTTTTCCATCTGTGTTTTTGATGGCTGCTGTGCTATTCATGTGCTCTAAGATTCCTGACAGCATCATGGCTGCTCTTTGAGTCCTACCCTCCGATGCATAAACATGTCGGCTTGCATGCTGAAGGACCTCCACAATATTCTGGAATATTTCATCCACTGGTTGCTTTCGATTGGTTGAATTCTCTGAGAACTTAAGATGAGCATCGCATGCAATTATCATTAACCTTATCACAGACTGCATTTCGGGATCACTGGTTGATAACTCTAGTTTCTCGTCGTTAAGAAGAACCTCCACACCTTCCCTGAGGTGATCGAACAGGCCTGACAATCCCTTTTTATCTTGACTACAATTGGTTTGGCTGAAATTTTCTTGACCGATCAAGTCACGGATCTCCCACACCCAGTGAACTGCTGCTTCCCACAAGGTATTCCCTCGGCATAAACAATCATCCTTTGTGAAAAGAGAAAGAAAATCTCCAATGTCTTTCCATGACACACGCCTGGGGGCACATAGATTTATAACTGCCTTGAGGAGAAAGCTCTGAATAGCACTTGTCAGGTGTGGGCTGAACGGTCTAAAGAGAGGGAAAATGTCACGAATGCTTGCCAATGCACTAGAATCCCAGACTGGGCAAGACGGCAGACTTGCTAACATCTGGGATATGAAGACCAAAGGAACTTGTGAAAACTCTTGTTTCACCACAGCAGATAAGAGCCCCGAGCAAAATAAATTTCTGTTATCTGCTGACAGGGCCTTTACAAACTCTGGGAAGAAGGCGACAAGTGCAGCCCCCACAGGGGGAGGGTCTCCTCTGAGGCCATCGTCTGCTCTGGTGTAGATTGCATACTCAGCGAGCATGTTCATTAGAGGGCCGTATAAGAACCACCAGTGACAGGTGTTCAGAAGTGGTGAATCACACAGGTCCATGCTGAGCAGGTCGAGAATGGCCCATCGGCAGATGGACTTGGTGTCGTGTTGAGCTGCTCTTTGGTACAGTGTCAGAAGCCAGGAAATGTCCAGCATTACATCACCTGCACACACAAAAAACCAAAAACAGACAATCAAAAATTAAACCTTTTAACTTCCATGAGTGATCAAGATACAATTTCTCCTTACATTATCAATACAATATCAACCAAATAAGTGATGAGAGTAAAGAAAAATATCAATTTGGGGATAATTAGTTGATCCAATGCTAAATTCTCTGAACTAACATTATAAGAATTGCATGGCTGACAGAGAGGAGAATTACAAATGTAATCTGGGAGTTAAAGGGTTAATAACAGTGGAAAACATGAAAACATGCTTTTAAGTAATACAGACTGGTTCTCATGGGTGTGAAAATCTATCTGGGCCATTTCCCAATTTCAAACACCCTCTCTTTTATAATGAGCCTATGGGTTTGACACAATAAAAGAACACACCTTTTCTGCTATCTGTGGTTATAATCCATCAAATATTTTTGATTGTGCACAATTGGCCTAAATGCATCATGTGAGCAAACATTCCTCGACTAAAACTGGGGATATCCGAGGATATCCCCCAGATGATATTTCCCAATTTGAATCTTATGTCCACTATGATAAGTGTTTGTTTAATATTAAATTCAAGATGAGAGAAAGCGTTGTAAGGTTGTTACTGAAGAAAGGAAATATTTGTTTGTCCATAAATTCTTTGCAAAGAAAACTGAAAATAAAATATCTCATGCAGCAAATAGTAAGCTGTTTATAAACATTTTTTCACACGTGTTGTGAAATATTGAAAGGCTAATAAACACAATAGTCTCTATTTTGCACAAAAATATGTTAGCATATTTGTCCCTGGGCATCATCTGTTCCTCGAAGCTCACAGTTTTCCTTGAACTTCACTCTCAGAAAACTGTTCAGATCTTGGAACAGATTATACCAAGGGACAAATATTTGTGCATATTTTTGTGCCAAATAGAGGCTATTGTTTATTTATTCTAGGAAAATTGCATCCCTCTAAATCATGAGATGCACAACTTAAGCAGCGCCCGGTTGATCATCATTTTAATTTAATTCATGCAGACTGTCTTTTTCATTTTTGCTTGCTCTTATGGAAGAGAAATATTCAAAATGTAAGCAATTCAAACTGTTTGTATCAAATTACTAATTTATATATAAATATCAACCACAGTGTAACATTTGCTCACTGACAAAGTACAAATGTTCCTTAAAACTTATCACAAAGTTAACATATTCTTTAGCAATCAGTATCTGACCATTGTTGTCTTTCTTTGTGGCACATATGATACTTGAGATCCGAGGAAGCACTGGTTTGATAAGATGCCCCTGAAAGAAAGTTTGTGGGTATCATAATTTGAGATGCAAATTCTTCTGCCAATAATATAACACATCAGTCTTGTACATCTGTAGACATGCCGATTTTTATTTAGCTACCTGTTCATATTGGTTCTACACACGATGGTCATTATTGATGCTCCACAAAGCCCAGAAAAGGATTTAACAGTTACAGGGTGTAAAACTGTTCAAACATGTGATGAGCTTAGACAAACTTGTCAAATGGAGATGCTATTTTGGTATAAATGTCATATCAAATTCGCTTGACGTATTTAACCCTATAACTCCCAACATCTGATTGTTCATTCTCTCATCTGGTTGCGAGACATTTCCTTGCGAGTAAGTTATAAGAATTTGGTGTTAGATCAAGAGAACAACTTGATACTTTGACTATTCTCATTACCTGTTCGCTGGATGATGTATAGATATTATAAAGAGAAATTACATGTTGATCACCTCTCAGAGTTAAAGGGTTAGAAGGAATGGTTTTGCGTCTAGAAAGAAGAATTGTAAATCAGATCTTGAGAGTTAAGAAAGAGAATACTTGTCTGAAGTCAGAGAACACACACATTTGGTAACAGGAAAAAAAAAAGTTTTACACACACCACTTTATTTTTGCTTAAGGATGACTGAATACCTGCTGTGAATTTTTTTATTATACCTGCTTTTCCTCCAGTGTCTCCATTAAAAGAACATAATCCTGCCATACTCTCATGCGAGAGTCCTTCTTATTGCGTGACCAGCAAAATATCTGCAATCCTTTGTCATTCTGCACCAGTAAATCACATGGTTGTTTATCTAGCAAGTCCAATGTTCTCTTCAACAGATACATAGCTCTTTTCCTAGAAAGAGGTTCCTCTAACACCAGTCCTTTCTGAATGATTTCCCAAAACTCTGCTTTGTGAAAGAGACTTTCATTGCCACAAGTGTAGAAGAAATCAGCAAGACCACAAAGAATGGCATAGGTTTGATTGAATGTTCCAGGAATAGAACCAGCTGCTTGGGATTCAAATATCTGTTTCACTGTAATCCACACAGCCTGTTAATTCAGCAATAACACCATGATCACACATGAATGCCACTCACTAGAAAGGCTTTAGTACTCTCAATCAGTACTAATGATTTGATTCTTACAGCTGATCAGGCTCTTGAAAAGCATTATAATGGACAAATTTGACATGAAAATTTATCTCTAACATTTTCAAAGATGGTTGCCATATAAGCATGCACAGAAAAAGAAATAATGTCTTAGAATACCTCTAAACCCCTTACACCCTAAGATCAGTATGTTCATTCTCCATACTGTTCTTTCTATATTTCCTATGGCACTGACTGAGAATTTAGTTAAAAATCTAGAAGTTTTCAAGTTTGCCATGTGCTTAATATTTGATTCAGCAGCAATACTTTAATGAAAAATTGTAGGTGCCAGTCATAATCAATCACCCTGAGGGGTGTTAAGGTTCAGGGTTATTTGTTTGAGTATTAAAATTTTCCATGTAGTGTAAAATTAATTTAGAATCTCTCTCAAGCGCAGCCTTATGAAACTTATAATGAACGGCTATGAATATATGAAAGTCATATATTTGAACTGCAGATAAAGACATGAATGAAAGTGATCCTTGCAGTAATGCACACTAATTGAGCAGTAGTGAAAATAAGGCCTGAAAAAATTCAGGCCTGTACAGGATTTGAACCCATGACCTCTGCGATACCGTTGCAGCGCTCTACCAACTAAGCTAACAAGCCAACTGGGAGCTGGTCATTATGTTGGTTCCATATAAACCTGTGAAGTGATGAATGAACGGCTAAGAATACATAAAAGTCATATATTTGAACTGTGGGTAAAGACGTGAATGAAAGTGATCCTCACAGTAATGTGCACTACTTGAGCAGTAGTGAAAATGAGGCCTGAAAAAAATTCAGGCCTGTACAGGATTTGAATTCATGACCTTTGCGATACCGCTGCAACGCTCTACCAACTGAGCTAACAAATATATATTCTTAGCCGTTCATTCATCACTTCACGGGTTTATTTGGAACCAACATAATGACCAGCTCCCAGTTGGCTTGTTAGCTCAGTTGGTAGAGCGCTGCACCGGTATTGCAGAGGTCATAGGTTCAAATCCCGTAGAGGCCTGAATTTTTTTCAGGCCTTATTTTCACTACTGCTCAAGTAGTGCACATTACTGCGAGGATCACTTTCATTCACGAAACTTATAATGTTAACATCCTAACGGTGACCTGTGACTCACCTCGCAACGTGTTTCTCTATCAAATTCCAAGAAATTTGGAAGAACAAGGCTGGTTACTTTCCCGCATAAGCTTTCAGTTGTAAAAGGTAAAATATTTAATAACTCCTGAAAGAGCGTATTTCCAAGTTCTCCAGAAATTATATGAGTACTTTCCGAAGGGCTTAAGGCAGCTGGCTTCACAAGATTTCCAATAAGATCTAGTGTTACTGAGACATCAACTGCGTTCTCCTCTGTTGAACCCAATTCCACGACGTAGCGCTTTAAAATCTGAAGGCACTTTTCGCTTACCACTGGAAGCAAAGTTTCTGGAAACACTGAACAGCAGAAGGCTATAATATCGTAACAAAGATGAAGCCTTTTTCGCCTGTGCACAGAAGGCTGATTGCTGTCATTAGATTTGTACACGATCGGCCAACAAATCTCAAACAAGACGTTAGTGGCTAAATCTTCGCCAAAATCTTTGGATTTTTCGAGGGTATCTAGCACCAGTTTTAGCGTTTCTAAGAAATTTGTATCGAGTATAATATCTTTCCGTTCTATGAACTGTTTCAAAACGGGCAAGATTTGGTAATGATCGGAATTTGCACATATGAATTGAACTAGGTCAGCCATTCTGCTTCACGAGGTCGACGAAACAGGCTTGAAATTTAGCCGGCAGTCCACGTGCAGCCGTACCCTCCCCCCGAAGGTTAAACGAAGGCTGGTGAAAATATGTAGAATGGTGAATTTCCCTACCCCCTCCCTCAAAGTAAGTTATTTATCCTCGTGGGAGATGGAACTGACATTTAATTGGCTGATTGCCTTTTCAGACAGCCAATCAAGATGATTGTGATTAATTTTAGATTTTATAGCGCGAGCTCAGAGATTACGTACTCAATGAAGAGTCCATCGCTGCCAGTTGACTGATTACAGCCGTGCGGAACTATTTTCCTCGAAAACGGGTAGAGTTTGCTTGTTCAACAGTCTCAAAATGGGTCAGTTCGTGTCTACGGCCCTTACAGCGCTAGGTTATCCACGCCCTAGTTTCAATGACAATGTATTGTTATTCAAAAAAATAAGCGATCGGGCCACAACTCCGAGCCGAGGGTCAGACTTGGCGGCGGGATACGACTTGTACAGTGCGGAAAATGTAGTAATTCCTAAGCAAGGGAAGGCTTTGGTAAAAACTGACATCGCCATAGCACTACCTGAAGGATGTTATGGACGAGTTGCTCCGAGGTAAGGAAGAAAATTGCTATTTCTACGCGCCAAAATCGGAAAATTAGCCTCGAGAAACCTCGTGTTACTAGGGAATGAAATATTGTACACATTTCTGCAGAATTTCCAGTTAGTACATCCGAGAAATTAGGCTGTGTGTCCTTGTTAAGAACCAGTTTCATTATTCTCGCTGCTAGATTAGCGAATTTCCCAGTTTGTTGTAATTTTGATAGAATATACGTAATGTTTCACTTTGGCGGGAAAATTCCCAATATTATTTTACGGGACTCATAGTCGCTTTCAATTTCAGTTTGGTACAATAACCTTGATTAAGTAAAATGAAGCTAAATTGGAGCTTCTTCAAGTTTTGTAGTTCATAAAGTCTGTAAAATCCAGCTGTAAAAATATTTTCGTACCAGTAATCTCACGTACTAAGAGAGTGAGCTATTGTGCACATTTTCCAGAATTTCCAGCTCGTAAATCCGAGATAATTTGAGCACAGTGCCCCTGGCTACGAATCTACTTCATTATTTACACTTATAGATCTGCAAATTTCCCAGACTGTAGGAGTATTGAAAGAAAGTAGTGTTTCGCTTTGGCGGGAAATATCCCGCTATAATTTATTCTTGAGCTCAGGTATCCTTTCTATAAGTTTGATGAAGATAAGTGAGGCTGATGTAGAGCTTCTATTGTTTGTCTATTTTGTAAAGCTAGTCAAAATTAGCTGTTAAGATTATTTTCCGAATAGTGCCATTAATGAGTTGAAATTGAGGGGAAATGAAGCTCATCTTTAAAATTGGACAGAGATTATTTTGTTTCTCATTTATATCTGACACCATAGAAGCTCTGGCATTCAATGTTTTTTTTCGTCTTTTAAAGTTACATAAATTTACAAGATCAGACTGCTTGGATTAGTTTTCTCTGGCTTATAATTTCTGTGGAAGAGTCCAAAAATTAATGATCAATAGCAACTATAAGGAATAGTCGGTTGACACTTTCTTCAGATTAATAATTTGGAGTGTCTTAAGTTGCCCCTCGTCTGTAACCATGTGAACAGTAAGTTACAAATGTGTCAACCTGTGTTCAGTGTCTGTGTGGCAAATTGTAACCTTTTCTTAATTAGTGGTGTTTTTGTTTACAGAACTGAGTTATGTCTGTGCATGTCACAAATTAAAATAGGTTAATATCCTCCATTCATATGACACTACTGTGTCACAAACACAAGCAGACAAAAGTCAATGTGGAACCTGTTCAAAATGCATATTTTGCAATCACACTACAACAATTAGATTTTTGGCAATTACTCTAGGATTCAAGTCTGATTCCTGAAATATGAAGACTCAAAGGTTAAAACCTTTCTACTTCAGTCTTAACATGGCTCTTCAAACTTTTCAAAATTGTACTATTTTACTGCAGTGTTACCATGGTTTCCCATAGAGACATGTGAAAGTTTTTAACCAATTTTTTTTACTAGTGAAAAGTTAAGGTGAGAGGAACATTTGCAAAGACATTGAAACTCACTCAAATCTTTTGTGATTTCACCATTGCTTTGCTAAAATCTTTCTAGAAAGAAACATGCAGGTCAAATATCCTAATGTTGTTTTTAAGATAAGTTGATTGGTGATTTAACCTGGAATTCCATACTGGATAGTAGATTCCATGGATCCATAATTCATTATGATTGTTTCTGATATTTTAATTCAATGAATGTAGAAATTGCTTGAAGCAGATGGAAAGTATTTTGGTTTGTTTGGCAAGGAGTTTCACCATACTGCACATCCTACAATCTCTTGAACAAAGCATTCATTGATTTTTAGATCCAGCCTTTCCTGGAAGCATCATATTGATGTTGGAGCAGGCGTTGTAGATCGTGATTATCGTGGAAATGTTGGTGTTGTACTATTCAATTTATCACAGATGGATTATGAAGTTCAGCAAGGTGATCGTATTGCTCAGCTTATTATTGAGAGAATAAGCAACCCACCCCTTGTGGAGGTCAAGGTAATTTTTAAAAAATGCTTTGATCTTTTAGTTTACAAATTAATTTTAAAAAATACTTTGATCTTTTAATCCACAAAACTTGAAAATTATCAAGTGCTATCCAAAAATAAGGTGAACAACAAACAATTTCTCAAACATCAAGCAACATCACCTTTTCTTACATCAAGCCATGTCAACATCACCATGAGTTGCATTTATTTTATTTACTTTCCTTTTGTTACTTGTTTCTGTTTTGTTTTCATTTCTGTTGCTTTGTTTTAACAGGAACTTGATGACACAGCCCGTGGCACAGCTGGATATGGGTCAACAGGAAAATGAAAGGGGATCATTGTTTCTGTTGTCTTAGCAGTTACACTGTTTTCCACCTGTTGCTTGAACTTAGTATCCCCAACAGAAGAATCCATCTTTCGGCCTGATTCACCTCCATTCTATAGTTAATCATTTCAGCCATACATATCTGAGTCAGACCCACCTCTTGCAGAGGCATACAGAAAGAGAAATGACCCAAAGCCATTTGGTTTAAGGAGAAATTGTTTAAATTAGTCTTAGGAAAAAAAAAAGAGGATATGTTGCCCTTGCTCTTGAGTTATTTCATTAAAATACACAAGGTACACAACATTATTCCAACTTATGTAATACATTTGTACAGTTGTCTTGTATCTTTAAAAGGATCATGCTGTTAAGATTAAAGATGTTTTTTTTGGAAAGTTAAAGGTTGTCTCTGATGGTGATCTGTTCCTCCTAAACACTAGACATACTTACCTTTCTCTTCTTCTCTTGTTTCTTTGCACTTTGTTAAAGAGAGATGTCACCCGTTGGAATTGTATTCCAGAAAACAAAAACAATTTTGAGACTTTTATTATACTTTCTCTCTAGTACAAAAGCATCTATTACGTCTGGTGTCCACCCTTTGAAACTTAAGATCTCCAAAATCACACCTATTGTTAAGAATGAAGACGAGACTGATGCTTCTAATTCCCGACCAATTTCTCTCGTCAAATTTAAATAGAATATTTGAAAAGCTACTGTGTAAGAATGAAGGACTTTATTGACAAAAGTAAGTTAATGCATGCCTCTCCATGATAGAGTCGAAACTTCACGGAACGATATGGATAGGCGTTTTTCGTGTGGCGTTTTTATTGATCTAAAAAAGGCTTTTGACACTCAATCACAAAATACTACCAGATAAACTTAATTTTTATGGTTTTCGAGGGATTATCAACGAGTCGTTCCGGTCGTACTTGACAAAATCAAACGCAAATTACTCACGCATATCACGTATCAACTAAATTAATTTCTTGTGGTGTTCCTCAGGGTTCGGTTTTAAGACCACTTCTCATTTTACTATAGATGAATGACATTTAGCTATGTTCCAAGAAACTTCAATTTTTCTTATTTGCGGATGACACTAATATTATTTATGCCAAAAAAGACCTCTAGTCAATGGTCAATGCTGAACTGAACAATTTACATGACTGGCTAACTACAAATAAATTGACTTTGAATACAAAAAAATCAAATCTTGTAATTTTTCACCCTAGACAAAAGAAAATCCGTTATCCTCCACAATTAAGTATATTTAATAGTGAAAAAATAGAAGAGTCGGTTTGTAACATAAGAGTTACATGAAGTAGTTAGGTGTTTTAATCGATGAAAATCTTTCTTGGAAAAACCAATTAGACTGTGTCATCACTAAAATAAGTAACACCATAGGAATGATTGCTAAGCTGAGACACTTTGTGCCATTCTCTGTAATCATAAATATTTATAAATCCTTAATTTTACCTTATTTAACAAATGGACTCATTACTTGGGGTAATGCGTCTAAAACCTATCTAAAGAAAATTGTTCTCTAAAAGTGAGTATTACGCAATCCCCTTATTTGTAAATGCAAAATTTCTGCCTGTTACCTTCTGATATTATGAAGCTATATGTAAATTAATGCTCGATGTTCATGATGACAGTGCACCTTCTAACATCATGAAAATTTTTACCAGAACTTCAAACATCGATACATATACTACTCGCTCAATGTCACAGCTCTTTAGCGTTAAGCACTCTGGGCCTAGAATGCGAGAAAGGCCTTTTTGCGTGTTGGTGTCAAAGTCTGGAATGAGATACCTAATGAATACAAAAACTTGTCAAAGAAATCCTTCAAAAGAGGAAACAAAAAGAGCTGTTCTCAACATCCTAGAAACTGAAGATTCTTACATGGAGCCTGATGAGATAACAATGCTAAAATTCAAACACAGCAAAATTGAACCAAACTGAATCAGTTCTACAATATGTTTCGTACACTTAAAAACTATGAGTTTCTCTCCTTTACAATTGAACATCTGCCAGTTTCCTTTTTTTTTCTTTCTTGTGTATCTTTTTGTCTTTTTATGTTCAATTTCTTCATTTCCGTTTCAGGTTATTTCCAGTGTAATTAAAATAATTTTCTATCTGTCAGCAAGAGTTTAATCGCTTTATTTATTCCAATTATTATTATTGCCACACTGATGATCACCGGCGTTGATTCAGTGACACTAATCCTCAGTCTTTATACTTTGTATTGTCTCCCTGGCTCAATCTATGTCAGCTAGGTTAGTTTTCTTTGCTACAACTCTGGCCTCTTTGGGCAGCTTTTCAATCCATGGCGTACAGCAGCTGCGAATCAGTTAACATCTCTGAACTTACAATTACATCATCTTGATTTGCCAAAGGCGAGCATGATAAATTAATCTCAGAGATAAATAACGCCAACATTATGTTTTTTTCACCTTTTTTTTAACTCAAGCGACGGACTTCGCCAAAAAGGAGTCTAGAATGCGGCTTACCCTGCAATTGTAATCGATTAGCAAAATTTTTTTCTTCATTCATATTGAAAACTGAGCAGCTCCAAGCTCTTGTGAAGGGATAGTTACCTTCATCCCCACGGGAACTACAACTTTGGTATCAAACTCACGACTAGAAATAGATTCCCGGCAATGGACCTCTTCTGTAAATAAATTTTTGTCTTTGTTTTGTTTTGCTATTCATGTTCAAATCTCCATGTATTTCTTGCTGTTTATGTCAAGTGCGCAACAGCTGTAACTCCTACTTACGAGCTCGTGATCAAAATTCTGCTTCCTCACGAATGCTGGTGTATACTTAAGTTTCTCCTCTGCGATAGGAGACTGAACCTATGGCCTCTGGAACTTGGCTTGGATTTTGTCAAGTATAATTTTTACTAATGGACAGATTTCCTTGGCTAACGAACTGAAAGGTTGCCCTCTTTTTCCCCTTAGCGAAACGTGTAGTCGCTTGCAGCGAATCGTGTCATCATGTCGGGTGTAAATTTGCATTTCAACCTTTGTTACCAGAAATTTGATTCACCTTGCCACAACACGTTTCGTGTATTCGGATGTAGAAGTTTCCTTACAAAAATTTTCCCCTGCAAGTCTAGTTTACAGGCCATCTGTCATCGTTTTTTGATTATCACTTTTATCAAAACCACATCAGTAATAACCAAAGAAAGTGACCAAGACGAACAAAGAAAATTAAAAAATTCAAGGTCAGGTTTCCAAGAACGCCCTCTTTTTTCTGTAAAAAACGGCAAAGATTCACCCCGGTTTAGCTTTAAAATAGATAATTTAGCTGTAGACAGGTGTTATATAGATGTTTATTTCAGGTGTTTAGGTCTCTAATCCCTAAAGATCATCTCTGTACCTGTCAGCCCTTGAAAGGTGCTCGTAGAGTTTGGGAAATTCACAAGTAACTCACGTTTCGCCTGAATATTTGGTCGAATGAGGTACATTTTGCTAGGGACAAAATAGGAACAGAACAAAAAGAAAGAAAGCATCATTGCAATCATCCGTCTTAAATTCTCTCCTGCCCTTTGGCATACCTTGCAGTATTAATGAAGAAGACGAGAGGAGAGTTCGTGTAGTTCTCGTTAGACACAACATAAGTAATCAAAGCAACAACAAAAGCAAGATTTCCTATTGTTTCCCGTTTTCTGCTAACCAGTTTTATCATTATTTTTATCAATATACTTCCCGTTAAGACAAAAGGGTACCATTTTAGTTTTGTGTCAAACCTTAAATTTAGCCTGCATAAATATTTGAAGCCTCTGAGAGACTAACAAATGACTTTTTTGGAAAAATGTATAGAATGATAACTGAGAACGAACGGAAAATTTAATGCTTTGCTCCGCAAAACAACGCACCAAGGTTAGAAAGGCTATATAATAACTTTTTGAGGGGCTAAAGCCGAGGAAACATTTGTCGGAAAAGGGTGTAGTCGATATTTCTTGAAATAAATCTAACTTGACTGTTTAAGAATTACATTAAATGAGATTTCTATATCTACACCTGTAACAGGTGGCCTTGTCTCCCTCTGTGCGGTGGAGTTTACAAAAAGCAGAGCCCTGCAGAGAATTACGGATTACTTGTAAAGGCTGCTTGCCTGCAGACTGATAAAAAGCAAGCGAGTTTCGATAAGGGACAAAAAGAAATCGGTCTTTATTCTTGATTCGACTTTAAATCATCTTTGTTGTCACGGTAAGTACGTTTTCGTTTGCTTTTGCTTTCTTGACTGCAATAAGTCTAGTCGTACTGGTTGAGGCGAGACTCACGGGGAAAAAGGTGCGATAAAGACGTTGTCAACATGGATATCGGCAAACTACATCCGATGAAAAATTTAATTTTTTTCGGAAACTTAACTGTTCATTTTAAGTCTAAGTCTGTATTACATACAGTTGCTGATGAGTGTAAGTCTCCTGCATCTAAATGTTATCCTGGCCCGGGTTGTTCAAATCTGGGTTAAGATAACACAGGGTTAGCATGGAATTTGATTTCAGGTCTGAAAGCTTAAAAGAAAATTCAATTCAAATCTTTTTGCTTGCAATTTGATCATTGGATGTTCTAAAAAGAATAGGGAAAATTTTCACTAAAAGGCTTTGGAAAAAAAGAATATAGAAACCGGCATTAAAATTTAACCCTGGGCTAGCACTAATCGGCCTTTGAACAACTGGGCCCTGATGCGTTAGCAAATTTATTTGCCTAATTGGGACCTGTACAAACTTCGCCGGCCAATAGAGGCCTCAAAGAAGAAAACGTTATTAATATTTCCAGGCGAGAAATAATGAAGACTAAAAGAATATGATAAATACCCCATTTCTTACAGTTCCTGTCGTTCCTTAAATTAAACGCTAGTTTTTTTTTTGTTTTGTTTTGTTTTGTTTTTTTTTTTTGATGAAGGTCCGCAAGGATCAATATTTCTCTTTAGCGCACATTCCAGATTCCTAGGTAAATAGGAATGTGCCTCGGGGGCTTATCAGATTCCAGGGTTTCTGGACTGTGGCTTCTAAAAGAGGGATGGGATGCTAATGAAAAGGTCTTAGGGGATCAAAATTAGAGTTATTTAGATGATTTTTTTCTTTAAATTTCTGTTGACGGGAGAAGGAGATATTTTGTTATCTCTGAAACTTGAGGTGATCTAACTTTTGTCAAATGCCGTATGTAATATTCATGGCTTATTTATATATATATATATATATATATATATATATATATATATATATATATATATATATATATATATATATATATATATATATATATATATATAATTGTGGAAAATTGTAGCAAATGCTGTTGGAAAGTGCTCAATACACATGAGTGTAGAGCGAAATACAGTTCAAAATGACTAAAATGAAACACGCATGATTCCCTGAAACTCTGAGTTTCGTGCTTACGCACTCGTCAGACAGATTTTATATATATATATAAGTGAAGGAATCAAAGAGGACGCATCGATTCCTTCACTTATATATACCCAGCTCTGCTACCACAGCATTAAGCACTTTATGCCAAGGTAGACTCTACCCCCCATTTATTATATATATATATATATATATAATATATATAAAACAGAACAAAACAAACTGAGCAACAATATTCAAAACGGAAACTAATACAGGCTTCCAGAGACAGAGAATATTATGTGCCTATCCACTATTATGTGTATAATTACACAGACGAGAGATCTCTTGATACCGTTAACTGTGCAGCGGTGGATGAACATTTACATCACCCTATTATTTAAAAAAAAAGCCATATCGTTTTTTCGTGTGTATGTGTGTTTTCTTTATCGATGTGTTCTTATCTCTTTTTTTCAAAGAATTTTTTGTGTATGGAATTGGTTATTTGATCGTAACGATGAAGATCAAAAGCTCCGCATAACTGACTGCGCTTCAGAAGTAAATAGTCTTCTTTTATTTCTGAAGCATTATTTCTTTGAAAGATGAAAGGGGTGAGAAATGGCCCCTTGAAGGATTGTGCAAAAGAATGAGGCCGCAACAGAAGAAAAAAATGAGCTAATTGCGCTTATATCAATACGTATACCGTATTCAATATTTATCAGACTCCATTCATGATTGTATTGTGCAATTGAAGACTCTTGATTATTCATACAGAGACATGGCTGGGTTTTCGAAATCTGATTTGCACTTGGGTTAGTTACGTAGCAAAAAATGAAAACGTAATTTCCAAAGTGGTTAACTCTGTTAATGACGGCTAATTGTACTTCGGAAATTTCGGTTCTCTGGTCTGGTCTGCACTCTTTGTTAATGTGCCCATTGACTGGGTTGACTATTGATAAATAAAAATGACCACACCACCTGAAAAGAGTAGCGGTTGCCTCTCTAAACGAGAACCGGATTTTGCTTGCATTTATGTAATTGAATTTAAAAATCTCAGTCTTAAATGAAATACCTGGAATTATTTGTTAGTTGTCCTCAGTTAATTTTCTAGACTAAGAGTAAAACTGTGGTATGAAACCTTAAACTAAATTTGTGAGTGATGATTGATTTATAAGCAAAATACTGACAAGTAGTACAATTTCCGAACTCCAAGAGGCTAAAATGAAGAGAAAAAAAATTCGAAATCTTCTACAGGGGTGGAGTGGGGACTGGATGGCATTGTTTTCGCAGACTTTCACGCATGCGTATTGAGTCAGAGTTGTCGTTGTGGTTCGTGACATCGCGCGGGCTCTGTCGAGTCGAGTTGTATGTTCATGTATGCATGTGATTTGAAACTCTTTCCTGGTGGCAACATTCATGTGCGACTTGTCGTTATTGTCTGAAATCCAAAACAGGATAGACTCAACGGACACAGTCCACGAACAGATAGACACGTCCTTGTTTGTTACGCCTAGCTCCGTGGCGGAGAGGCTGTCAAAGATGGCTGTGGCACCGAACAGTTCAGATGCGTGCCTGAGTATCGTTCACAGCCTGATGTGTCACCGACAAGGGGGTGAGTCAGAGTCGTTCGCGAAGCGGGCTATCGAGTCTCTCGTCAAGAAACTCAAAGAAAAAAGAGACGAGCTAGACGCCTTGATTACCGCTATAACGTCTGGTGGCACGCATCCTTCCAAATGCGTTACAATTCAACGCACATTAGACGGAAGATTACAAGTCGCCGGTCGGAAAGGTTTCCCCCATGTCATTTACGCGCGAATTTGGAGGTGGCCCGATCTGCACAAGAATGAACTAAAGCACGTCAAGTACTGTCAGTTTGCTTTTGATTTAAAATGTGACAGCGTTTGCGTGAATCCTTATCATTACGAGCGAGTCGTCTCACCGGGTGAGTAAAAAAATATCAAGCTCCAATATTTTACGAATTCGACGGGTCGATCGACGGTTGAAGGTTGCCTATGGCTATTATTGCAGAAACGCAGTCGACAATAGTTTAGTCTACGCTTGGATCCATTTTCCTATTTCCTTGATCGACTCAGGGACTGTTTGTTAAGATTTGGTATTACTTGTGTGTTTTGTAAATGCAAAATAAGACTAAACTTATGAACCGTTATTCACAGATATTACGGGATTGGCATTGTCGAGGAATCCAGGTAGGTTGTGAATCCATAAGTACTTTACAGCGGTAGATGTCAATGTTTTGCTGTTTATCACAAACGACTCGAACGGAGAGGCCGTGTTTTTCTAGAATTTTTTTTTCAATCTCATTCCTCAACACTCTCGGCTTGTATGCCCAAACATTTATATTTGTACGTGGGTACTGTTTCTCAAGAGTTTTTGTTAAAACTGTCGATTTCTTGCCTTTGAAACAGACAAAAGTTACCACGGGTTCCGACGTGCAATTATATTCATGGCGATATCTTTGTTCCATTCCAGACTTTCTGTCTGCTCGAAAACACGTGGCTTGGCCATCTTTTTTGTTTTCATTTAGGAGTACATGCTTGACTGGGATCAGACAATGGAACTGGTCGTTTCCCCTTCTATTGTTGAGAATGTGATCATTTGTTCGAGAACGCGGAGATCGAGCTCCCCAAATATTCGCCTAGATCTTTCTTTGACTTAAATCATTAATCCACAAAAGAGATCTTAATTACGGAGGCGATAGAAATAGCTAACAAGGAGATTGAACTTATGGTGTCACGACATGCATCATTCAAGTTATTGTACTCTCACAACTCTCCCAAGAGCAGCTATTCAAATCACAAAAGCCTGTATTACTCTTGCTCTTAAGCTTATTGTGGCAATCAGAACATACATTGAGTAGAAAAGTCAACAATTTGTTTCATTCCAGTTAAAATACTAAGACTACAATCTGCTTTACTGTTGAGGTAGCGGCATTAAAATGTTCGATTTTGGTTAGTTCGTTTATTTGGCTTTTTCCGGATTTGACAAACACGAGTCTTGACTTGATGGTGTTTCGATTTCAAAAGCTAAAAGAGATATTTTAGGTTATTTACCTATTATTGTATGAGTTGTCTAATGCCCTTAAATGATTCATAACGTTAAAAAAGTTATAAGAAAAAAAAAACATGATCCTGGTAAACAATTGTTTTTAATTCTGGGTGAGGTTGTTTGAAAATTTATGAGGATCGATTATCACTCGTTCCTCAAGTCTATTACCGTCTTTTCAGCCAAATAGTGTCTCGAACTGTCAACACAAATTAAAACGCTCAAAATCATAAATGGATAAAAATTACAACTGGTAATTTTATAATTAGGTGATGGGCTGCTGTTGACATTGTTTGACAAATAGTTCATCTCTTCCTGTTGGTATGCTCTCTCTCTGTAATTGATTTCTTTGAGATCTTGCTCTCTAAAAGCATAAAATAACCAAGTGTTACAATGAGCTCTCTTGTAGGAAAAAAATGAGTACTTTCTCTCACTCTGTCTGTCTCTGTCTATCTCACTCTGTCTGTTCAAATTGAACTTTAAAAATGCCATTAGTAGGGAAAGAAAGCTTTGAAAAGCATCAGCACCTTTCATTTCTTTAAATTGATGTATTTACCACACTTTTAGTTCTAATAGAAAATAATGTATATAATGGTTTATACTGTGCTATGGAGCATGAAGGTCTTAGTCTGTATTTATTTGAAAGAAAAGCTCCTTTAGCTTTCCTCAATAGTTTAAGCTCTGTGAAAAGCCATCACATTTCTTGTGAAAAGGAAACGACATATTTTTCAAATCTTGTTTTAATTGTCAAAGTTTTGAATACCAGAATTCTATGATTGATGTTGGGAATTTGCTGACTTTCATAATGATTTTAAGTTTTACAGTAAATTGAACATAGGGGGTTACTGTTTAATCTTGATGTTTACCTTGAAATATCAAATTCCTTATTTTAGGACCTTTTGCTAATGAACACCTCCTCTATCTATTAAGGACTTTTCATCATTTCAATACAGATGAAAGTGGAAAATATTGCACATAACTTTGTGAAGAAATTCTAAGGATGAAATCTAATTTAAATTGTGTTGTGCTCTATTTGCTTTGAAAGTCATGGTTTTAAATTTTTTATGCCTTGTGAGAAATTACTTTTTTTATGATTTTCCATCTTAAGGTTTTTTTATTCTTTTTAATGGCACAAGCTCTCCATAGATATTCTAGAGAGCCTTGACTCATTGCTGGAATTTTATTTTTCAGCATTTTAATTAAAACCCCTATTCATGATGTAAAGCTGGGGATTTAACTTAGTCTTGAGAAGTACTTTTGCTAGAAGCTATTTGTGGAAAGGCAGTTCTTTGCTTTTAACACTTTTATGAAGTTTTCACATCACCCAATATGTGGAGGTGGATGTATGAATCCAAGGCCAGATTTAGAAGGGTTTTTAAGGGGTTGCAGCTTATCTTTTTGGGATTTGTAGTTTGGAACAAACCTTTTTCATTGGATGTTGATATGTCTGTAGATTTACTGGTAAATGAGTGTGTGCTTCTTTAACCAGTTTCCAGTGCTCTTCCTTATTCTTTTTCTGTCCTTGTTCACTCATGAAAACAATCAGGATTAAGATGAAGGAGGAACTTTAGAGAACTTTGCACCACTAAAAGCACTAAAAGCCAGAGATTACGGATCTCTTGCTGTGGCATGACGCACGTGGCAACTTTTCATTCTGATAGATTTAACAGTGCTGTTGGGAAGTGATATTGTTTATCACATTAGGTGATTGTTAATTTTATGTGTGAAGTAGACTGCAATGTTTTGATTTTGTAGTGTTTGTATTAAGGGAGAAATGATTATCATCACTATTTTTGGTGTTAAACACTAAGGCAGAAGAGGCAAGATAATTTCAATCCTCCGTGGTTAATAAGAAAATTGTGTTGTGTTTTGCTAAAGCCACTGAAGGTGGAATAGAAGTTACATTTCCTTGCTAAATAGTTCATATTTATTTTCCTGCAATCTGCTACAGCTATTACATTATTTTGTGGTCAAACAAATGTGTATCAAACTGCATTTTTTTAGCAGCTGAAATGGTACTTCTGGCTTTGCCTCATGATTGTAGGTGACTTTCTAAGAATTATTATATTTTGTGGCTTTCAGGAGACAATTCTTAGAAAAACAAATTTACATGATAACATTGAACAGTAGCATGACATGCTTCATTGGGCTTGCAAGGCAAATTGTGGCAGTGTTACCCTTTTTTGTTTTTTTGTTTTCTGACCTGAAGCTTTGAAATCAAAGCATCAGGTAAGACAGACTGGTACCAGTTCAACAACCAACAATTGAAGAGCAAAAAAATGCTTAGAAACTTGATAGCCCAATCCAGCAGTCAGACAAGTTTTATATTCCAATGATTATTTTTCTGCTATGTTGCCAAAAATGTAAATCCTAGAAGTCTTGACGCATGTCTGCAAATTGAATTATACAAGGCTGTAGTGATTATAAGAATCTATTGAATCATGTTTCAAAAGACTTCTCAAATGTCTTGAATGTTTTCAGCCTTAATTTTCAAGGGACACAACACCCAGTATAAGTAAATCTAAGTTAAGTTCTTAAAACCTGTTTACATTGGTCAGAATTATGACAGATTGACTCGAATAATTGAATATTCTGTTTAATATTTTAGGAATGTGTTTATGTTATTAATTCAAACACAGTTATATTTTTCTTAAAGAATATTAAATAAACATAGATTTTGGTGAGGGAAATTTAGGAAAAAGTCATGGCATGTCACAATGGGAAAGATCAAGGGTCGGTTTTCTTTGGAAGATGATAAAAAAAATATTTTCAGTTGGAGAGTGTTCTGCTCTCTTCTGCTTCATCTCTTTAAAAGTAAATTTTCTCATATCATAATAATTTTCTATCCACTTTCTAAATCTCAGAAACATGCTTCTTTTCTGTACACATGAGTGCCGAGGAAACATTTCGCTAATGCTCTTTTCTAAAGTTGAAGAAACAATACCACTTTGAAAGATGTAGTCATAATTGGAAATTTTTAGAGAAAGAATAGTTTACCAAATACACTGTATGATATCATATTTGAAGTAATTTCAATGTAGTTTTGTAGTGGGTGCTTGTGCCATGGCGCCTCAGGTCTTTTTCTCAAAAATAAGAGAGCTAAAATCTCACTCTATAGAGATTCCTGTTTTATAAGAATCTGTAATATATGGAATGTCTTACCAGATAACAAAAGAGCTTAAAAGGAACTACCATCTTTCATCAAAAAACTATTATCTTTCTTTTATCTAAGACTTAGCAAAATTTTCAATAAAGACAACATCTGTTCATTTAAAAAAGTTTGTGTAAAATGTCGTTCAATGCTCTTAATTCTTATACATGTTAATCAACTAGTTTTTTCTTTTTATCTTTTGTTAATGATTTTATATTTTGTTATTTCCTAGCATAGGGGCTTGTAAGTGGGTTGAGTTTCAATTTTGTTTTTTTGTAGGGGATGGGAAAAGGTAAAGTAACTAGTAGGAGACAACCTTGTCCTATTGTAAATTTATGTGCCTTAGGCAAATTGTGAGATAAACAAAGTAGAGTGACAAAAATGTTACTGTGCAGATCATGTACATGCATTTTTCATTGGTACAGAAGCTCTCATTTCTTTGCAATATGGACTGCTGTGTAAAGGAACTGACAAGATGAATAATCACATGGAAAGATAATCATGACAAACAAACAAGACAGTGAATCTGTTTTGGCATCTTTGATGAACAGTAGCTCAAGAAAAGCCCCCGAGGCAGTAGTCAGGGGAAAGAAACAACTGGAATTATTGCAAGGACAAAACAAAGTGATCATATGAAAACCAAATGTCATTTAGCAGAAAGCCAGATGCAGCATGTAGGCTTGAGGCTAATAAATAAGTTATTCCCCAGGAATATGAAAAATGATGAATTTAATGGAAAAGTTTGCACTAGAGACCATACTATTCCTATCTTTGCCTTAAGGAACATAAATGAATTATGAATTATGGGGATTTATCTCCACAAAAAGGAGCCACACAGAAAGGGAATATTTTGTCAAAAAATTGCCTGCAATAGGTAACCAAGGTTAACTATTTCTGAACCATCATTGTTATTTTGCATTTGCAGGTACAGTAGCTTAGTTAGTGAGTTTCTCTTCAAATAGTGGGGTCTATAGTCTAATTTTAAACAAATTCAAAGACAGTTTTGGAACTGCCACACTTACACCTATGGCAGCTTCAAATATTCATTTTAGTAATGGGATTTTACTCCTTTAACCACCAAGAGTGACTACATGGCTTCCAATTTCTCTTAACAGTAACAGTCTTGATTCAAATGTAAAGATCAGGTGGGGAAAGGAAATCATCACCAATTTAAGAAGCTCCTGATTGTCAAAAAAATTCTCCTTTTCAGTATCAGAGGAAATGTGAAGAGACAAGTGTGGAGAATATAAATGTTATCGTTAGGGTGTATAGAGTTTATAGCTAGATTATTTTGAGTCTGTATTTCAAAAACTTATTTATTGTTCCTTTTGTTTTTTTTTCTTTGGTCATTAGATGGGGCCTATGCCAGTAATTCTCAATCAGATCCAGACTTCCGCCAAGCTGTTGGTCCAACAGCACATCATTATCCAGGTTTGGTCACTACAAAAAACGTGCTGTTTGATAATAATGTTTCAGTGGATTTATCAACAATTTACTTTGCACCACGTGTACCAAGTTTCCATTCAGTTTATGCCATGCAGTTGTAAATCTTGTTAATCTACTGTTTGGTTGATAAATATTACAGATAGTTTACGTAGATACAACTTAAACTTCTGTGTGTAAAAAATTTGGAAAAGTTTGTAAACCCCACTTACCTTGGACATTTGATCTATAAACTTGTTCCCTGAGTTCTCTGTAACTCCTGTATGGGTTAGTACAGCTACTGAAACTGACAAAAAGTGTGGTTTATCACCTAAATACAACAGTTATGGTGACAACTTCAAAGTCACACCTGATAGTTATGACTTAGCCTAAAAGGGGAGTAAACCTTTGATTATATTTCCATGGTTGTTAACAAAAGCAGATACCCCTATAGAAAAGAAACAATAGCTGACAATTCATTTGGTGAATTATCACTTACACATAAACATTTACTGGCAGGAAGCCAAACAATTCCTTCAGTTGTTGGTTCTCCACATGATATGTACCCTGGAATGCATCCATCAGGAGATCCCTCTATGGGTCATGTTGCCTCAGGTATGACACTTGATCACTTACAGTCTAACATGTCTTCTTCAGGGTAAAGAAAGTTATAGTTAGGTTGGTTCTATGTTCAAATGAATGATTTTCAATTTTGAAACCTCGAAAGAATTAAGTAAGTGTTTGTTATCAAACTTTGAACTTTAAGCAGAAAACTTATGTGTATGTAGACATTCCTGGAAAATTAATTTGAGGTAAAAGGTTTCCATTCAGATTTCCCTTTCACTTTTACTTTTTTTCATCTCAGTAATTTTAATAATCTAAAGGGTCATTCTTGTGATACTTGATACCTGACATGTTTTTCCATGTTGAAAAGTCGTTGTAATTTTATATTATGTTGTTAAACCCCTTGTCATTCTCTTGCTAATTTTCTCTCTGTTCATTACCTGTCTGCTTTACGGAGTGTTGAAAATTGAGGGAGAATTTTTCAAACTGATCACTCCAACAAAACCAGATTTACAGATGTTATAATGTGTTTGTGTAAAATGTTCCCTTCCTCAGGACCTCCCACTTGGGGTACACCGGGATCTGCCACCTACAACCCTGGACCACACCCAGGGGCTGGTTATTGTAAGTTTAATGAATATGGTAAATTCATTTTCATTTGACAACAGTGAGAGGGACTTCATCAAATCGCTTTCAGTCAGTCTTTTTTGTGCCCCTCTCCACTAGGTGGCATTAATGTAGCTCAGATTTTTCAAAGGTGGAGGGGGGTGGTCACAGTTACACATTTCCATGCACATGAGGTGAAGCACCTTATACTAATCTTCTACCTTCTGTACCAATGAGGTTGTATTCATGTGGTGATAAGGACAGCAAATGAAGTATCTAGCTTTGAGGAAGATCTTTTCTGGGTAGAGTGTAGTCGAATTTTTCGCAAATGTGAAAAATCACAGATGATCCATGAAGGAATGAGGATAACACAGGGTGGCTCTGAGCTCCAAGTCAAGGGAGAATGATTTTAAAAACTTTATATCTCTGTGTTAAGAATTTTTTTCTTTTTTTCAAGAAGAAGCTTAAGATCTTAATAACGGAATTAAAATGCGAGATTTTCCTTTTGAACGAAAAAAATAAAAATGAAATACTAAAATACTGTTAACATAAATGAAGGTTTCGATGCTGGAAGTTAAATGTTGTCGATAATTTTTATCATCTCTAGGGACTCAGGATCAGGCATCAGAGGTTCAAGATGGCGCTCCAATATCTAAACACCCCCGTAAGTACACTCACTCACCTCATGTACGATATTATACAATGGATAAGTTATTTTCCGGGTGGGAGGTCCGTAAGGGAACAAACTCTGCCCGAAACTTGACAGAAACTTGAGTGCAGCCTGAGCCCTAGGGCCGTACTCAACACCGAAGGCACACTTTTTCCCATACGGACCGACCGGTAAATAATTTTTCTTTTCCGGCTGGTTTACTTTTATCCGCTTTGCCCGCCATGATCCGTATTGTTTGAGCTGGACCGGTTTCGAGCGTTCGATTAGCCAATTAGAGGATTTGAGATTAATAGACTAAGTGACCTTTTAAAGAGCAGTTGACGAGAATGAAAGTTAAAGCTGAGGTAAAATTACCGTGACAAGTGAAAAATGTGTTGAAGGAAGGATGAAAGGCAGTTATTTAAGGGTCGCGCGATTTAGGCTTCTCACACACTCGCGCCAGCCAAAAAGATTCCCGAATTGGGTGCCCCCAACGAAGTTTTATCTTTATCGTCTAATTTTATTTAACTCTTCCTCTTCTCGCAACAGCTCCAGAAAACTGGTGCTCGATATCATACTTCGAACTGGACCAGCAGGTTGGAGAGATTTTTAAGGTGATGTCTTCGTGTCCGTCAGTCACAGTGGATGGTTATGTTGATCCTTCGGGTGGGAACAGGTTTTGTCTTGGTCAGCTCTCCAACGTCCACAGAACCGAAGCTAGTGAGAAGGCGAGGCTACACATAGGTTAGTGGCTCAATGTCTGTTCATGAAACTTTGTAAGTCTTTATTGATCGATTCAGTGGTGAATCTTCCCTCAGTAGAAGGTCTACACTCTTTCGTATAACCTTTTTGTCAGTGCAGACACCCACGAGATCTGTGTTCGCGCGGTTGTTAATGAAGAAAGATTTGTTTGGAAGCCACATATGTGGTAGGGCTCTTATCAGCCCTTATTTTGGTTTACTTTTGGGATCTTTGTGTCACAAATTCTCCCGGGCTGGATGGGAGTCAAACGGAACTCACCAGCCTGTCATTTAGGCAGAGTGTCTTACGAGCTATGTATTACCCTTAGAAACAAGCTGCAAAGCAGAACCTGAACACAAGGACTGTCCTCATGAATTAGCCCTTTCTATCTTTGTGTGTCTTTTTAGGAAAAGGAGTCCAGCTAGATTTAAGAGGTGAAGGTGATGTCTGGGTGAGATGTCTCAGTGAACACAGCGTCTTTGTACAAAGTTATTATTTAGATAGAGAGGCAGGGCGTTGCCCCGGGGACGCTGTACACAAAATCTACCCATCCGCGTACATTAAGGTGTTTGACTTACGTCAGTGTTATCGACAAATCAAGCAACAGGCTCATGCTGCCCAAGCTGCCGCTGCAGCTCAAGCCGCAGCCATTTCCACCGGTGTGGGGCCTGGTGCCTTGTTACCACAGATAGGAATGAGCGTGGGTGTCGATGATTTGAGAAGGCTTTGTATACTACGACTGAGCTTCGTGAAAGGCTGGGGACCTGACTACCCAAGAAAAAGCATCAAAGAAACACCGTGCTGGATAGAAATTCATTTGCATCGGGCGTTACAGCTTCTCGATGAGATATTGATTACAATGCCGATCAACGAGCCCCGCCCACACGACACGTGATTGACATGTAGATACACTTTGTTGGCTTCGCTGACAGTGCGTGAAACGGTTGGCGTGGCTTTGATAGTGATATCATTTTTACAAATTATTTTATTTCCCTCGCTTCCTAAGGAACGGCCATTTTGTAAGCGGTTTTTCAGCTCCTGCTATTTCCTAAAAAAGGCAAAATGATTGTTTTGTCTTGATAATGCGAATTCATTCTAAGAGCATTCAAACTCTCTGTGTGGGATTATTTTTTACGCCTAGTACTTTATTGAAAGTTACTTCCAAGGTCCGTCAAGCGATCACCACTAACTGTCTTCGTAAAAGCTGTGTTGGACTTAATTCGTTTCTCACGTAAAGAAGGACAAGTATGTTATAGTGGAAGAGATAGTCAAAATGGGGAGATCAGTAAATATCTGAAATAGTTATGATGCAGCTTATATCATCCATAGTGGAAATTAGGTTCTTGGCTCTAAATCAGCTCCTATAACAGTTTCTCTTGGAGGCAAAGACCTAATCGCATGCATTTGTTTTTAATGCTAAATAACAAGAATCGTGCGCTTGCGCGCTCAAAAGAGAGGGACGACGAAGGTTTTTAAAACTGTAGTTCTACATTTAGGTAGATGAATGGTGCTTTTACGGTGTATTGGAATGAATATAAACATTGTCATTTGAGGTGAGATCTCTCTAACCTACAACAGCACAACTTATATGCGATTTATCAGCGATTGGCTCAGGATTACCATTTATCTCCTTGATGTTGTGCCTAATTGACCAAATGAAGATTTAAAAATATAATTAACAGGCTGTGTATAGATAGGTACTGCATTTAAAATGCATTTTATCAACCTACTTGCTTTGAAGGAGCTGTTGAAGTGCTCAAGATGATATATGGTTCTTTTTCCTATGTGTGATGGGGTTAAACAAATTCTTGAGTGTTTGTTATGTTTAGATACAGTGTTATTAACTGTTTGACATCGGAAGAGCAGATCAGAGTGATCGATCACGGTGCATTATGGTAGAGAATAATACTATTTGCTCTAGGTTAGAATGGAGTGTCTTAACCAGACTAATAGCATTCCCGTGGTTATTTTGATAGCATTCAGTAGGAAGGGAAATATATAGCCAAGCGAAAAATAAATGTTTGAGTGGACGGGGCGGGTTAAGCTTAACCCAACAACTATTAAGGTAAACAAGGGTATGCTAATAGTCTCGTCAAATTTGATACGCCTTTCTCCTATCTGTTTGCTTAATTAATCGGTATTAACTAACGTAATTAACTGTTTAAGTTAATCTTGCATATACCAAAAGTACTACACCTTTTCCAGAATGGCAACCGAGTGGAAGGGGAAACCGAGAAATAATCGTCAAATTAATCGAAACTTTTTTTGCTAGCAGCAGATTCATTCACTTCCTCTTTGTCGGTCTACAAGGTAAATTTTGGTCTTATGTTTGTGGATGTATGGTAGAGTTGATTTTCTGGAGTGTTGTAAAACGCGAAACCAAAGAAATCATAGAGTCAATAAAGACTTGTGGTACTCACAAGCAAACTGCCTTAAGGGCGGGAAACGCGAGTTCAAAGGTGGAAGTAGTACAAGATTTGTATATCTGATTGGCTGAGGAGATTGTCCAAGTTTTCTGGAACAGTCATAGGGCAAAGCATGGCGAAACCAGTGCAATTTGGAATTACCCCGACACTTGCCTGAAAATCGTTCTCTCTACACGGTCCTACAAACTCTTCTGAACATGAAACGTATTAAGTCTAATTTCACCGATGATACTAATTGGTTTCGATAAATCTCCAGTACGCAATCTTTGGACTATGCACTTTTTTGCTGTGAAAATTAGTTTTCGATGTGATAACTTTTCATCTCGGTCGCCACTTTGGAGAAGCTTCAAAGGCTCATGCCCATTTTAATGTCTCAATTTGTCTGTGATAGCCTTGTTTTACTTTATGTTGCTAATGTAGCTCTGTTGTACGTAAAATGTTTCCGACATTTTTAAGCAACGAATTTCATGTGTAATTGAAAACCGTTGCATTGTAGATAGCTCAGTGATAGAAATGTATTTTCGTAAAGTTAATGAGCTTTATAGACTTAATTTCTTAAGTCAAATTGTAAATTTTACTCAGCGATTTGTTTTTCAAGAAAAGTCTTATTAAGGTATGTAAAATGTATCATTGTATGATTTGAGACTTCAAGCGGAATTTAAGTCGTGGGGTCGGTTACAGAGATTTTTCATATTGTTTTAGCGATATAACTGTTCATTAATAAGTTATGAAGTAAAAACGAAAATTGAAAGATGTAGTCAGCCTCTCTAAACAGTAAACGCCAACATTCCTAGCTGCAACGTAGTTGAAAGTTCCTTTGTCACTCTTTCTGAATCCTGATTGTTTGAGTTAACAGGCAACTGTACTAAAAACTCGGAGGTTTCTTGAAAGTTAGATAATCAGTGGCTTTTCTCAATAGAGGGACGAGACAGAGTGACAGAGTGACGGTCATTTTTTTGTTATCAATGGACGTTATCAATTTTGAAAGACCCAACCGTTGGTTACTGCTGCCTTCGAAATGTTTCAGACTCGGGCTTTAAACGTAGACTGGAGAGCTTTGTGTAATCTTAACATCTAGTTTCTTATGATTGCAGAATGCTTTTATTTATCCTTTCAACTGAATTAAGCAGATATTACTTGACGCTCTTCTGTTTTGTGCCACTTTTTTGGTTACATTTGAGGGAATAGGTGGGTTTTCTCAATGTCGGTCTCCTGATGAAGACTGTAAAATAATTCACTCGGTTGGTTAACATCTGTTTTTGTGCTGTGACTTCCAAACACTAGTCAACACAATCTGAAACTTTGCTTCTTCTTGATGTGTTGTACAAGGGTTTTTTTTTTGGGAGCTTCATCCCTAAAAGCTAGTGGGTTAGGCCTCGTATGCACGAAGTCAATAGTTTTTGTTTTGTAAACGCACCATGAGTTAAAAAAAAAAAACACGTTTATGCTGGATAATTTTTCCGCTAGCGTTTTTATTTGATACTACTGTTAATATGCTCTTATCGTTTAACCAAGCGTTAATAGTTGAAGCATACTTGCCAATTGTCAGGCCCCTTCCGATATTTCTTTCCAACCTGTCGTTGTTATGATGAAAAAAAAGAAACTTCTCTTACTCGCAGAGTTTTGGAGATCTTTTCTGCGATAACATAAATTTAATAATTAAGATCTTCGTTGTTTTAATCATCAGTCCTTGCCTGCCGCTGGTTCCTTTCATTGGGAGATAAATATCATTTAAAAAGGCTGAGCTCAGCGATATTTGCATGATAAAAACCGCACGCCAAAAAATTTTACATCATTTCCTGATTTCAGTTAGCTTTTAGCCTCTAATTCAAAGCACGATTTATAAAAGGAGGAAAAAAATGCTGACAAGCTAGTACGGGAGGAAGTAACTCCTCCTTCATGTCTAAATTCTGTGACTCGTTTCTATGATAACAAAATTCCACTGTCCTACACTCCCTCGGTAGATGTTACTTTGTTGTCAATTAATATGGCGGCTGTTGCTACGAGAGCGTAGGAGAAGTGCTTCTAGATTTCCTTTCTCTGTTCTCCCTGTGTAACGGTGTCAGTGTACTTGGTAACGACATGAGTAACAAACTTTCAAGCAAACCTTCCAGGAAGGATCGCCCAAGATCGACAGGTAAGCAATTTCGCTGAGATGACGCGCAAACCCATTTTGATATCTCAGGTTACATAAACTGTTTTTATCTTTTATCTTCTTGTGGTGTATACTTTCTATGTTCCTTTCACTTTTGCATTTGAAATCACAAACTTATGAAAAATAGGATTGGAAAATGTCATCGCTAAGCCTTCTTGCATGCACGAGAGACTGAGGTGCATGCATGTGAGAGGTTGAAAGAGAGTAGCCCATTTTCTTGTAGATGGGACACGCAAGCTATCCCGAATGGCTCTCGTCTGAGCTCTGTTGATCGAAGTTGTAGTAAGAAAAATACTTGGTTAACGACAAAAAAAATTTTTATTGCTATGGAAGATAAATCTGGTCATGCTTCGAACAACTCTGCTTTCTCGTACATTGTTCAGGGTAGGATAATTTGATTGTTTTTTTGCACCATACTAAGATAATTCTACACTTTTTAAAGGATATATACATGTAGGGGTTGCTCTAGGTGAGTAACTTAAGTATTAAAGAAAATGTCTTTAAACGGCATAACTTTTCCATGAACAGGGCCATTGCACAAATCTAAACTTAGTTGGAGAAAGGTGTACATTCATAACTGAACCTGTAGCTGAATCTTTGGTGAAAGATACCTAATGTGGGGGGTGGTACTCTCCTTTAAATATTTGAGGGTTACACATAGTCATTACTAAGAATGATTGTCAACTTTGGTGGAGATCACAGAAAACCATCGATGAGACTTGTTAACTATAATTATTATTATTAAAAGGAGGAGGCTCGATATGAATATCGTTAATGAGTGTCTTGATGACATTTTCCAGATAAGAGTGCTAAAACTAAAAAGAGAGATGGTGGTACCCCTGATAAGATGAGTTCACCAATTGGTTCTGCCGTGCACATTCCTGATGAATTATGCACAGGACCATCTGTTGGGAAGGTCATAAGTGGAGATGATATTGATTCTCTGGCAATCAATATGGACGAATTGAAAAAGGTAGAAGAAAAATAAAGAAAATTTTGTTTAAGGCATGCTTCACTTACTAAAGGTTAAAAAAAAAACATTTGAAAGGAAGCGTGGTATAATTTAGAGAAAAATGAATTTGAGACCCCAAGATGTGGTCATTAATTGCTTCAAACTGTCAACCTGTTACTTCCAGTTGGCAAGTGGTAGGCTTTGTCCTGCTTAATTGGAAATTCCCCATGTTGATAAATAATACAATTACTGAGACTCTTTCTTGCAATTATCAGGTGAAGCATATTTTTTTCCCTGGTAATTAACACTTATCACTGATTTAAATCCTTTCCAACTACATACATTAGTCATTCTACAATTCTGGCTGTAGCTGCGGCCTTGATATGTTATGATGTTGAAGGGTTGTCTTTGGTGAAGGTGTGCAGTAAGCTGTTCACTTTTGTTTATAAGCAAAAGTCATAGTGAGTGCAAACAAAGAAACAGGAAGGTTAGATCAACCTTTCAGTATCCAGTTAGTCCATACTGGACTCTAGATTAAGCTAATGAAGACTTGTATGTGGATATAATTATAGTAATCTTTCTTGGAAATGAAGGATGTACACTTTCAGGTTGTCTGGCAAAATAATAACTGCCACAAGTTTTGTCACAGAAAGTCAAAGAAAACACAGTTGAATTATTTTCATTGTAAATGAACTTGATTCTTGTCTACTCTTATATGTTGTGGAACATTTGAAGGATCAAACGGTCATTTCCTGACTTAACAGGTCCATCCTCCCAAGAGACCAGCAGTCCCAAAACCATCAAGAACTCTTGTGGTGCGAAAGACACGACTCAAGCCCTCAGTGGAGCAGAATCAACCTGTGGGAAAGAGGTATTTGCATTAGCAATTACATTGACATGTAACTATTGAAAAAAAAAAAAAAGGAACTCAAAATTCTTCAAGATCTGATCAAGATAAAGAAGAATTTATGGGAAAAGTTCAGATAAGTCATATAATATCTCATCTTTGAAATGATATAGAGTGTTCTTTGAATAACAGATACAAGATAATTGGTATTAAAAGACTAATTGTGTTACATTAACCCTTTAACTTCCAATATCTCATTAGTAGTTCTCCTTACTGACTGCTATATAGTTCTTGAGATAACAGTTTGGAGAATTTGGTTTTGAATCAACTAATAATCCCCAAATTAATATTTTTCTTTATTCTCATCACTTGTCTGCTTGATATTGTGATGATATTGGAAGGAGAAATTCTGTCTTGGTCACTCATGGGAGTTAGAGGGTTAACAATTATGATTTATAATCATGATGTTTTGGACATCAAGGTTATTAGCAAAGACATGTACATTTTGGAAAGTGAGAAAAACATATTTCATCATTTCGTGTGTAACAAAAAGCAAATTTTCTTATTTCAGGGTTAAAGGAGTTCTTTTTTTTTTTCAGTATGACTGTTGCACGACCAGCTCCTTCAGATGCACCTTTAGTATCTACTCCCCTTATTGGTAAGGCAATACCTAGTAAATGTCTTTTGTATAATTGCTCCAGTGATTATAGAGATGTGTGCACTCTGATTGGTTGAGGATTACATTGTATCTTGCAATACTCACCTCCTGGTGATTATAGCAGGAGCACAAATTTCAAAATGGCTGCCTTGATAAACATGATAGAAGAAGATACAATTCTGAAGAGCACACAAGAAGCTAATAAGTTTGGTGTAACACTTTTCTAAAGAAGGGTATGGAGTTTTTGCTGACGGAATTAATAGTTAAACTTGTTTAATTCTTGTGAAAACTGCTTATCTCAATATGAGTAATCCAGACAATTATAAAAGAATTTACAGTTTTCAATTTACAATAATTTTACAACAGAATTTGAAAGCACCCAAGCAATCATACTAAAAAAAATTATTCGCCTTAGGCATAATTATGTGCTTTGTCTTGAGGATTATTCAACAATATTCACTGCCTTCAGCAAATAATTGGTTAATAATTTTTAAATATCCATTTCTTTATGGATGTTTTAGATAACTTTTTCATGTATGTAGACATTTATTAAACATTTGACACTTTCTTGACAGCAGAACTTCTTAAAAGCACTAAATTAAATGTAATAAATGTTTATACCTTTAATTTCCCATAAAAATCTTTTACCTCTGTTGCACAAGACCATATGTCACTCTGCCATAATGTTCACTTTGTAGACATCTTCCTTTATTGTTAGTTCTTTTATAGTTATCCCAGAGGTTTGTTTCATTAATTTTAGTTAATATTATAAATTATCCAATATAATATTATTTTGCACTTTTGTCAAATAAGGTACAACTGGTCCAATTTTTGATGAGGATGGACAAGTTTTGACTCACACCATACTGGGATCTTGGGAAGACTTTCAACAGGAAGCTATTAAGAGAGGAGATATTGAGGTTAGTGTTACTCTTGGTAAGCAGTTACTGTATGAAAAAAGGACTGCTGTTTCTTAAAAAGGAAATTTGAGCAAAGCAAGGCAAGTATGAGGAGACCCACTTAAAACAGTTCCTCCCTGAAATATTTTGATGTTTTATTTTAGTTATAAACTGCAAATGTTAAGTTCATAGTGAATTCATCGTATTACCCGATGGTAAATGCAATCTTGAATTATTTGTATACCCTTCAACAGAATAGTTTCTTCTTTATTTTCATCTTTCAGAATCTCCCTCCATTCTCTGGACACAAGGTATTGTCATTAAAAGGAACAAAGCCCTAGATCATGCCAGGTGTCAGGAAGAAATATTCTGACATTTATTTTTAATTAATGGGAATAAAATATGAAATAATAATAAAACCAGTTATCCCTTATTCAGATATTAAGTAATTAAAGATGTAAAGGGATTCTTTCAATACCAAGTATTTCATTTAAGTATCCAGTTTGTTTTATGACATTCTAATATTCTTGTAGTTTGGTGCTGGCAAAGTTAGGCCATCAACTAAAGATGCAGAAAAGGAAAAGAAGTTCTCCAGTCATGTTTGGCAAACAAAGGTAAGTGCATGTAAAGTTTGAAATATTATAAAAGTTTCTTTTAAGAATTTCATAATTTTTAAGTAAAGCATTTAAATGGCTTGACAAAAGCCACTGCACTGTGGTTGGTAATTGTGAAGAGCAGCCCCTCTTCTGGCTGTTGGCCAACTGTCAGCCAACAAATAACTGATAGGCAACTGAATTGTACATGAAAGGCTACTGACATATAAATGATAGGCTACTGAAATAAATGATGGGCTATTGACTTATAAATGATAGATTTCTGACACATAAATGATAGGGTACTGACATTATAAATGATATATAGGCTTCTGACATATGAATTAATGATAGGCTGCTGACATATGAATGATAGGCTACTGAAATAAATGATAGGCTACTGACATCTGAAGTAATGATAGGTTACTGACATATAAATGACTGGCTACTGACGTATAGATGATAAGCTACTGACATACCAATGATTGGATACTGACACATAGATGATAGACTACTGACATATAAATGTGTAGCTACCAGTTTACCATGGTCGCAAAAAATTTTACTGTATTTTATAATATCAGAGAATTATCATCCAAAGTGTTTTCTCATCTGATGTAGCATCTAATTTTGTCTACAGAAGTGTGGATGATATATAAGGTTAATACCTAACAATAATCTTGTTACCCACAACTTACCTGCAGCATACAGATCACCAACAGATTAATAATTGTTGGCCTACAAGTATGCCTAAAACTTTGGCTGTCAGGTTTTTTCAAGAGTTTTTCTCCACCGATTCCCTGTTGCTGGTGGTCTTACTTTCCTTAATTTGGCAGCTAGTTCCTTTCCTAGTCACAGCTACCCGTGTGCCTATATAATGAATAAAAAAAGAAATGTAATCTGTGAGTCAGAATAACTTACAGTTAAAGTAAAGCCTAATTTCTGTTTACAGGACTTTTTTTTTTCAATAGTTTGGTTTATAGTAAACTTTTGTTGAGCAAAATTGATACTGTTCAGACATAGAGAAGATGCCAATGATGTGATTTACATATATTAGCCTGTTTTTCTTTTCAAATACTTCCAGATAATTTATACAATTTTTTTGTAATTTGAGACTCCATTATTTTAAATATTTCATAATTATGTCTGACACATTTAAAAAATTAACTTTAAAGATTATGCATCACAATGTAAATTAAAATTATAATCTTTTATGTCATTGATCATTTTGTCTTTAATAATGTCTTTCTTGTTTTCCCATTAAAGATCAATGAAAGTAATGCATTGAAAAACTGGCAAAGACAGATGATACAGAGGAAGAAACAACAACATCATCTAGCAAGTAAGTCAACAAGCCATCATCATTTATTATGGCTTATGAACTGAATTCTCTTAAGAAATAATATGCACAAAGGCTATCAATATCTCTGGCCTCTAGTGTTGAACATTACTCTGACTTGTGGTTTCTATAAACTCAAGATTAATGTTAGAATATTATTCTTTGAATTCATTTATTGTTCTTTTATCTAGATGCACTAAACACATCAACAGATATGTTGGTTATGAACCAAAGCGAGGATTATAGAGAAACACAAGAAGACAGGTACATTTAACCCAATTAAATGAAATGAAAATTTTTGGCAGTGGTAATTATCTCAATTACTTTTTAATGGCCTTGAAGCTGAAAAGAAAAGTTGATATTCAGAACTGATGGTTTTATTTTATCATTTACTTTGAAAGGTATGCCATTGACAGATCCATCCCATCAATGGATTATGGAAAAGGATGTAAGTTTAAGAAGTTGAAATAATTTTTAAGCGGTAACTTTTTCTTTACTTCATATTTCATGTTTTTTTTTTGTTTTGTTTTGTTTTTTTACACCAATTTGGCTGATAAGCATAATCATTTGTGAATTGATGAATTTAGACAGCAACACTCTTTAAGTAAGGCTGCTTGTTAAATTTCTAAATTCTTTTGTGCAGATCGTGTTGGTAGTGAGTTTTGGAAACAGGCCGAGCAAATAGGAAATGATGAAACAGGGATCAAGTAAGACTCCATAATCAGCTTGATTACTTTTATGAAAAGTTATGGATTTCAATAATGTAAGGCTGTGCTTTTTGTTTTTAAATCATCATCAATACCATCACTCTTGCAAGTCAAAGAAGTTTGGACTGCACTGGCCTGAATAGAGCATTGCAGTGTGTTGACCTCAGCTTGATCAAGAACATTGAAACTACGATCACTTTAGTCAGGGTTGCCTTTCTACTGATTGTTAGACAGTATTCCCAAGGAGTTTTCTTAACTTCTACATCGAATCAATTAACCACAAATTTTAATTTTGGTTACTTTTTTTTTAATTTGTCTTAGAATGAAGTGTTTAGTGTTTAACTTGATATTCATTCACAAAAGCAGGAGACACCTGTTAAGTTTGGTGCCTCACCGCTTCTTTGAGGAGTAATATGATTGTTTGATAATTTTATTTGAATAAGAAGACTGTTATATTGATTGATGTCATCTCTGTATGTAGTATGACTTTGACACAGACTGAGCGAGGCTATCCACCTGCCATTGAACACATTGGAAAACCCATATACATCAAGAATGAAATGGGTAAGGAACAATTAAGGCTGAGTTCAACCACTGTTGCTGCCATTCAATGTTAATGGCAACAATTTGAATTTTCATGCCCTTTCTGCATTTGAAGCAATTGGAGGGCTCAGAGCAAGAACGATCCCTTGATTTTTTGGCCATTTTTGAAAGTGTCCACATGCCAAAATTCAACTACTTCTGAACACTTTCAAAAATGGCCGAAAAAATCAAGGGATCGTTCTTGCTCTGAGCCCTCCAATTGTGTGAAGACATTTTCTTGAAGGGGTGATAAAAGTAAGAAACAAATTTATTGTTGAGAAGATAATGTATAAGGAAGAAGGAAAGGAATCACCTTTTTAAAACTAAAAGCAGACTTTTCACTGTCACCAGGTAGCTCTGTATGTTCTCTTTAGTAGAAGCTTTTTATTATTTTTTTGAGGAATCTCTGGTGGTCCATGGTTTTGTTTGATGAGGTTGTTAAATAATTATTTGCTATGAGCAGAGCTTTGGGCTAGCTTGTAAAATTTTGAGAGTCAGTGGTACGGTGTGACTCCAGTTGTTGTTTTTTAGGCATAGAGTGGTCCAACACCCATAGGTCAGTATCAGTGCACTACCCCTGGCAGAAGTCTAGTTATCTTCAGGAGAGAACTACACAGCTTCAAAATGTTTTAAATGAGTTAGACCCACACCAACCAGTAAGTGAAGCAAAGTGCTGCAGTATTGTCTCTAACATTTCCAGGTTTTTGCGTGTGATGGGTATCAATTTTACACAATTGTTGTCCTCTGTAGATGGCTAATCTATACTATAGTAAAAAACTCTACTGTATGAAGTGCTAGGAAGTCCCTTCTTTTGTTCTGTGGATTGTTCCATTTGAGAGAAATCTTGTAATGATAAGGCTGATGCTGTTGGGTTATTTGACCTACATTTTGTACTTCAGTCTGTTGCCCAAACTGCAGTCCAGTTTACTTTATTATAATCACTTTTTGTGAGCATGTGTACCTTTAGATCAGTGTATGAAACATATGTTATTGTAATATTATGCAATCATTCTGCAAAGTTCTCCATCTGTCGTACACTTTTTTTAATAGTTTAGTAAGTGTTAAATGCTGCCAGGTTTTCCTCTATTGCAAATGCTAATCATGGTTTTCTCTTTCAGTACATTGATGATCTTGAAGTGATTGGAACAAATCAGCCTCAGCATTCATCCAAGTTCGACATGATGTCCATAGTTCAAGAGGAAGAAGAGGAGGAAAGTGAGGCAATGGATGAAACTGTGCTTCAAAGGTTAGTCATTCTAAATTTCTTGTAGCATTATCTTAAGACCTCCAGTTAAGGGTAGAACCAACACAAACATTTGTATTTCAAAAGTTTGTTTAAAAAGATATAGCTCCATGCCAATTGGGATGGAATTAAAAAAAGCAGTTAAGGACATAAAACTACTTGTTGTGATTAACAGGAACACATTTCCTGCATGTACATGCATGTATCAATCTTAAAGATTAATACACACACAAGAACCAAGCAGAAACAAAGAAAATTTTGTTTGTGGTATAGCATCCTTAGATAAAGCATCATTGTACCCAACCATAGAAAAGCCAGATGCTATATTATTTGGGTCAACATAAAACTCATCTCAAGTTTGCTATAAATATTATACACCATCACACTTATATTTAGTCCATGTTTATTCTCATATTACTGTTAACATGAGTTGCTTATTCCTAGGGACCCTTTGGCAAATATCGCTGATGTTGTACCTCAGCCAATATTTGGACCATCATTATCAATTGGTGGTCACACAGCTCAGTGGAATGGTCCAAGGTCAGGAGGCAGTGAGAAAGCAGGGGTGGCTTGCCGTGTGATATTTGATGCCAATGTTGGAGACAGGGTCACTTCTCACCTAAATATCTGCAATGATGGAACAACTGCAGTGTACTTTTCTTGGAAGGTATTGTTCACCACCTGTCCTCCCTCTTGTTTATAACCTGAGTCCTAGAAGACTTGCAGTTGTCATGTTGTTCTGATTTCTGTAGGAGACTTTGTGAGATAATCTACCATGTACAACTTGTGGTTAGAATTATCAGAAAATAATGAGTCTTGTATCAATTAAGAGAGCTTTCAAAACTGCATCATATTAATTAATAAACAGACATATAATTAAGGATTATACATGTTACTTTCCTTTTTCAAAAAAGTACTAAGTGACCAGTTTTTTTTTTTTTAGTGCTTTGGACAGTAAGTGATTTGACAATTATGATAAAATTGATATTGAATTCATTTGAATTAGGAAATTAAGACCTGCAATGAACAGAATTATGTGTAAGCCTACCACAATATGAATGTGATAACTTTTTATTGTTACCATAACAGTTTTACTGTTTTTATAATTACTCATTGCCAACTCTTCCTTCAAAAGTTACACTGATATGCCCTTCAAATATAAAAATCCTTGCCACCTTTCAGACAGATGTAATTCTAGTATGTTTGTGAAGGTATTTTGTTTACTTAACCTAACTTTCATACCACAGAAAATTCCACGGACCAATGTACTGGGGACCAAGCTTGCAGGACATGCTCAAAGGTTTTACTTTGACACCAAGAGTGATGTAATCTTACCAGGAGATACTTTGAAGTTCCCATTCATATTCAAATCTCCAAATGCTGGGATCTTCACTGAGACATGGGAACTGATGACAAGACCTACTCTTTGTGGTGGGGCTCCCATAAGGATCACTCTAAGAGGTAATGAAAATGGCAAATATTTATAGATTGGTTTTTTTGCTTATGTTTCTTATTTTTCAGTCAGCCAGCACACTTCACTTGGCTTTCTTTGATCCAGTTGCTAAGACTGCCTTGTTTTTGGTTCAATGACATTAATTTCTGGTGTTGGGTTTTTTTTTTCCATGGGGTAAAGTTTTTAGACCAAAAGGAGATTGCTGTGAAATTAAAAAATGTTTTAAATCAATTTCACTGCAAGTAAACTATGAAATAAACCAAAATTTAATTTGAAGAATATTCCATTTCTTTTTTAAGAGCAGTCAGCTGTAGGAGGATTGGAATGATTTGGTTGGATAAGATTTTAAAAAAATTACATCTTCATCAAATATTAGGGCTATCATAGAGTGTATGGTTTGTTTGTAATTATTGGATGGGTTGTGCTGAAATATTCTCGTTTGTCCACATGTTTGGTAGATTGCAGTGTTAGGATTAGTACTGCTGTTAGTTGTTTGTGAGTAACAAGCTTCAGCTAACCTCGTCATCTTCAGATGACTCGCTTTAGTCAATTTAAACACCACAATTCACATGGAGAGGGATCATTATTGTTCAGTGTGGTGAGAACATGGACCAAAGTTACAGTCCTCAGTTTCTGTAGAACATAAAACATGGTTACTGCCATTAACAAAAGCTGTCTGTAATAATGAAAGATTGTGGTCCTATGAAAGTGTGGTCATGCAGTTAAAAGGTGGTAAGGTACATGTACCAGCTGGCGGCCCGATATCAGTCTTTTTATTTTTAAATCTCTTTCATTTATCGTCGTCAGAAAACTGTTTTGTACAACTTTTTTTTTTTACTTAACGTTATAGGATACTTTAAATTATGTCTAAAGACACCCTCTTGATACTTGGCTTTGTTCTTTTCAGTTTACCACCAACAACTCATCACATACATTTCATAGAGCATTTTTAGCAGCAAGTTAATTTACTTGCAGGTGTAGCATTAGAAGAGGACATCTACAAGGAAGCCAGGCAGCAAATTGAGGATGATTTGGCTCACAGAGAAGCAGTGGAGACTGCAACAAGACTTCTTGAAGAGATCCTTGATGGTGTTCGTACTCCTGAGAGAGCCAGGTCCCCAGTGGATGCTTATATCACGGTGAGTTGTGTCAGTGAGGATGTAGGTACTTGGGAAAGAGTTAGTGAGGGTGGAAATTTTATTAATAACCATTTTCTTTAATATTTCATATTCACATGCCTTTGATAATTACAAATTTTTAAAGTGACAGTTCATCAGAAATGTTTAAGTGAAAAGAAAGAAAACATATGGGTTTTGCAATGTCTGTTTAGCTTGTATTTTTTCCCACTGAAAATTTGACGTTTAATGTCAGTTGACATGAAAATGTACTGCCATGAGGAATTGGAACCCATTGTTGGTGTACATGTATGCCTGTGAGATAATACAAAATGAATTGTTTAGCACCAATGTACCAATACATTTCCCTTTTTGTTGTCATATTAAATTGGAATAACTCTTGTTTGTGGCTTAGTTTATGAAAATAGATTTACTAATTGTTACAAAATGATACAACCATCCCACTATAAATTAAAATTTCATATTTTATAATATACTGTTTGGATTTTTCAAAATAATTGCTTTTGAAAATTACCTGTCATAATAATTATAATTATAATGTTTTATTTCAGGAGGAAGAGATCTTTGAAAGAGCTAATCAAGGGGTGAGAATTAAATTTACACTCCAACCCAACACACTGGAAATGATACAAATTACAAAATATGAGTAGTCCGTATCAACATTTAAGATTTTTAGTTTCTTTATGAAGTCAGAATTGAGATGACATTATACTGTAATCTGCTCATAATCTTCTCCCAAATCACAGGTGGTTGACTTAAGGATTAAAAATCTCAATATCAATGGTTCTTTTGTGTTTTCACAGATGCATTTCCAGGATGAGGTTGTTGGGGAATTGAAGCAGATTTATGCACAGCTTGGAGACCATGAAGAGTGGGACTTGTCTATAGAGTCCCTTCAACAGGTAACACTTTTGGTATAATAAGTCATTCTGACATGGTGTATTTAACAAAGAGATTCTATATGTATAATTTTATACAAATGTTGCCATATTTTTGTTCTGATATAGATCACAGATGACATCAAAAAGGGGCAAAAACAAAAAATGTGGCACAAGGCAACAGCAGTGTGTGTCACTGAGTCAGTCAAGAAGACAGTTCTTGATAACTAAATCATGTATTCCCTTTCCAATTTATTTTTAACTGTTTTCATTTTTTGTAGAAAATCATGTGCATTGAAGATGCTGATCAACGTGATAGCCTGCTCCAGACACTCAATAGCTCTGTATCAACCTTATCATTCCCACCAATGACTCCTATTAAACAAGCCATGTATGCTGCAGGGTGAGTTATTTACTGTACCAAAAAATCAACAGATTGAGGGCAAACTAGGGACCACTCAAAGATTTAATCACAGCATGATTGTTAACAGAGAAGAGTAGATCATGTATAGAAAACAACCAAGAGCAAGCTGGGGTTATTTTTGAAATTAGTATTTATCATTTAGATATGAATTAAATATGCATTCACTTAAATTAGAAAATATGCTTTTACTTAAATACACATTTTTAGTATTATTTAACCAGTAACATAAATTTATTCACTTTAAGTCACTTACTATGATATATACAAAAGTACAAAATCAAGTTATAGATGATTCGTACCCCTTTAGTGTAATAAATTATAGAAAATGAATGGGTAATTTATAAATGTAGGCTGCTGCTAGTTTTTTTTCCTTTTGACCTCTAATTCAACTGAAATTGGCTGCAAGGAATTACTTTTTTCTATATATATATATAACCGTTTATTGTTGCCTTTTCCGGTACATTCAGTGCATTCTGCATTATATTCCTTTCTAATTTGGCTACTTCTTTTGGGTTATGTTCAAAATATTCCCTATTTCAAAGAACTACATGTCTGAAGTTACTTAATTTGAAGAGTAAAGCCACACCATTCCCAGTATTTACTTGTCTTAAAACTGTATTTAGATATCAATTACTTTGTGAGATGGTGGACAGTATTGTTGGACAGGCAAACATGATACGATCCATTCTTGGTCTTCCCGAGAGAGAGCTTGTGGAGGATACTTCACAAGAGGAAGGTTAGAAACCTAGCTGTAATCATGATCAGTGTTCTTGAGTCTCTTACATCCTGATCAGTCAGGATTACTACTGTTGAGTTAGCATTAACAACAGTATTTGTGAAATCTCAGTTTATTCAGCTTTTTTGTTTTTAATTAGCGGACAAAAGACTGCGCAAAGGAACAATTTCTGAAACAAAAGCTGCTGAAAGTCGAAAAGGAGATAAAAAAGACAAGAGAGGAGGAAAGCTTTCTGAAATTGTGAGTTTAGATTTTGTCCAGTACTGTAGTTCAGGAGCTATGTCATAATTACAGAGAACCCTTGTTGTCAATGATGATTTTACTAGGCCTGATTTAAAAAATTGGAAATCCAATAGACTTAACAAATCACTCAGTATTTAGTGTATTGTATCCAGTCTCTCTAGTTAACTTTTTGCCACTGGGCCAGACAAACAAAAAACTCAAATTTAGAGAAGGAATTTTGGAATTGATGTAATTGTACTGTTGGTGTTAAGTTTTGTTGTAACAGTTGCCATAAATATTTCAGAGTGAAGAAAATCATGAACATGAAGATTATCATTTCAAAATGGATCTTGGCATGTTTGTTAGTAGTGTCGTGTGTACTTGTTACCAAAAGAATGCACACAATCCGCACTTAAAGTGCTAGTGAAATTTATTTAGAAAATGTGTACTGCATTTTGTAAGACTACACTGTATGTTAACTGTGAGGAAGGAAAATATAAAAATGCATCCTAGGAACCTAGCTGTGTTTAAGCCCTTGTGAACCCATAGACCCTGACATTGTCATATACCATAGTTTGAAATCCATCAAGATATGTAAGATACCATATTATCTAAAACAGTTATATCACATTTTTTGGGGGTTTAAGCTTTATCCAAGTTATGTTTGTTTTTTGTGTTGCATGATTGCAAGGATCGTCCAACTTCCACCCAACGCTCCAAGTTATCAGCCAAAAAATCAGGAAGAGGTGACAATATTTAATTTTTTAAATTGTGATAATTCAATTAAAGAGAAAAAAAAAGAAACATGCTTAGGCTGAAGCCTTCAGTATTTTTCCATTAATTAGTTGTTCTGAGTTACAATCATATAAGGTATAAACAATGGAACTCTACATGCAACACAAGTGCAATATGTCTTCAGAACAGTTTTCATCTCAACTCTTTCCCTTGATAGGTACTAGCACACCATCATCACAGTCCAAATCAGCTCTCAGTGAAGCTGCCGCAGAAAGGACTGGGGTGAGAAATTTCTTATTGGTTCAGAAATATCTAACAATTTGATGAGAAAGTCCTCCTTTATTTTTTTTGTTAAACAATTTGGCAATTTAAATTCCTTTGCGACTTAATCCTAGGAATTAAAGTAGTTTTCTCAGAAAAAAAAAAGTTAATATTTTAGATCGAAATAATTTTCATATTTAGTTAACTGTTTTGTTTTTAAGCTCTTTCAGTACTATAAATTGTCTAGGTTGCATTTATTGCAATTTAAAATAGTTTGTTTTCTTTCCATAGAATCATGGAAAACCACCAAACTTTCCTTGAATGTTCAAATAATCCTCCAAAAAACATTTCATGTATTGTTAATCTCTTTCCTGTGATCAGTTGGTTAATGGGATATTTGTCAAAGTCAGTTGATAAGTTACATGTTATTTACCTGAGAATAAAAATACAGCTGCTCAGTTTTTAAATTGCTCAGAAAAGCACATAACATGCAGCTATGTTTTAGGCTAAAGATGTTGTTGTTCATTATGATTATATAGTTAAATCAACGTCTAATCATTTGTCTCACGTTGTTGAGTCAGACTATCGATTGTTGTGACAAACAACATTTCGACTGTTAAACTGCTTGTCTATATCGGGCGACATGTCACTTTAGTGACAGCTTATTCAGAGGATGATAATCTTCTGGAAATTCCACAGAAGTTGAATGAAAATTGAAAATAAAGTTTATGGTATATGATGTACTGAGACATGGATTTTGATTTATTTTTCACGTGTTTCAGACCCCAGTCAGTGTGGAGGGATTAACAATTGAAAATACTGTCGACCCCGTCTTAGAAGCAAAGTACAAGGAGAAACTTTTTACGCAGGTTTGAAGATTGTTTGTACTTGTTGTTAAATATATTGATTACTTGTGCTACAGTTCAGAGTTCTCTTGGTTTAAACCCGCCAATGAATGAAAGAAACAACAAATTTACCTGTTACTAGGAGTAGTTTGTCACAAGCCATATTCATTTTAGCAAATCTAGTTCTTGATAGTCTTTCAACAAGTACAGTGAAATAGAATCATGGCAATGAAAGGCATGCAGTGATCCTCATTTAAAGGTTTTCGTGCAATGGGTGTGAATTCCAGCCCTTTTTTTGTTTCAAATTATTTTTACTTGTATGAGATAAATTTTAAAATTTTTTTAATGTCTTGTATGTTGTGTGTTTCATCAGACCTATGCCCTTGTGGTGGATACGTTTGAAAGAATGGACTTGGTTTTTGAAGACATAAAAACTGCAGAATCAAGGTTATCAGGTCTAGAGTAGGATATGAGCTATGTGCTGCTTAGTTCTCTCTAACACTCAAGCACTTCATTTTGTGCATTATTTATGGCAATCAAGTGACATTTTAGAGGGGAAATAAAATACACCTCAGAGACAACATTAAATTAATGTTATTTGCTACCAAGTGTGTCTTTGTTTTAATAATTGTTGTTGTTTGTGGAAGGACGGGGGCTTGGAAGAGAAGGAGAATCAATTTAAAGAGTCATCTGGCAAGCTAAGAGACCTTTTCAAGGTTGTTCAACCTCACCAACGCTTTGTGAGATTTAGACCCACGCTTAGCATCGAATACCAATCCTGGCACAAACTGATTACAGAAACTATCTTGCGTTGTTGTCAGCTTAATTAGGAGTAGTGCAAACTACGCTCCAACCAACATAGACCTACTCTTTCAGTTTAATAGAAGTTCTACAATGTATCTTGATCCATTGATCTCTTTAGTACATGGTCCTGAATCAGACCGAAACAGGTCTCAAACCCTACCTTGTTTGATTCAACCGAAGAAGCTCAGGTCCAGAGTGGATTAAGTTGGAAAAGAGAAAAAAAAACACAGTAACAAAGTTAACAAAAAGGTGGATTTTCGAAGGGGCACACTATTTCATACATGCAACACAACTTTTGACTTAGAGTATATGGCAGTTGATTTATTTAATTTATTTGATTTGTTTGATAAAGTTTGAGTATTCTCATCACCCGTTTGCTGGATAATGAATGGATGTTAGAGGGAGAAGTTACACGTTAATCACTTCTGAGAGTTAAAGGGTTAAACAGCACGTTAGAGACACAGATGCTGAAAAAATTAAATCACCCAAAAATGTTTCTTCTCACCGTAACCGTCATTCGTTTTTTTTTTCTGAGTAACTTTTGAAGGACTTTCTTGCGAAAAAAAATACGAGCAAATAAATGCTTTTCTCTAGATAACATTGTACATCGCAGCTAATTAGAAATGGAAAAATTACTTTTGCACCAAAATTAAAATTATGTAACATCTTGCCGAATCTATTGCGTTTAATTTTCATAAAAAGAAGTATGCTACCAAAACTGAATTTGATGTTTACACCCCAATTTTCCCTAACTTCGGCTACACAGCTTCGCCGAGATATAAGACAAATTTAAAGATAGACGTGAAATGCGAGGGTGTTTGACATTTATTATAGGGGAAAATGTCATTCGCAGCTTACTAGTTTAAGCCAGTTGAGAAGAAACTAGATCAGTATCATCAACCTGTGACGTTAATCAACATGTATTCACCTGAGTGGAAATGAATAGTGGTGGACACTTACCGAGCCGCAAAGCGGCTCGGTGAATTAACACTTCATCCACCACTTCCACATTTATCCACCACTTTCTCCAACACTGACCGAAAATGCGTCGAAATTTGAACTCTTGACATGCGATTTTGTCTCTTCGGCTGCTCGGAGGTGAATGGTGCGTGAGCGCGTGCGAAAGCATTATTCACCTGAGTGGTATATACTGATGAAAGATATTCTATAATAGTTAGACTGCGAAGAACTCTCTTATTCGGCTATCTTCACCCATCAGTATAAATGGGTATCGGCGATCTATCAACCTGTTACAAAACCCAAAGACCTAATGGAAGTTATCTCCTACATACCTCGTACTTTAGAAATTAGGAAACAAAACAACTTCGAGGCTAAATAAGTTGATTAATGCTTTTGGCTGCCTCAGAACAGGTCGTCACTTAATATTTCGACTGCCATTTACGTTCTGATTTTGTTATTCCTTTAAGAAGGGAAACACGTACTCCTTAAAAGATGTGAGAATTTTTGTTTAATCAATTTTGTTCCAGTTTGCGACGAGATTAACTTTTTCTTCTCTTCCTGAAGTGATCAGTTTTGATAGATGCAATCATCAGATTGAAATAGCAGTCCTGTAAACTACGCTAATATGCTATATATTTGAAAATACTTCCTGTTGTAGTTGTTTTTTTTTTCAACCCAATTATTCCCATGAAAAGGAAACATTATCCTGTATCTCTCTCGTAAGGTCTGACATCTCTGATTTCATAACATTGCTATGGTGATTTGTACGTTGTAACTCTTCCGGTAGTAGTTCTAATTTTTCCGGCGGTTTTAATTCATTCGGAAGTTGTAAAAAGTTTCGAAAGGTTTTAGCGGAGCGTCAGAAACGTATATCTGAAAATATATCCGTCACACACCTCGACGCATGGAAAAAACACCCAACATCATTGGATAATGATTTTTTTCTGTTTCAGTTTTTTTCTTGGTTTAAATAGTATTAACCTCTGTTTTTTGCCGGCGTGATTACATCAGGTACTTAGCTTGAAACAAAACAAAACTGGAGCATTGATGAAATCTAAACTCAGTTACGAGCTAGTAATTCTGATCTACGAATAATAAAATTCGACGTGCAATAACGTAATCGCCACGAAAATGATATCAAAGGGGTGATGAAAACTTTCTTTTGGTATCTCAAAATCAACTTTGTTATATTATTAGAATCTAAAACCAGTAGCCGACGTGATTCGAAGGAAACCGAAATAAAGATTGTCAGATGATCATGAGTATATAGCCCGTATTTTTTTCCTAAACTGATATCTTCATTGAGTCATGAGTTTACACACGATAACCTGAGCTGGAGCCATCCAGAAAAAAATTGAACATTCCTACTTAAAAAGGTAGGTGTTGAATTTGAACATTATCATCATAGTTTGCCATAATATGCAAGTAAAGAGTTTTTTAAGGGGAATTAAACCATTTCCCTGCCTAAGAGCCAACGGCTTTAACTATGAATGTAACGAGGTGGTACAAAAAATTCCATGGAATGGAAAATTTTTTTCTCTTGTGACAGATATCCCGCATTCTCAAATATTCGCACATGATGTCGAAGGGATCGATTTATCGGACTCGTCCATTCATAAACAGAGTTCCACCAATAATTATAAACATCTGTTCATATCATTGAAAACATTTGCAAATTGTCTTGATTCACTATTTTGATTGAATTTTTTAAATAAACTTTACGGGAAGAGTGTCGAAAAAATTTTCTGATTCATTATCCAATTGACCAGCCTAGCCTTCCAGTTCCGACAAATAACAAAACCCCTGAATTTGGCTACATTTCTAAAGGCCAGTGAGGGTTCGTTTCCGTCTGACATTTTTCTGACGTTAGTCGCTTATAAAGGGTCCCGTGATGAAGAATTTTATCGATATATGGAGTGCTAGTGAAATGCTAGTGCTCCGCAAGGATTAGAATTCTGATCAACTCTGGTTTCCGGGTCGGAAAGTCTATCAAATGAGCAACAGCGAATTCATTTTCAAGCTAAACGTCATATTATAAAGTGTAGGTTCTTACGTGATGAACATTCTGTGTGCCGTTAGGATCAACGATATGATATGGAAGTCGTTATGTTCGTTACGATAGACTAAGAATTCTTTTTTGCGAGGACTGTTTTCGAATCAAAGATGAGCCTTTTTCCAATGTGAGGATTTGAACTTATCTGATTCCAGAACAATCGTTCTGTGTTGGCACAATCTGTGTTTGGTTTGTTTTTAATATTTTGTTTCCTTTATCGAAGAAAATGAAAGAGGTGACGTTTGATTTCGATCTGTTCCAACTACGTATTCTTGGTGTGCATTAAATTGAGATGATCACCCTAGTTCTAATTGGTTGTTGTAGACTTTTTACGGGTTATTATTTCAGTGTATTCCGCCTGTCTTAGCCCGCTGCGTTTTGAGTTACGGTAACTCAAAATGCAGCTGTATCTTGTCATGCTTTTCCCCGTTATTACGGGGTCCATTTTTAGATGATAATGTTTGAAGTCATGCATCAATAGCGGTGAGCACACGGACACAGCCGTCGTGAAGTAAAACTACCCTCTCTCCTTTTTTTTCCCTTATTTGAAAAAGTTGGATAAGCATCTTGAAAAATCCGGCGATAGTAACATTCAAAAAAATATCTTAAAAGGCATTATATTCAACGCAAAATATTATGATGTGCGAGACACAGAATCATCTGCCGGTGATTTTAGAGATTCTCAGCCGATTTAAGAAATGACAACTAATTATACGTCAAAATACCTTGTCAGCAAAGCCATACTAAAACTGATTATATAGTATGTTCTGTTGGGAAAGCTCAAATGTTTTAGAAAAACTGAAGCCATGTTTAAGAAATCAGTTAGAGGGTCTGCATAGAGCTAACTGACCACTGTCAACTATCCAAAAGTTTGGATGAAAATTGTTCTAAAATTTAGTTAAAAGCTATCAAACTGCGACAATTTTGACTGATCACAGACATTTGCAGATTTACTCCCCTTCCCCACCTCCTTGATACAGTCAAGCCCTGAGATCCGATTCAAAAGCTGTAGATCCGAACCTTGGCCACGTCATTGTGTTCATTTCTTCCTAAGATGCATTACTTACAAAATGCCTCCCCCACCCTGGAGTGTAAATGACCTTTAGAAATGTAGCTAACTTAAGGGTTTTTATCAATTGGATAATGAATCGGAAATTTTTTCAACTCTTCCCGTAAAATTTTGTTTTAAAAAATTCAACAAGCAGACGAAGGCAAGGGTAACCTGCCATAGGCTAACATCTCATTCAGGAAGAGTAAAACCCGATTGGTCTCCACTAGAGGTTGCATTGAAAGTCTCTGACGGGTCCCTATGATATTAATGTAATGACAGTTACTACAGTGGGTTTGACCCGAATAATTTTTAATGCATTGTGAATTGACTATCGATTTACTTCCGATTTGTTTTCAGATCATGGAAGAGTCACTAAGAAAGTTTGCCGCGGAAAATTTCAGTCATAGATACTTCCCTGCACTTCACGGTGAAATCGATAAGGTACAACCCCTGACAATGGTGGTACAAAAGAATCGGCCTCTATGGAAGCGACCTTTCGTAAAATTGGAAGTCATAGTCCTTGCAGAACTGGCGAAATATGTTAAAAGTGAAGAAGATACTGAAGTGTTTCGTGATTACGCGAAATGTAAGATCAAAGAGGAAATGCTTATCTCATCGCCGCACGAAACAATTGCCATGGGATCCAGGTATGATCACTCTTTGACCCAATTTTTTCGTGCATGGCACATCAACGTGTTGCATCTTAACAAAGTATGTTTAATACAAAAAAATAAGAAAAAGTACTAGCAAGAACATCACGAAAGTCAGCCGCAATTTTTTATAATTAGTCCTGGCTTTCTCACTGCCTTCAAAACTGTTTTTACCGGACGACGAGTTGAAGCAAGTGAGGTAAAGCTCCCGGTGCCGTGTTGTTTTTTAGCATTCACGGGAGGTTTCTCAAAGGTGCATTCTTCGAACGCCTTCAGTCATTCTTCTAATAATGATGATAATACTTGGTCTTTATTCAGATGAAAATACTCATCAAAAGTTAAAAAAAATAAAATCAACTCGAACATTTAAAAATAAGCACTTACGAGATGAAAGTTGACATTACTGTTTATTCATATCCGAAAAAGCAATCTATGAAGGAAGCTGTTCATAGACGTTCTGAACATAATTTCGGAAATTTTCCTCGCATTTCAAATGATATAAATGGGGATTCCAGTCGAAGTCATCCACATCGGCATCACCCCTGTCATTGATGTCATCATAATGATCATTGCTATTGTTATCGTCCTCATCACTCTCAATGCTACTTTCATTGTTTACATTCGTCTTCGCAATTGAAAATGTCATAACATTTTCATCGTCCACATAATTGTCAGTATCACTGTCGCTGTCTTTATCATTTTGATCATCATTATCATTGTCGTTTTCGGTGTAATCGTTACTTTCACCGTCTTTTTCATTGCTATCGTCGACATTTTCGTTGTCACCGTCGGTTTTGATTGTCATCGTCATCATCATTGTCATTATCAATGCCGCGTTATTGTTATTGCCATTGTCTTAGTAAATGTAGTTATCTTCGTCATCATCATTCTCGTTGTCATGCACTTTCATTGTTATTGTTACCATCCTCAAAAATTTACCATCTCTCTTATTTCTATCTACAAACATTACTCTATCGACATTGCTGATCCTAGCAGTATGCAGGACGCGTGTCATATGAACTTTGTAACAGACCTCGCTCACCGCTCTGTGGCTCAGTGGTAAAGCATCGGAGTGCGAAATCCGAAGGTCTGAAGTTAGATTCCGAGCGGGGACTCAGAATTTTTTCTTTGTCCCACGCTTGTGACAAGACGAAAAAAAAAAATTTTTTTATCCTCATTGTCATTGACAATGCTATTGTCTCGATCAATGTTATTTTCTTTATCATCAGTCATTGCCTTTGTCGCTCTGTTATTGACATCGTCGTTTTCATGTCTTTGACATTGCATTGTGCTCGTCAATGTCATTGTCATCCTCTTTGTCTCTGTCACTGTTCTTGCCGTTTTCGTTCCATTGCAATAGTCGTGTGGAAGTCACTCTCTCTGTGTCTGTCAGTAAAGGAGCTGTTGTATCATTTTCTGAACGAGAGAAACACACTTCCTCTTTATTTCCCGCTGACATAGCTAGCCATGTAGCTTAATTTGTTATCATTATTTCATATCATTTTGAGTTATGTAGAAATTTGTATATATTTTTTTAATCTAGAGAACAAAGCCTTGGTGTGGGTGTTGGAGGAATTTTGGAGGGAACCATCAGATTAAGTAATGATCAAGGAGTTCTGAAACTGGGAAAACTTAGCCAGAAATATGTCGATGATCCAGATCTCCGTGGCCTTTTAGAAAAGGCCGAACTGAGTCCTAAATTGATGAAGAATTTCGCCGAAGGAGATAAACTGCTTCTTATCACTTCTGTGGTTTACAGTGAGAAGTTTGAATTAACAGGGCAGAGAAAAGAAGAGGTAATGGCCACTTTTCTTTAACTCGATAAACAAAACAAACAAAGGAGTTCAACTGTAATTAAGGTTTAACCTCTTCGCCCTTACCATTTCCATCGCTTTCCTCTAAGGTTCAAGTTTGTTTGAATGGGCTCCCAAGACAAGAAATCTTCTCAAACTGGTTTTAGCGGGGATGGTAAACATTAACGAACTTAGGCTTTTTCAAACCCCTTCTTTACTTCGAGTGAACCATAGAATTAGAAACGAAACGTTCATTAAATAAATAGGCCGACTTCATTTAGAACTAGCTGGACTTTCATGCGAATGTAACAGTATTTGAAACTCATGAATTGACCTACCTAGAGGATTTTCCCCTCTTCTACGATACAGTGATTGGTACTAGTATTCTTTAAGGTACTTTTAGATATTACGCACCCGAGCCCAACAACCCTACATCAAAACTAAATGTTACAGAGATTACATTTTCGTATGTGATCACCACTCAGCAATAACTAGAAAAGAGATGACAAATGTTACGTTGTTGCAATATTGAAGACCAATTTGGATCACACCTATATGCAGAAAAACTAAGATTCATAGGGCAGGGTTCTGTATTTACGCGTGGAAAAAGCTTCCGATCCCCAGTTCTGGAAATATTTAGTTGATTTACCCTGCCTCGCTACTGTTTGACCGAATTTCTGAGAAAGAAACATAGAAATTTGCCTACTTATCATAAAACTATCTTATTTATTTACCTTGTATCAGACCGAGGCTGAAGTCCATGTGGATGGGGTACATGTGGCAAATCCGTTTGTCAATTTTTTCAAGACCACGGCAACCAAAATGCATGCCACCTACAGCAGCGCAACTCAGTGTTCAGAGCTGGCATCTAGGCCCGCACATGCACCACTCCTCTTCAAGTGTTGCACTGTTGATTACATAAAAGAAGAAAATCGACTGGAAATCAGGAGAGGGGAATACGTTGGTAAAGTAGTTACCAGGGACACAACAGCCGAGGGTCTTGTGAAGCGTGATGACGAAGATTATGACAACACTCTGGTGGAAATTTCCTCAGACGAGACCGATGCACCAGGTGAGATCTTCAGGTTCCTTTCTCATGCCACATAATTTGAAAACGGTATTTAAACTCTGAAAATGCAGCAATATATTTCTGTATACACTGGAGAAAAGATCAAACGATAACTGTCCCCGATCCGCTGCATCATTCAGCCGATTTGGACACAGTTTTCAAAAAGTTGCATTTTCTTCGACCGTATATTTGGAATAGAGTTAGTGGTAGACTTAATGTGAAAACATTATTTAAAATAAAAAAGAATCTGAGAGTTTCAAATTGATCAATGTCTAACTAAGTGCTACTTCTTTTCACTCAACCATTTCCTGTCTGGCTTCCGAGCCTCCACACCACTAGGATAAAGAGAATTCAACAGTCAGTAAGGCTACATTTTTGTTCTGGAAACAATACATGGAATTGAGGGATTTTTTTTAAGTCTGCCGGAATTTTACCGACCCATACTCGCTAAAACTTGCCCGAAGTTTGCTGCTTTAAAATGAGCTGCCTGTGTCAAACTATTTCACAAAGTTTACGGAGCCGGTAAATAATGATGCAAGTCGGCATTACACACTAACTACAAGATTATCGCGGTTTCAGCACTGAGCGGAGAAATGTAGCTAACAGGAATCGGTTGGGTATAACCGGCACCTAAGTTTCCTTATTTTCAATCAATCAGCCCCTCTCACTCCGCAAGATGTCAAGAAACTGGACTCGATGCTTCAAAATGTTCTTTTACCTGTGAAGAACATAGACAAACGGAAGGAGCAGGTTGGAAAGTATCTTCGTTGGGTAAGTTAATCTAAGACATTGTTCACGTTTGAATTAAACAACCTCCTCATGAATAGTAAACAAAACTGTGAAAGAGTAGGTTCTACGGTGTGAATACTATCTCATGAAGAAATGGCTATAACAATAGTGCAATTTGTCCATTTCTAGTGTACAACAGTAAGACTGAGTAAAACTGTTCGGTGCGTGCATCTGGACGAATTTATCCCTGAATGCCGCTTTTCTTAATTTGTTATTATTATTACTGAAATATGCAACAAAGCCTTTGTGAAATTTCCAAGTCACTGCGTTGTTCACTAAGCTTTCACCGTCAAGTTATTTCGAACAAGAAGTGATTAAAGATCATTGGTTCATACTCTATGATACACACGTATTTAGCTGGAAACCTTGTCTACTTGACCACAGTTAAATCGTACTCCCATTTTTTCACCCTAATTAATTTGATAACTTTTTTTGGGGGGGGGAGGGGGGTTAAAATTGTCCTTACCAACTTTCAACTAATTTGATAACTTAATCTACATAATAAATCTAAACAAATGGGCAGCGAAAAAACCTGTGCGAAGGTGAGACGAAGTTAGGAAATTTGACTGCAACTATAGTACTCTCCTTTTTAAAAAGTGAACCCTTTAATCTGTTCTGTCAACACCCTTATGAGGAGAAAAGAAAAGGTATATGTATTCAATATATTTTTATTGATGAAATATGCGTATGAAATATACGCAAATTTACATACAAAAAGAGTGTTTTTGATGAGAACACGTTTCACCTATTTCATGTATATTTTCAAATTGCAGCGTTTTTAAAAGGGGACATATGTATATACATATACATTTATATATAAATTAAAAATTGCTACTAGAACTCTCAGGCCAACAAAGGTGCACCGCGCCAGGAGGATCAATAAAGATTCGTAGTCCAAACTTCACAGCAAACACGAACTTAGAGAGTTAAAAAAAATGCGAAGATAGACAACTTCTGACGTAAAAAAGATAAAAAAATTTAATAAAAACGTTTCGGTCAGAGACCTTCTTCTATCAGTTATTTACAACTTTTGAATAAAAAGGAACTTTAAATAAGATCGAGGTGCTAGTGATTACGTAATTACAGGTGACAACTAATGAATAAGATACAAAATCACGTGAAAGAGCAGAAAGTGGTGTTAATAAAAAGATGACAAAAACAAAATCAACAAAGCGAAAAATATCGAAAAAAACAAGCCACAAAGAAGATAATGGACAAGATACGAGAGATAAAACCTAAAAACTGAAAACTAAAAAACTAAACTTGCTAAAACGAATAGCGCAACTGAAAAAGCAATGCGCAAGCATTAGAAGTTGTCTATCGAAGTTGTCTATCGAAGTTGTCTATCGAAGTTGTCTATCGAAGTTGTCTATCGAAGTTGTCTATCGAAGTTGTCTATCGAAGTTGTCTATCGAAGTTGTCTATCGAAGTTGTCTATCGAAGTTGTCTATCGAAGTTGTCTATCGAAGTTGTCTATCGAAGTTGTCTATCGAAGTTGTCTATCGAAGTTGTCTATCGAAGTTGTCTATCGAAGTTGTCTATCGAAGTTGTCTATCGAAGTTGTCTATCGAAGTTGTCTATCGAAGTTGTCTATTGAAGTTGTCTATCGAAGTTGTCTATTGAAGTTATCCATCCTCGCATTATTTTAACTATCTCTCTCTCTCTCTCTATTTCTTTCTCTATATATATATATATATTGATTAGACAGTAACTCCTTCAACTGAACTTCCGTTCTGAGAAAAGTTAAGTGGAGTTTCCCCACCGTACTCTTACATTCCAATTATTATTATTTTTTAAAAGTTTGAAGCAGCAATGGTATCAGAGCAGGATAAGGTCCTAATTCAAGACTCAGTAGCACCGGATGACTGTGAACTTCTTAAACTTGCGTTTCTTTCCGCCTCAGAGGGATCAACTCTGCTGGACATGTCATCCCTCACAAAACCAGATATTCACGGATACGTTGTTGTCCTCAAACACCTCTTAGGTAATTGACGGTTTCATGATACAGATGCCAATATCAGAATATCTGCTTTTTCAAAACATGGAATCCACGCAACTCGCAGCGATCATGCTTTTCATATATTTCGGAAGTGACGTTTAAAATGTCATTATGGTGACTGCGAGATCTAACATGTCGTTTTTGCTTTTATGAAGGTCACTGTTACCCACCAAAACTCGTGTGAAAGGAAAAACACCATTATGAAAATATCTTACTTTAATTTAAAATCATAAGTTGATATAACATTTCCATGATATGAGTATACATTCAAGTGATTACCACATTCAGTGCTCTCAAATTGTGTTTTAAAATTGTCTTTCACGGTATAGATTGTTGCAAATCGATCATTCGAGTGACTGAAATAAGACGATTGTAAATTACTCCTCGTGATATGCATGCGCATTCTTTTTTTAAAATCTGAATTAAAAGTGCAGATCATTGCCAATCCGCAAAATTATGGCGCCACACGCTGTCACTAGCGAGGAGACTTGCGACGACTTGCGACAACATCAAATCTTTTTATTAATAAAATGCCGATGGCTATTCTTTCTGAAAGCATTTGTTTTCCTTTTTCCAACAGATTTGACTGATGAAAAGTGGAGAAAATTGGAGCAGTGCAATGCAGAATCTGATTGACCACGACTGTGATAACAATGGCCAATATACTTCTGATACTAGGATAGAAGTTTTCTAATCTAAACGATTAAGGTTTGAGCTGAGCACGTTTGCTAGAAGTAATTTTAATATCAATTTTCGCTTTAATCTTTACCACTGAGTATTTTCCACTTGTGAAAAGTTGTCCACGTAAGATCTCTTCGTGATTGAGTGTTGCGACACCAAAAATCAAACTCATCAAAATAGACCAATTAGAACAATGGAAATTCTGCAGCGAGCCCATAAGAACTCACAGTAAGACCACGAATCTTCTTTAAGGGCAGTAATTGGGATTTATTGGATTTAAGTTCTGCTTTCCCCGTGTTATAATAAGTAATCAATAGTATGCAAGAGATTTGTCCAAAATTCGACAATGATTATCCATACCATAGGATCCCACGAAATACCGACGGCTTCGCCGAGGACTTCGTCTATGAAAAGTATCTCTGTTTTTCGTGAGAACTTTAAAATAAACAAGATTCCTTTACTTCTTTGCATGACGGCAGAATACTTTTGCAATTTCTACACTAAGAATGCTCCATTTCCAATCGGGGAAACGAGAAATTCCTGTACTCCACAGCCTTTTTCTGAGAACGACGAAGTTGGTTGTTAAATCACTTTGCTATTTTCATTGGATAGCAAAAATAAATTAAAATGCCCCTCAGCGTTCTGCTCATCGTTCTGCTTCTTGTCCTACTACTTATAAATAATTTTGTTTAGTCATCGCCTTCGTGTAAAGTCCCTATAGATGGCTTAAAGACTTGATGGTGTCATTCTAACTCCCTCAGAGACTCAATCCCCCATGTGTAATTCTATAAAGTGCATTTCTGTAGAAAAGAAGCGATTGATGCAGTTATCTTTTATGAATTCAGCATCATAAAATCAGGAGAGAAACTCCAAGTAGAGAAAATTCTGGTTTCTAATACTATTGTTTGAATAATTCATCAGGCAGAGATTAATGGAGCTAAGTAAAAAAACGTATTTCAATTTGTTTTTTTAATTTAGTGATTTGTCATCCGTCACAATTAATTCTTGCCAACGTCAGTTCAGCATCTTGCTTCTTTGTTTTGTGGTGGACCTTATAGCGAGGACATGTCGCTGGGAAATTTCACTGCGCTAAGTAACCGGGAAAAATCGTGTAAACTACACACGAAGGCTACATGTGGCGGGGATGTTTAGCTGGGACATCAGGCGAGACATAATATTAAGAGCAGATTCTTCACACACGCATAATAGCAATAATTGTGCCCATGTTCTCCATGGTGGGTCATATTTACTCTGTGTTTTCATTTGCTTCTCCTTTTATTCCCTGCCTTCTTCTTTGAAATGGGATAAGCGTAAGATTCTAGCTAACATACAATGATGTCTGGCCAGTATCTTCGGAGAGATCAGCCAACTGGGTTTTTCCATTGATTAAACAGGAAGACTCACCATTTTCTCTTCTTTGAAGCAATGCAGTCATCGCATCTAAAGTATCGCGAATACCTAGCTGTCTAAATTGGAGGACATGTTCCTCCAACATTTACAAAGGACATTTCCCCGCTGCATTTTTGTGTGTATGGCGGTATGTGTAGGAATCACGAAGTTCTGTCCTTATCTCACGTCCCAGCAATACGCCCCTGCCACAAAACGGTTAATGCGCACGGCACATCAAGTTACTCCCCCTACATTTTTCAGGTTTATGTCCATGTTACAAGATTCCCTGTATGGGACCACCATCATCTTACATTCTAGATAATTCTCTAAAGTGACAGAGAACTATTCTAGGGGTTTGAGTAGCCGAAGAAAGACGTCTGGTGGTCAGATTATTTCAAATTTAATATCACGATCTAGCATTTTTAAATCAATAGAGATTATGTAGATTATGATCTTTCAAGAGCTAAAGTTTTGAAAGCTGAAAGTATAAACCTCATTAACTCTTCGTATCTAATTTAAAAGAACAACGAAGCGCTATTCTAACCTGCCCATTTACTTCTGCAAGCCTTCCAACGAGATCTGAAATTGAACTAGCGGTTGAGAACATGACTGGTCTATTTGAAAGGTGATTTTTATGTGGACAGCTTTTCTCTTCCCTTAGATGATTCCAAGTAATTGTAATCATAGCATGTAACCCAAGTAACTAAGACCGTAGAGTTTGTTTGCTATAAGCTATAGATTCAAAAAATAAAGTAGATTGTATCAGTATTGGTGTTTCCTTGACTTTAAGTCTGTCGCTTTGTGTTTTTGGCCTAAAAGCAGCTTTGGGGATTAAGGATGGTAGCATGTAGAAGTTAACTGCGTTATTCTAAACTTCATAATTATCTTGAGTTTTTTCCATTTAACTCGCCGTTCTCCTTAAAATTAATACTTTCGACAGAAAACAACGGCGTCAGCTACAAGAACGGGGACAAACAAAATAAACAGCGAGAGAGTGCCTTTTGAAGTTTGAATAGCTGAAGTACAAGAATTTCTGTGGAGTAAAACCCCGGTGGCAATTTTTTATGCTCCAATTTGGCATCCTAGTTACGTGCTTTCGTCACAGATTAAGCTTAAGATGGATCTGCCACCGATTAAGAATATGATTAGGCCATTAGCAAACTTGTTCGGATAAATGAGTTGATTTTTTAAGCAATCATTTTCCTTGGTGTCATAGTCATAATCGTTTTGTTTCTTAATGCAAATCAGAGGGAACAACATCAGCCCTTCAGGAAGCTTAGCATGTTGTAACCGTAAACAGAATTTTGTATATAGGCAATGAAAGGAAATCTTTGAAAAGTTCCCTTGCTTCTCTAATGGAGAACTTAGCAACGTCATTCACTAAGCTAACAATTAATTTCCATCTGCCCTCATCCCTCGTCTACATGTTCTTCTTGGTAACAGTAATGAAACCCTCTTGCGTACTTTTCTTGTTGCTGAGTTGGTCGATCGAAAGATTCTTAACGAAGAAATGGAAGAGTCGACTTCTCGCTCGTGATTTAACATTTCCGGTCGATGTGCATGAAAAGACGAGAAAAGCTGAACTTAAATTGTTTTAACACTCCACAGAAAAATTTCTTTGTCTTTCCATTTATTTTTCCCGGGAAGTTCGCCAAAGAGCCTTAACTTCAGGCACTCGACCCAGTTTTCATAAATCACGTTCTAACATATTGTACATGGTCTATCACAATCGTAAACATCCCCTCCGAAGAGAATTGCAAAAACCAGTGCGCAACGAAAAGTATGAACCAAGAAATAAAACAATTTTATTTCGAACGTACTTATTTCTACGTTTTTTTTTATTTTCACTCGTTAAAAACGCCAACTATTGGTTGCCGTTAACACTCTTATAACCTTCCCTCTTTGCTGAGCCCCTCCTCACTGGAGAGTTTGCACTTTTTTCGTTTTAAATATCAAAAGTTTTCAACCAGATTCATATAATACTCAAATCTGGGTGAAATAGGGATAAAAAACCGACAAGTTGCTCGTTGGCCTTCAGTTAGTCTTGAACAAATTCCCCTGCCCTCCCCCTCTCTGGTGGGTTCTCCATCCCAAAACATTTCCTGTCCAAATACCATGAAGTACATCATTGAAGAAACCGAAATTAATCATATCATGATATTGATACAACTTGTCCGATTTAAATACGTGAAGTGAGAGTCAATGTTGGCGTGAATTAACGCATCAGAACTCAAAGGTTTTGTCAGCTGGAATCAAAACAATATTTAACAACACGATTTTGTTTCAGACGGTATGTAGTTTTTATTCCTTTTCCATACTTGAACAAACACCGCTCTGATTCCAGCTATCCGATTATTTTATAGTATTTGAAAGTCTATAGATGACTATTTACAATATCGTTCATAATATTTTTGACGAAATTGATGTATTAAAGTTCCTGGAGCGTCAAAGTTCTCGGTGTATTCAGTACGGTCATAGCGCTTAGAAAACTAGAAAGAATTTCATCTGTACCACGCTGAATTCATGGCAAGTTTGCCGGAGTTATAATCAGGGGGTCCCGAATTCAAGTCGTTTAAGCTGATTCTTGGCGAATTTTTCCTTGTTTGTCAATTTGAAGTTTCAAGATTTTTTGTGCGTTTCTCGCAGATAGCCAAGTGGTCTTTCTCTTCACTGTTAGGATTTAAATTCTTCTATTTATTTTTACTTGTGTTCATTTCTTTGGTTCAGTTTTATGTAAGTTACAAATACACTTTGGATGATAAATACATTAATATTTCGGCGCTGTTTTAATCTATAAATCTATTATATTCATTATTCCTGTATGTGTAGGTTATCTACGTGAATTTTATTTGTTAGAGCTCAGTGTTGTTTTTCTAGAGAAAGATCTTCCGCTGACGAAAATGAAAAAGTTATGTTTTCATTTCTATTTAATCAAATTTGTTGTTCTTGTTACAAAACCCCTGAAGTTGGCTACATTTCTAAAGGCCTGTGAGGGTTCATTTCCGTCTGACATTCTCTGACGTTGGTCGCTTATAAAGGGACCCGCGATGAAGAATTTTGGCGATATATGGAGAGACCTATTACTAGGAAGGACTAAGAAAATGCGAGTGCTCCGCAAGGATTAGAATTCTGATCAACTCTGGTTTCCGGGTCGGAAAGTCTATCAAATGAGCAACAGCGAATTCATTTTCAAGCTAAACGTCATATTATAAAGTGTAGGTTCTTACGTGATGAACATTCTGTGTGCCATTAGGGTCAACAATATGATATGGAAGTCGTTCTGTTCGTTACGATAGACTAAGAATTCTTTTTTGCGAGGACTGTTTTCGAATCAAAGATGAGCCTTTTTTCAGTGCGAGGATTTGAACTTATCTGATTCCAGAACAATTGTTCTGTGTTGGCACTATCTGCGGTTTTTTTATGTTTTGTTTTGTTTTTAATATTTTGTTTCCTTTATCGAAGAAAATGAAAAAGGTGACGTTTGATTTCGATCTGTTCCAACTAAGTATTCTTGGTGTGCATTAAATTGAGATGATCACCCTTGTTCTAACTGGTTGTTGTGGACTTTTTACGGGTTATTATTTCAGTGCATCCCGCCTGTGTTAGCCCGCTGCGTTTTGAGTTACAGTAACTCAAAATGCAGCTGTATTTTGTGATGCTTTTTCCCGTTACTGCGGGGCCCATTTTTAGATGATGATGTTTGAAGTCATGAATCAATAGCGGTGAGCATAGAGACACACTCGTCGTGAAGTAAAACTACCCTCTCTCCTTTTTTTTCCTTATTTGAAAAAGTTGGATAAACATCTTGAAAAATCCGGCGATAGTAACATTCAAAAAAATATCTTAAAAGGCATCATACTCAACGCAAAATATTATGATGTGCGAGACACAGAATCGTCTGCCGGTGATATTAGGGATTCTCAGCCTATTTAAGAAATGACAACTAATTATAGGTCAAAATACCTTGTCAGCAAAGCCATACTAAAACTGATATCAAAGCGATAAAAAACATGTGCTATATAGTATGTTCTGTTGGGAAAGCTCAAATGTTTTAGAAAATCTGAAACTATCAAATGGCGAAAATTCTGACTGATCACGGACATTTGCAGATTTACTCCCCTCCCCCACCCCCTCGATCCAGTCAAGCCCTGGGATCCGTTTCAAAAGCTGTAGATGCGAACCTTGGCCAGTTCATTGTGTTCGTTTCTTTCTAAGATGCATAACTGACAAAATGCTTCTTCCCACCCAGGAGTGTAAATGAACTTTAGAAATGTAGCTAACTTAAGGGTTTTTATCAATTGGATAATGAATCGGAAATTTTTTCAACACTCTTCTCGTAAAAGTTTATTTTAAAAAATTCAACAAACAGACGAAGGCAGGTGTAACCTGCCATAGACCAACATCTTATTCAGGAAGAGTAAAACCTGATTGGTCTACATTAGAGGTTGCATTGAAAGTCTTTGACGGGTCCCTATGATATTAATGTAATGACAGTTACTACAGTGGGTTTGACCCGAATAATTTTTAAAGCATTGTGAATTGACTATCGATTTACTTCCGATTTGTTCTCAGATCATGGAGGAGTCACTAAGAAAGTTTGCCGAGGAAAATTTCGGTAAGAGATGCTTCCCCGCTCTTCACGGCGAAATCGATAAGGTACAACCCCTGACAATGGTGGTACAAAAGAATCGGCCTCTATGGAAGCGACCTTTCGTAAAATTGGAAGTCATAGTCCTTGCAGAACTGGCGAAATATGTTAAAAGTGAAGAAGATACTAAAGCGTTTCGTGATTACGCGAAATGTAAGATCAAAGAGGAAATGCTTATCTCATCGCCGCACGAAACAATTGCCATGGGATGCAGGTATGATCACACTTTAACCCAATTTTTTCGGGCATGGCACATTAACGTGTTACATCTTAACAAAGTATGTTTAAAAAAATAAATAAATAAATAAGAAAAAATACTGGCAAGAACATCACGAAAGTCAACCGCAATTTTTTGTAATTAGTCCTGGCTTTCTCGCTGCTCTCAAAACTGTTTTTACCGGACGACGAGTTGAAGCAAGTGAGGTAAAGCTCCCGGTGCAGCGTTGTTTTTTAACATTCACGGAAGGTTTCTCAAAGGTGCATTCTTCGAACGCCTTCAGTCATTCTTCTAATAATGAGGATAATACTTGGTCTTTATTCAGATGAAAACACACATCAAAAGTTAAAAAAAATAAAATCAACTCGAACATTTAAAAATAAGCACTTACGAGATGAAAATTGACCACACTGTTCATTCATATTCGAAAAAACAATCTATTAAGGAAGCTGTTCATAGACGTTCTGAACATAATTTTGGAAATGTGCGTCACATTTCAAATGAAATAAATGGAGATTCCAGTCGACGTCATCCACATCGACATAACCCCTGTCATTGATGTCATCATAGTCATCATTGCAATTGTTATCGTCCTCATCACTCTCAATGCTACTTTCATCGTTTAAATTCGTCTTCGCAATCGAAAGTCATAACATTTTCATCGTCCACATGATTTTCAGTATCACTGTTTCTGTCTTTATCATTGTGATCGTCATCATCATTGTCGTTTTCGGTGTGGTTGTTACTTTCACCGTCTTTTTCATTACTATCGTCGACATTTTTGCTGTCACCGTCGGTTTTGACTGTCATCGTCATCATCGTCATTACCAATGCTGCGTTACTACTTTGTAACAGACCTCGCTCACCGAGGAGTCTCTGTGGCTCAGTAGTAAAGTATCGGCACGCGAAATCCGAGGGTCTGAGGTTCGATTCCCAGCGGGGACTCAGAAGTTTTTCTTTGTCACACGCTCGTGACAAGACGAAAAAAAAATATTTCTTTATCCTTATTATTGTCATTGACAATGCTATTGTCTCGATCAATGTTATTTTCTTTATCATCAGTCATTGCCTTTGTCCCTCTGTTATTGACATCGTCGTTTTCTTTATCTGTGACATTGCATTGCTTTTGGTTAATGTCATTGTCATCTTCTTTTTCTCTGTCACTGTTATTGCCGTTTTCGTTTCCATTGCAATTGTCGTGTGGAAGTCACTCTCTCTATGTCTGTCAGCAAAGGAGCTGTTGTATCATTTTCTGAATCAGGGAAACACACTTCCTCTTTATTTCCCGCTGACATAACTAGTTGTTATCATTATTTCATATCATTTTGAGTTACGTAGAAATTTGTATATATTTTTTTAAATCTAGAGAACAAAGCCTTGGTGTGGGTGTTGGAGGAATTTTGGAGGGAAACATCAGATTAAGTAATGATCAAGGGGTTCTGAAACTGGGAAAACTTAGCCAGAAATATATCGATGATCCAGATCTCCGTAGCCTTTTAGCAAAGACCGCAATGGATCCTACCTTGATGAAGAGTTTCGCCGAAGGGGATAAACTGCTTCTTATCACTTCTGTGGTTTACAGTGAGAAGTTTGAATTAACAGGGCAGAGAAAAGAAGAGGTAATGGCCACTTTTCTTTAACTCGATAAATAAAACAAACAAAGGAGTTCAACTGTAATTAAGGTTTAACCTCTCCGCCCTTACCATTTCCATCACTTTCCTTTAAGGCTCAAGCTTGTTTGATTGGGCTCCCAAGATCAAGAAATCTTCTCAAACTGGTTTTAGCGAGGATGATAGACATTAACGAACTTAGTTTTTTTTAAAACCCTTTTTTTGCTTCGAGTGAACCATAGGATTAGAAACGGAAAGTTCATTAAACAAATAGACCGACTTCATTTAGAACTAGCTGGACTTTCATACGAATGTAACAGTATTTGAAACTCATGAAATGACCTACTAAGAGGATTTTTCCGTCGTCTGCGATTCAGTGATTGGCACTGGTATTCTTTAAGATACTTTTAGATATTATTACATAACGCTAACTTACGCACCCGAACCCAACGACCCTACATCAAAACTAAATGTGACAGAGATTACATTTTAGTATGTGATCACCACTCAGCAATAAATAGAAACGAGATGACAAATGTTACGTTGTTCCAATATTGAAGACCAATTGGAATCACACGTATATGCAGAAACGAAGATTCACATCGCAGAGTTCTGTGTTTATGCGTGGAAAAGCTTCCATTCCCAGTTCTGGAAATATTTAGTTGATTAACCCTGCCTCGCTGCTGTCTAACCGAATTTCTGAGAAAGGAACATAGAAATTTGCCTACTTATCATAAAACTATCTTTTTTATTTACCTTGTATCAGACCGAGGCTGAAGTCAATGTGGATGGGGTGCCTGTGGCAAGTCCGTTTTTCAATTATTTCAAGACCACGGCAACCAAAATGCATGCCCGCAACAGGAGATCAACTCAGCATCCAAAGGTGGCATCTAGGCCCGCACATGCACCACTCCTCTTCAAGTGTTGCGCTGTTGATTACATAAAAGAAGAAAATCGACTGGAAATCAGGAAAGGGGAATACGTTGGTAAAGTAGTTGCGAAGGACACCACAGCCGAGGGTCTTGTAAAGCGTGATGACGAAGATTATGACAACACTTCGGTGGAAATTTTCTCAGACGAGACTGATGGACCAGGTGAGATCTTTAGGTACTTTTTATGCCACATAATTTGAAAACGGTATTTAAACTCTGAAAATGCAGCAATAAATTTTTGTGTACACTGGAGAACAGATCAAATGATAACTGTCCCCGATCTGCTATAATATTCAACCGATTTGGACACAGTTTTCAAAAAGTTGCATTTTCTTCGACCGTATATTTGTAATAGCGTTGGTGGTAGACTTAATGTCAATACATTGTTTAAATTAAAAAGAATCTGAGAGTTTCAAATTGATCAATATCTAACTAAGTGAAACTTCTTTTCACTGAACCATTTCCTGTCTGACTTTCGAGCCTCCATACCACTAGGATAAAGAGAATTCGACAGTCTGTAAGGCTGCATTTTTTCCTTTTTTGTTCTGGAAACAATGCAATGCTTACATTAACTATAGAACCACTTGTCTACATCTGCCGGAATTTTACCGACCCATACTCGCTAAAACTTGTCCGAAGTTTGCTGCTTTAAAATGAACTGCCTGTGTCAAACTATTTCACAAAGTTTACAGAGCCGGTGAATAATGATCCAAGTCGGCAATACACACGAACTACAAGATTGTCGCGGTTTCGGAACTGGGCGGAGAAATATAGCCAACAGGAATCGGTTGGGTAGAACCGGCACCTAAGTTTCCTGCTTTTCAATCAATCAGCCCCTCTCACTCCGCAAGATGTCAAGAAACTGGACTCGATGCTTCAAAATGTTCTTCTACCTGTGAAGAACATAGACAAACGCAAGGAGCAGGTTAGAAAGTATCTTCGTTGGGTAAGTTAATCTAAGACATCGTTCACGTTTGAATTAAACAACCTCCACATCAATAGTAAACATAACTGTAAAAGAGTAGGTTCTACGGTGTGAATACTATCTCATCGAGAAATGGCTATAACAATAGTGCAATTTATCCAAATCTAGTGTACAACGGTAAGAATTTAAGTAAAACTGTTCGGTGCGTGCATCTGGAAGAATTTATCACTGAATTCCGCTTTTCTTAAATTGTTGTTTTGTTATTATTATTACTGAAATATGCAACAAAGCCTTCGTGAAATTTCCAAGTTACTGCGTTGTTCACTATGCTTTCACCGTCAAGTTATTTCGAACAAGAAGTGATTTAAGATCATTGGTTCATACTCTATGATACACACGTATTTAGCTAGAAACCTTGTCTACTTGACCACAGTTAAATCGTAGTCCTATTTTTTCACCCCAATTAATTTGATACCTTTTTTTGGGGGGGGAGGGGGGTTAAAATTGTCTTTACTACCTTTCAACTAATTCGATAACTTGATCTATATAATACATCTAAACAAATGGGCAGCGAAAAAACTCGTGCGAAGGTAAAACAAAGAGTTAGGAAATTTGAATACAGCTATAGTACGTTCCTCTTTAATTCTTTAACTGATTGTATAGATGTGTATCTATGTATATATATATATATATATATATATATATATATATACATATTAAATAAATATGCGTATGAAATATACGCAAATTTACATACAAGAGTGTTTTTGATGAGAACACATGTTTCACTTATTTCATGTACATTTTCAAATTGCAACGTTTTTGAAAACGGACGGACATATATATATATATACATATTTATAAAATAATTCAAATAGTACGCGCGCTCTGATTGGCCATAAAACCATTTCACATGAACGTATGTAAACACGGTTTTCATTCCTCCTTCATTAGTTATTTTATAAAAGAAATGTAAAATGGTTTCCGTGTTTACATAGCCTGATGTAAACACTTGGGAGGTTGGGAGAACACTCGATAAGCTTCGCGTCGTGGTTTCCTACGCTTATCTCGTGTTCTCCCAACCTTCCGCGTGTTTACATCAGGCTATGTAAACAAGGAAACCATTTTACATTTCTTCAATATATATTGATTAGACAGTAACTCCTTCAACTGAACTTCCGTTCTGAGAGAAATAGAAAAGTTAAGTAGAGTTTCCCCACGCTTACATCCCAATTATTATTATTTTTTAAAAGTTTGAAGCAGCAATGGTATCAGAGCAGGATGAGGTCCTAATTAAAGACTCAGTAGCACCGGATGACTGTGAACTTCTCAAACTTGCGTCTCTTTCCGCCTCAGAGGGATCAACTGTGCTGGACATGTCATCCCTCACAAAACCAGATATTCACGGATACGTTGTTGTCCTCAAACACCTTTTAGGTAATTGACGGCTTCATGATACAGATGTCAATATCAGAATATCTAATTTTTCAAAACATGGAATCCACACAACTCGCAGCGATCATGCTTTTCATACATTTCTGAAGTGACGTTTAAAATGTAACTGCAAGATTTAACATGTCGTTTTTGCTTTTATGAAGGTCACTGTTACCCACCAAAACTCGTGTGAAAGGAAAAACATCATTATGAAAATATCTTACTTTAATTTAAAATCATAAGTTGATATAACATTTCCATGATATGAGTATACATTCAAGTGATTACCACATTCAGTGCTCTCAAATTGTGTTTTAAAATTGTCTTTCACGGTATAGATTGTTGCAAATCGATCATTCGAGTGACTGAAATAAGACGATTGTAAATTACTCCTCGTGATATGCATGCGCATTCTTTTTTTAAAATCTGAATTAAAAGTGCAGATCATTGCCAATCCGCAAAATTATGGCGCCACACGCTGTCACTAGCGAGGAGACTTGCGACGACTTGCGAAAACATTAATAAAATATTCTTTCTGAAAGCATTTGTGTTTCTTTTTCCAACAGAGTTGACAGATGAAAAGTGGAGAAAATTGGAGCAGTACAATGCAGAATCTGATTGACCACGACTGTGATAACAATGGCCAATATACTTCTGATACTAGGATAGAAGTTTTCTATTTTAAACGATTAAGGTTTGAGCTGAGCACGTTTGCTAGAAGTAATTTTAATATCAATTTCCGCTTCAATCTTTACCATTGAGTTATTTCCACTTGTGAAAAGTTGTCCACGTAAGATCGCTTTGCGATTGAGTGTTGCGAGACCAAAATCAAACTCATCAAAATAGACCAATTAGAATAATGGAAATTCTGCAGCGAACCAATAAGAACCTACAGTAAGACCACGAATCTTCTTTAAGGGCAGCAATTGGGATTTATTGGATTTAAGTTCTGCTTCCCCCCCCTCCCCGTGTTATAATAAGTAATCTATAGTATGCAAGAGATTTGTCCAAAATTCGACAATGATTATCCATATCATAGGATCCCACGAAATACCGACGGCTTCGCCAAGGACTTCGTTCTATGAAAAGTATCTCTGATTTTCGTGAGAACTTTAAAATACGCAATATTCCTTTACTCCTTTGCATCCGTGGTGGGTCATATTTACTCTGTGTTTTCATTTGCTTCTCCTTTTATTCCCTGCCTTCTTCTTTGAGATGGGATAAGCGTAAGATTCTAGCTAACATACAATGATGTCTGGCCAGTATCTTCGGAGAGATCAGCCAACTGGGTTTTTCCATTGATTAAACAGCAAGACTCATCATTTTCTCTTCTTTGAAGCAATGCAGTCATCGCATCTAAAGAATCGCGAATACCTAGCTGTCTAAATTGGAGGACATGTTCCTCCAACATTTATAAAGGACATTTCCCCGCTGCATTTTTGTGTGTATGGCGGTATGTGTGGGAATCACGAAGTTCTGTCATTATCTCACGTCCCAGCAACACGCCCATGCCACATAACGATTAATGCGCACGGCACATCAAGTTACTCCTCCTACATTTTTCAGGATCATGTCCACGTTACAAGATTCCCTGTGTGGGACCACCATCATCTTACATTTTAGATAATTCTCTAAAGTGACAGAGAACTATTCTAGGGGTTTGAGTAGCCGAAGAAAGACGTCTGGTAGTCAGATATTCCAACTTTAATATCATGATATAACATTTTTAAATCAATAGGGATTATGTAGATTATGATCTTTCAAGAGCTAAAGTTTTGAAAGCTGAAAGTATAAACCTCATTAACTCTTCGTATCTAATTTAAAAGAACAACGAAGCGCTATTCTAACCTACCCATTTACTTCTGCAAGTTTTTCAACGAGATCTAAAATTGAATTAGCGATTGAGAGCATGACTGGTCTATTTGAAAGGTGATTTTTATGTGGACAGCTTTTCTCTTCCCTTAGATGATTCCAAGTAACTGTAATCATAGCATGTAACCCAAATAACTAAGACCGTAGAGTTTGTTTGCTGTAAGCTATAAATTCCAAAAAATTAAGTAAATTGTATCAGTATTGGTGTTTCCCTGACTTTAAGTCTGTCACTTTGTGTTTTTGGCCTAAAAGCAGCTTTGGGGACTAAGGATGGTAACATGTAGAAGTAACTGCGTTATTCTAAACTTCATAATTATCTTAAGTTTTTTCCATTTAACTCGCCGTTCTCCTTAAAATTAATACTTTCGACAGAAAACAACGGCGTCAGCTACAAGAACGGGGACAAACAAAATAAACAGCGAGAGAGTGCCTTTTAAAGTTTGAATAGCTGAAGTACAAGAATTTCTGTGGAGTAAAACCCCGGTGGCAATTTTTTATGCTCCAATTTGGCATCCTAGTTACGTGCTTTCGTCACAGATTAAGCTTAAGATGGATCTGCCACCGATTAAGAATATGATTATGGCCATTAGCAAACTTGTCGGGATAAATGAGTTGATTTTTTAAGCAATCATTTTCCTTGGTGTCACAGTCATAATCGTTTTGTTTCTTAATGCAAATCAGAGGGAACAACATCAGCCCTTCAGGAAGCTTAGCATGTTGTAACCGTAAACAGAATTTTGTATATAGGCAATGAAAGGAAATCTTTAAAAAGTTCCCTTGCTTCTCTACTGGAGAACTTAGCAACGTCATTCACTAAGCTAACAATTAATTTCCATCTGCCCTTATCCCTCGTCTACATGTTCTTCTTGGTAACAGTAATGAAACCCTCTTGCGTACTTTTCTTGTTGCTGAGTTGGTCGATCGAAAGATTCTTAGCGGGGAAATTGAAGAGTCAACTTCTCGCTCATGATTTAACATTTCCGGTCGATGAATATAAAAGACAAGAAAAGCTGAACTTGAATTGTTTTAACACTCCACAGAAAAAGTAATACGAAAAGTATGAGCCAAGAAATAAAACAATTTGATGACGGACGTATTTATTTCTACGTTTTTTTTCCCGATCCCGTAAGTTATTTTCACTCGTTAAAAACGCCAACTATTGGTGTCCTTATCGTGGTTGCCGTTAACACTCTCATTACCTTCCCTCTTTGATGAGCCCCTCCTCACTTGGAGAGTTTACACTTTTTTCGTTTTAAATATCAAAAGTTTTCAACCAGATTCATATAATACTCAAATCTGGGTGAAATAGGGATAAAAAACCGACAAGTTGCTCGTTGGCCTTCAGTTAGTCTTGAACAAATTCCCCTGCCCTTCCCCCTCCCTGGTGAGTTCTCCACCCCAAAACATTTCCTGCCCAAATATCATAAAGTACGTCATTGAAGAAACCGAAATTAATCATACTATGACATTGATACAGCTTGTCCGATTTAAATACGTGAAGTGAGTGTCAATGTTGGAGTGAATTAACGCATCAGAACTTAAAGGTTTTGTCAGCTGGGATCAAAACAATTTTTAACAACACGATTTTGCTTCAGACGGTATGTAGTTTTTATTCCTTTTCCATACTTGAACAAACACTGCTCTGATTCCAGCTATCCAATTATTTTATAGTATTTGAAAGTCTATAGATGACTATTTACAATATCGTTCATAATATTTTCAATAACAAGATTGATGTATTAAAGTCCCTGGAACATCAAAGTTCTCGGTGTATTCAGTACGGTCATAGCGCTTAGAAAACTAGAAAGAATTTCAACTGTACCACGCTGAATTTATGGCAAGTTTGCCGGAATTATAATCAGGGGTCTCAAGTTCGAGTCTTTTACGCTGATTCTTGGCGAATTTTCCTTATTTGTCAATTTGAAGTTTCAAGATTTTTTGTGCGTTTCTCGCAGATAGCCAAGTGGTCTTTCTCTTCACTGTTAGGATTTAAATTCTTTTATTTATTTTTGCTTGTGTTCATTTCTTTGGTTCAGTTTTATGTAAGTTACACATACACATTGCATGATTAATACATTAATAGCTTGGTGCTTTATTATTGTATAAATCTATTTTATTCATTATTCCTGTATGCGTAGGTGAAGATGAATTTTATTTGTTAGAGCTCAGTGTTGTTCTTCTAGAGAAAGATCTTCCGCTGAAGAAAATGAAAAGGTTATGTTTTCATTTCTATTTAATCAAATTTGTTGTTCTTTTTACAAAACACATGAAGTTGGCTACATTTCTAAAGGCCCGTGGGGGTTCATTTCCGTCTAACATTTCTCTGACGTCGGTCGCTTATAAAGGGACCCGCGATGAAGAATTTTGGCGATATATGGAGAGACTCATCACGAGGAAGGGACTAAGATAATGCGAGTGCTCCGCAAGGATTAGAATTCTGATCAACTCTGGTTTCCGGGTCGGAAAGTCTACCAAATGAGCAACAGCGAATTCATTTTTAAGCTAAACGTCATATCGTAAAGTGTAGGTTCTTACGTGATGAACATTCTGCGTGCCGTTAGGATCAACAATATGATATGGAAGTCGTTCTGTTCGTTACGATAGACTAAGAATTCTTTTTTGCGAGGACTGTTTTCTAATCAAATATGAGCCTTTTTTCAGTGAGAGGATTTGAACTTTATCTGATTCCAGAACAATCGTTCTGTGTTGGCACTATCTGCGGTTTTTTTGTTTTTTGTTTTGTTTTTAATATTTTGTTTCCTTTATCGAAGAAAATGAAAAAGGTGACGTTTGATTTCGATCTATTCCAACTACGTATTCTTGGTGTGCATTAAATTGAGATGATCACCCTAGTTCTAATTGGTTGTTGTGGACTTTTTACGTGTTATTACTATTTCATTGCGTCCCGCCTGTGTAAGCCCGCTGCGTTTTGAGTTACGATAACTCAAAATGCAGCTGTATCTTGTGATGCTTTTTTCCGTTATTGCGGGGTCCATTTTTAGATGATGATGTTTGAAGTCATGAATCAATAGCGGTGAGCACACGGACACACTCGTCGTGAAGGAAAACATACCTTCTCTCATTTTTTTTCTCTTATTTGAAAAAGTTGGATAAACATCTTGAAAAATCGGGCGATAGTAACATTCAAAAAAATATCTTAAAAGGCATCATACTCAACGCAAAATATTATGATGTGCGAGACACAGAATCATCTGCCGGTGATATTAGGGATTCTAAGCCGATTTAAGAAATGACACATAATTATACGTCAAAATACCTTGTCAGCAAAGCCGTACTAAAACTGATATCAAAAGCGATGAAAAACATGTGCTATATAGTATGTTCTTTTGGGAAAGCTCAAATGTTTTAGAAAAACTGAAGTCATGCTTAAGCAATCAGTTAGAGGGTCTGCATAGAACTAACTGACCACTGTCAACTTTCCAAAAGTTTGGATGAAAATTGTTCTAAAATTTAATTAAAAATTATCAAATGGCGACAATTTTGACTGATCACGGACATTTGCAGATTTACTCCCCTCCCCCACCCCCTCGATCCAGTCAAGTCCTGGGATCCGATTCAAAAGGTGTAGATCCGAACCTTGGCCAGGTTATTGTGTTCGTTTCTTTTTAAGATGCCTCTCCCCACCCAGGAGTGTAAATGACCTTTAGAAATGTAGCTAACTTAAGGGTTTTTATCAATTGGATAATGAATCGGAAATTTTTTCAACACTTCAACAAACAGACGAAGGCAGGGGTAACGTACCATAGGCTAACATCTCATTCAGGAAGAGTAAAACGCGATTGGTCTCCATTAGAGGTTGCATTGAAAGTCTCTGACGGGTCCCTATGATATAAATACAACGACAGCTGCTATAATGGGTTTGACCCGAATAATTTTTAATGCATTGTGAATTGACTATCGATTTACTTCCGATTTGTTTTCAGATCATGGAAGAGTCACTAAGAAAGTTTGCCGCGGAAAATTTCAGTCATAGATACTTCCCCGCACTTCACGGCGAAATCGATAAGGTACAACCCCTGACAATGGTGGTACAAAAGAATCGGCCTCTATGGAAGCGACCTTTCGTAAAATTGGAAGTCATAGTCCTTGCAGAACTGGCGAAATATATTCAAGGAGAGGAAGAGACTGAAGAGTTTCGTGGTTGCTCGAAATGTAAGATCAAAGAGGAAATGCTTATCTCATCGCCGCACGAAACAATTGCCATGGGATTCAGGTATGATCACGCTTTGACCCAATTTCTTCGTGCATGGTACATCAACGTGCTGCATCTTAACGTAGTATGTTTAATAAAAAAAATAAGGAAAAATACTGGCAAGAACATCACGAAAGTATACCGGAATTTTTTGTGATTAGTCCTGGCTTTCTCGCTGCCTTCAAAACTGTTTTTACCGGACGACGAGTTGAAGCAAGTGAGGTAAAGCTCCCGGTGCCGTGTTGTTCTTTAACATTCACGGGAGGTTTCCCAAAGGTGCATTCTTCGAACGTCTTCAATCATTCTTATAAGAACGATGATAATAACTGGTCTTTATTAAGATGAAAATACACATCAAAAGTTAAAAAAAATTAAATTAAATTCACATTTCAAATGATATAAATGGGGATTCCAGTCGACGTCATGCACATCGGCTTCACCCCTGTCATTGATGTCATCATAATGATCATTGCTATTGTTATCGTCCTCATCACTCTCAATGTTACTTTCATCGTTTACATTCGTCTCCACAATTGAAAATGTCATAACATTTTCATCGTCCACATAATTATCACTGTCGCTGTCTTTATCATTGTGATCGTCATCATCATTGTCGTTTTCGGTGAAGTCGTTACTTTCACCGTCTTTTTCATTGCTATCGTCGACATTTTCGTTGTCACCGTCGGTTTTGATTGTCATCGTCATCATCATTGTCATTATCAATGCCGCGTTATTGTTATTGCCATTGTCTTAGTAAATGTAGTTATCTTCGTCATCATCATTCTCATTTTCATGCACTTTCATTGTTATTGTTGCCATTCTCAAAAATTTACCATCTCTCTTATTTCTATCTACAAACATTACTCTATCGACATTGCTGATCCTAGCAGTATGTAGGACGCGTGTCATATGAACTTTGTAACAGACTTCGCTCTCCGTGGAGTCTCTGTGGCTCAGTGGTAAAGCACTGGAGCGCGAAATCCGAAGGTCTGAGGTTCGATTCCGAGCGGGAACTCAGAATTTTTTCTTCTCGTGACAAGAAGAAAAAAAGAATCTTTCTTTATCCTCATTATTGTCATTGACAATTCTATTATCTCGATTAATGTTATGTTCTTTATCATCAGTCATTGCCTTTGTCGCTCTGTTATTGATATCGTCGTTTTCATTGTCTTTGACATTGCATTGCCTAGGGTTCATGTCATTGTCATCCTCGTTGTCTCTGTCACTGTTATTGCCGTTTTCGTTTCCATTGTAATGGTCGTGTGGAAGTCACTCTCTCTGTGTCTGTTATTAAAGGAGCTGTTGTATCATTTTCTGAACGAGGGAAACACACTTCCTCTTTATTTCCCGCTGACATAGCTAGCCATATAGCTTAAGTTGTTATCATTATTTCATATCATTTTGAGTTATGTAGAAATTTGTATATATTTTTTTAAATCTAGAGAACAAAACCTTGGTGTGGGTGTTGGAGGAATTTTGGAGGGAAACATCAGATTAAGTAATGATCAAGGAGTTCTGAAACTGGGAAAACTTAGCCAGAAATATATCGATGATCCAGATCTCCGTAGCCTTTTAGCAAAGACCGCAATGGATCCTACCTTGATGAAGAGTTTCGCCGAAGGGGATAAACTGCTTCTTATCACTTCTGTGGTTTACAGTGAGAAGTTTGAATTAACAAGGCAAAGAAAAGAAGAGGTAATGGCCACTTTTCTTTAACTCGATAAACAAAACAAACAAAGCAGTTCAACTGAGGTTTAACCTTTCCTTTAAGGTTCAAGCTTGTTTGAAGGAGTTCCCAAGATCAAGAATTTTTCTTAAACTGGTTTTAGCGGGGATGGTAAACATTAACGAACTTAGTTTTTTTAAAACCCTTCTTTACTTCGAGTGAACCTTAGGATTAGAAACGGAACGTTCATTAAATAAATAGGCCGACTTCATTTAGAACTAGATGGACTTTCATGCGAATATAACAGTATTTGAAACTCATGAAATGACCTACCTAGAGGTGATTGGCATTGGTATTCTTTAAGATACTTTTAGATATTATTTCATAACGCTAAATTACGCACCCGAACCCAACAACCCTACATCAAAACTAAATGTTACAGAGATTACATTTTAGCATATGATCACCACTCAGCAATAACTAGAAACGAAATGACACATGTTACGTTGTTGCAATATCGAAGACCAATTCAGATCACACGTATATGAAGAAAAACGAAGATTCACAGGGCAGGGTTCTGTGTTTACGCGTGGAAAAAGCTTCTGATCCCCAGTTCTGGTAATATTTAGTTGATTTACCCTGCCTCGCTGCTGTCTGACCGAATTTCTGAGAATGAAACATAGACATTTGCCTACTTATCATAAAACTATCTTATTTACTTACCTTGTATCAGACCGAGGCTGAAGTCAATGTGGATGGGGTGCCTGTGGCAAGTCCGTTTGTCAATTTTTTTAAGACCACGGCAACCAAAATGCATGCCCGCTACAGCAGCTCAACTCAGCATTCAGAGCTGGCATCTAGGACCGCATATGCACCACTCCTCTTCAAGTGTTGCACTGTTGATTACATAAAAGAAGAAAATCGACTGGAAATCAGGAAAGGGGAATACGTTGGTAAAGTAGTTACGAGGGACACAGCAGCCGAGGGTCATGTGAAGCGTGATGACGAAGATTATGACAACACTATGGTGGAAATTTTCTCAGACGAGACCGATGCACCAGGTGAGATCTTTAGGTACTTCTTTAAGCCACATAACTTGAAAACGGTATTTAAACTCTGAAAATGCAGCAATAATTTTTTGTATACACTGGAGAACAGATCGAATGATAACTGTCCGCGATCTGCTGCAACATTCAGCCGATTTGGACACAGTTTTCAAAAAGTTGCATTTTCTTCGACCGTCTACTGGAATAGCGTTAGTGGTAGACTTAATGTCAGCACATTATTTAAAATTAAAAAGAATCTGAGAGTTTCAAATTGATCAATATCTAACTAAGTGCTACTTCTTTTCACTCAACCATTTCCTGTTTGACTTTCGAGCCTTTACACCACCAGGATAAAGAGAATTCGACAGTCAGTAATTGGAATTGAGGGACTTTTATTGTAGACACATGCTTACATTAACTATAGGACTACTTGTCTACATCTGCCGCAATTTTACAGACACATACTCGCTAAAACTTGTCCGAAGTTACGGAGCTGGTGAATAATGATGCAAGTCGCCATTACACACTAACGGAGAAATATAGCTAACAGGAATCGGTTGGGTAGAACCGTCACCTAAGTTTTCTTATTTTCAATCAATCAGCCCCTCTCACTCCGCAAGATGTCAAGAAACTGGACTTGATGCTTCAAAATGTTCTTCTACCTGTGAAGAACATAGACAAACGCAAGGAGCAGGTTGGAAAGTATCTTCGTTGGGTAAGTTAGTCTAAGACATCGTTCACGTTTGAATTAAACAACCTCCACATCAATAATAAACATAACTGTGAAAGAGTAGGTTCTACGGTGTGAATACTATCTCATCGAGAAATGGCTATAACAATAGTGCAATTTATCCATTTCTAGTGTACAACGGTACGACTTTGAGTGAAACTGTTCGGTGCGTGCACCTGGAAGAATTTATCCCTCAATAATGCTTTTCCTAAATTGTTGTTTTGTTATTATTATTACTGAAATATGCAACAAAGCCTTCGTGAAATTTCCAAGTAACTGCGTTGTTCACTGTGCTTTCACCGTCAAGTTATTTCGAGCAAGAAGTGATTAAGGATCATTGGTTCATAATCTATGATACACGCGTATTTAGCTGGAAACCTTGTCTGCTTGACCACAGTTAGATGGTACTCCCATTTTTTCACCCTAATTAATTTGATAATTTTTTTTAGGGGGGGGGGTTAAAATTGTCTTTACTAACTTTCAACTTATTTGATAACTTGATCTACATAATACATCTAAACAAATGGGCAGCGAAAAAACTCGTGCGAAGTTGAAACAAAGAGTTAGGAAATTTGACTGCAGCTATAGTACTCTCTGTTCTGTCAACACCCTTTTGATAAGAAAAGAAAAGGTATACATATTAAATATATATATAAACGAATGTGGGAGTAGAGTCTACCTTGGCATAAAGTGCTCAATGCTGTAGTACCAGAGCTAAGTAGCTCTGTCGAATCGATGCGTCCTCTTTAATTCCTTAACTTATTGTATATATATATATATATACATATATTAAATAAATATGCATATGAAATATACACAAATTTATATACAAAAAGAGTGTTTTTGATGAGAGCACATGTTTCACTTATTTCATGTACATTTTCAAAATGCAACGTTTTTGAAAACGGACGGACATATATATATATATATATATATATGTCCGTCCGTTTTCAAAAAGCAGACAAGGTTTCAAGCTAAATACGCGTGTATCATAGATTATGAACCAATGATCCTTAATCACTTCTTGCTCGAAAAACGACGGTGAAAGCGGTTACTTGAAATTTATATATATATATATATATATATATATATATATATATTTATAGTAAGTCTACAAGTCGATTTTCGCGTGGAACAGTGCTCAATACGTTGAAGCAGAGCAGAATAAATATTATGAGAGGAAAAAAGGACGCGACTACATTTCCCGACAAGCCTGTTTCGTAAATCGCTTCACTCTTCAGGGGTTTAAACCTTCAGGGGTTTAATTTTAATTAAACATTAAACCCCTGAAGAGTGAAGCGATTCACGAAACAGGCTTGTCGGGAAATGTAGTCGCGTCCTTTTTTCCTCTCATAATATTTATATATATTTATAACTCCTTCAATTGAACTTTCGTTCTGAGAGAAATAGAAAAGTTAAGTGGAGTTTCCCCACTGTACTCTTACATCCCAATTATTATTATTTCTTAAAAGTTTGAAGCAGCAATGGTATCAGAGCAGGATGAGGTCCTAATTCAAGACTCAGTAGCACCGGATGACTGTGAACTTCTTAAACTTGCGTTTCTTTCCGCCTCAGAGGGATCAACTCTGCTGGACATGTCATCCCTCACAAAACCAGATATTCACGGATACGTTGTTGTCCTCAAACACCTTTTAGGTAATTGACGGCTTCATGATACAGATGCCAATATCAGAATATCTGCTTTTTCAAAACATGGAATCCACACAACTCGCAGCGGTCATGCTTTTCATATATTTCTGAAGTGACGTTTAAAATGTCATCATGGTAACTGCGAGATCTAACATGTCGTTTTTGCTTTTATGAAGGTCACTGTTACCCACAAAAACTCGTGTGAAAGGAAAAACACCATTATGAAAATATCTTACTTTAATTTAAAATCATAAGTTGATATAACATTTCCATGATATGAGTATACGTTCAAGTGATTACCACATTCAGTGCTATCAAATTGTGTTTTGAAATTGTCTTTCACGGTATAGATTGTTGCAAATCGATCTTTGGAGTGACTGAAATAAGACGAATGTAAAATACTACTCGTGATATGCATGCGCATCTTTTTTTTAAAATCTGAATTAAAAGTGCAGATCATGGGCAATCCACAAATTTATCGTGCCACACGCTGTCATTAGCGAGGAGACTTGCGACGACTTGCGACAACATTGAATCTTTTCATTAATAAAATTTCGATGGCTATTCTTTCTGAAAGCATTTGTGTTTCTTTTTCCAACAGATTTGACTGATGAAAAGTGGAGAAAATTGGAGCAGTACAATGCAGAATCTGATTGACCACGACTGTGATTACAATGGCCAATATACTTCTGATACTAAGATAGAAGTTTTCTATTTAAAACGATTAAGGTTTGAGCTGAGCACGTTTGCTAGAAGTAATTTTAATATCAATTTTCGCTTTAATCTTTACCATTGAGTTATTTCCACTTGTGAAAAGTTGTCCACGTAAGATCGCTTTGCGATTGAGTGTTGCGAGACCAAAATCAAACTCATCAAAATAGGCCAATTAGAACAATGGAAATTCTGCAGCGAGCCAATAAGAACTAACAGTAAGACCACGAATCTTCTTTAAGGGCAGTAATTGGGATATATTGGATTTAAGTTCTGCTTCCCCCCCTCCCCCCTCCTCCCCGTGTTATAATAAGTAATCTATAGTATGCAAGAGATTTGTCCAAAATTCGACAATTATCCATACCATACGATCTTACGAAATACCGACGGCTTCGCCGAAGACTTCGTCTATGAAAAGTATCTCTGTTTTTCGTGAGAACTTTAAATACGCAAGATTTTTTTACTTCTTTGCATGAGGGCAGAATACTTTTCCAATTTCTGCACAAAGAATACTCCATTTCCAATTGGGGAAACGAGAAATTCCTGTATTCCACAGCCTTTTTCAGAGAACAACGAAGTTGGTTGTTCAATCATTTTCCTGTTTTCATTGGATAGCAAAAATAAATTAAAATACCCCTCAGCGTCCGCGCATCGTTCTACTTCTTGTCCTACTACTGCTAAATAATTTTTTTTTTCTAGTCATCGCCTTCGAACTTTTCGTAAAGTCCCTATCGATGGCTTAAAGACTTGATGGTGTCATTCTAACTCCCTCAGAGACTCAATCCCCCATGTGTAATTCTATAAAGTGCATTTCTATTGAAAAAACCGAATGATGCAGATATCTTTCATGAATTCAGCATCATAAAGTCAGGAGAGAAAATCCAAGTAAAGAAAATTGTGGTCTCTGGTACTATTGGTTGAATAATCCATCAGGCAGAGATTAGAGGAGCTAAGTCAAAAAAACGCATTTCAATTTGTTTTTTAATTTAGTGATTTGTCATCCGTCATAATTTATTCTTGCCAACGTCAGTTCAGCATCTTGCTTCTTCGTTTTGTGGTGGACCTTATAGCGAGGACATGTCGCTAGGAAATTTCACTGCGCTAAGTAAACGAGAAAAATCGTGTAAACTACACACGAAGGCTACATGTGGCGGGGATGTTTAGCTGGGACATTAGGCGAGACGTAATATTAAACGCAGATTCTTCCCACACGCGTAATAGCAAAAATTGTGCCCATGTTCTCCATGGTGGGTCATATTTACTCTGTGTTTTCATTTGCTTCTCCTTTTATTCCCTGCCTTCTTCTTTGAAATGGGATAAGCGTAAGATTCTAGCTAACATACAATGATGTCTGGCCAGTATCTTCGGAGAGATCAGCCAACTGGGTTTTTTCATTGATTAAACAGGAAGACTCACCATTTTCTCTTCTTTGAAGCAATGCAGTCATCGCATCTAAAGTATCGCGAATACCTAGCTGTCTAAATTGGAGGACATGTTCCTCCAAAATTTACAAAGGACATTTCCCCACTGCATTTTTGTGTTTATGGCGGTATGTGTGAGATTCACGAAATTCTGTCCTTATCTCACGTCCCAGCAACACGCCCCTGCCACATAATGATTAATGCGCACGGCACATCAAGTTAGTCCCCTACATTTTTCAGGATCATGTCCATGTTACAAGATTCCCTGTGTGGGACCACCATCATCTTACCTTTCAGATAATTCTCTAAAGTCACAAAGAATTATTCCAGGGGTTTGAGTAGCCGAAGAAAGACGTCTGGTGGTCACATTATTTCAAATTTAATATCATGATTTAGCGAGTAAGAGCATGACTGGTCTATTTGAAAGGTGATTTTTATGTGGACAGCTTTTCTCTTGCCTTAAATGATTCCAAGTAATTGTAATCATAGCATGTAACCCAAGTAACCAAGACCATAGAGTTTGTTTGCTATAAGCTATAAATTCAAAAAATAAAGTAAATTGTATCAGTATTGGTGTTTCCTTGACTTTAAGTCTGTCACTTTGTGTTTTTGGCCTAAAAGAAGATTTGGGGACTAAGGATGGTGGCATGTAGAAATTAACTGCGTTATTATAAACTTCATAATTATCTTGAGTTTTTTCCATTAATTCGCCGTTATCCTTAAAATTAGTACTTTCGACAGAAAACAACGGCGTCAGCTACAAGAACGGGGACAAACAAAATAAATAGCGAGAAAGTGCGTTTTAAAGTTTGAAGAGCTGAAGTACAAGAATTTTTGTGGAGTAAAACCCCGGTGGCAATTTTTTTATGCTCTATACAGAATTTGTATAAAGGCAATGAAAGGAAATCTTTAAAAAGTTCTCTTGCTTCTCTACTGGAGAACTTAGCAATGTCAGTCACTTAGCTAACAATTATTTTCCATCTGCCCCCATCCCTCGCCTAAATGTTCTTATTGGTTACAGTAATGAAACCCTCTTGCGGACTTTTCTTGTTGTTGAGTTGGTCGATCGAAAGATTCTTAGCGGGGAAATTAAAGGGTCAACTTCTCGCTCGTAATTTAACATTTCCAGTCGATATGTATGAAAAGACAAGAAAAGCTGAACTTGAATTGTTTTAACACTCCACAGAAAAATTTCTTTGCCTTTCTATTTATTTTCCCGGGAAGTCCGCCAAAGAGCCATAACTTCATGCACTCGACGCAGTTTTCATAAATCACGTTCAAACATCTTGTACATGGTCTATCATAATCGCAAGCATTTCCTCCAAAGAGGATTGCAAAAACCAGTGCGCAACGAAAAGTATGAGCCAAGAAATAAAACAGTTTGACGACCAACGTACTTTTTTTTTTATATCGATCCCGTAAGTTATTTTCACTCGTTAAAAACGCCAACTATAAGTGTCCGTATTGTGGTTGCCGTTAACACTCTTATTACCTTCCCTCTTTGCTGAGCCCCTCCTCACTTGGAGAGTTTACACTTTTTTGGTTTTAAATATCAAAAGTTTTCAACCAGATTCATATAATACTCAAATCTGGGTGAAATAGGAATAAAAAACCGACGAGTTGCTCGTTAGCCTTCAGTTAGTCTTGAACAAACTCCCCTGCCCACCCCTCCCTGGTGGGTTCTCCACCCTAAAACATTTCCTGCCCAAAGATCATGAAGTACATCATTAAAGAAACCGAAATTAATCATACCATGACATTGATACAGCTTGTCCGATTTAAATACGTGAAGTGAGAGTCAATGTTGGCGTGAATTAACGCATCAGAACTTAAAGGTTTTGTCAGCTGGGATCAAAACAGTATTTAACAACACGATTTTGTTTCAGACGGTATGTAGTTTTCATTCCTTTTCCATACTTGAACAAATACTGCTCTGATTCCAGCTATCCAATTATTTTATAGTATTTGAAAGTCTATAGATGACTATTTACAATATCGTTCATAATATTTTCAATGACGAAATTGATGTATTGAAGTTCCTGGAGCGTCAAAGTTCTCGGTGTATTTAGTACCGTCATGGCGCTTAGAAAACTAGAAAGAATTTCAACTGTACTACGCTGAATTCATGGCAAGTTTGCCGGAATTATAATCAGGGGGCATCGAATTCAAGTCATTTACGCTGATTCTTGGCGAATTTTTCCTTGTTTGTCAATTTGAAGTTTCAAGATTTTTTGTGCGTTTCTCGCAGATAGCCAAGTGGTCTTCCTCTTCACTGTTAGGATTTAAATTCTTTTATTTATTTTTGCTTGTGTTCATTTCTTTGGTTACACATACACATTGATTAAAACATTAATAGTTTGGTGCTGTATTAATCTATAAATCTATTATATTCATTATTCCTGTATACGTAGGTTATCTAGGTGAATTTTATTTGTTAGAGCTCGGTGTTGTTCTTCTAGAGAAAGATCTTCGGCTGACGAAAATGAAAAAGTTATGTTTTCATTTCTATTTTAATCAAATTTGTTGTTCTTTTTAAACATTGAAAGAAATGAAGATAAAGATGTAATTGCCTTTGTCGAGATGAGAAATGAGTATTACGGAGTTTTTGCTTTTTTTTTTCTGTACCGAAACAAGTTTGAAGGTCAGCACTAGCGTTAAATTGCTGTTCGTCTAGGATATTTCTGGAAATATTTTCACCGCCATATTTTTGATATGCTTAGACTTCAGAAAAACCAACATAGAGGTGACACATTTCAGTTTCGACGGTTGTAAGAAGACTCTGACCATCAACATTAAGCATCTTGATGCGCATGCGCTTCGTTCGTTTACACAAACACTAATTGGCAATTCAAATGAGCCCTTGGAAATAACGATGAATGAATTGCAATGATCTGAATATACCTTCAGGGAATGAAAATTTAGAATTAAACACACTATTCGCATGTGCAGAACAAGAATTCTATAAAGACTTTTAATAGCAGTCTCATTTCCAGATACTCACTCGGTCTGTTGTGAAGTTTGATCCACACTCATGTCATACTAGAATATTTGGCTCTTAACCCGTTTACTGTCCTTGCAAATGCGGCAAAATAATTTTTATTAGGAATTTAAGTAGGTTTTGACGAACTTTTGTTTACTTTATCTTCAAGTTGAAAATCTGTTAATAATACAGTGACTCCGGCTTGCACGGCATGAAATATTATACATAAACCTTGCTATTTTTTCTTCAAAGGATAACTCTGTACAAAAATCGTAACTAATGTCAAGGTTTATAGGATTTGAATGTTCACTAGACTTACCAGTTTGTAACCAATGCAATCGCGTAATACTTCACAAATAAGAAAGCTGAAGAGACGGTTCGCAAAAATAGAAGTCGCAAGTAAGACGTGATTTTATTTGACTTGTTTCCAGATGTTAGAAGAAAGACTACGAAAGTTTGCTCAGGAGAACTTTAGCCATAGATACTATCCTATTCTTCATGAAGAATCTGAGAAAATACAGCCACTAGCGCTTGCTGTAAAAAGGTCTCGGCCAATATGGAAGCGACCACGCGGAAAACATGAAATCATAGTCCTTTCAGAAATGGCGAAATATGTTCAAGGTGACAGAGAAGCTAAAGTGTTGCGTGATTTCTTGGAATCTCAAGTCAAAAAGGAAATGTTTCAGTCCAAACCGACCATTGATATGGGTAACAGGTAAATCATCGATAGAGAGGTTCAAAGGTCATGTAGAAACCTAACACTGGTTTTGCTCTAAGTTCCTCTACTATTTAGTTCTTCTGTTGGTATCTGTTCGAGATACTTAAAAAACTTGCTCTACAGCGTTATGTTCCCCAACATTGGCATTCCGGTCAAACCTTCTGAGGCCGATTTTAACTACAGATTTAGTAAGACTTAAATTCGCTATCTAACTTTTCATTTATCACAGTAGAGCTCAGGAGTGCAATACAAGTGTTTCAGGATATCTGCATGCAACCATCAAGATCAGTGGTGATCAAAAAATTCTAAAACTGGGTGCACTGAGCCAGAAATACATTGACGACCCAGATCTCCGTGGAATACTCGCAAAGACACCTTTAGATTACAACAAAATGAAAGGCTTTGAAGGGAATGAACTGTTTTTAATAACGTCTGTAATTTCCAGCGAGAAATTTCAACTTGAAGGAGAGAGAAACGAAAAGGTATCTATCAGTATTTGATAAAAAAAAAAGGATGCTAAAAAGGGCTGCAACCTTTCCGTTAACTACCATTTTGCTTTGAAAACGAGGTCAATTCATGTCCGAATAATGCATGCATGATATTCACAACAAAAACATTTTCCCCGTCAATCAATTTCAAGCAGCAGTTTGTTGCTGTGGAGATCCTAGGCCCTACTCCTCCATCCCCGTATTTTTTAGAAAAAAGGAAAAGTCAAAAGGCTTTATTTCGCTAAAAGGTAAAAAATCTTCCTACTCTCAAATAGTTACCAGATACTCAGGATTTATGCAGCAAGTAAAGAAGGTCCTCGGTTGACTATAGTGACTGAGAGTTTTACGAAATGAAGACGTTGATTCTACCCCGAGTTGAGAGAGCCTCCATCCGAGAAAACACTTTATTTTGAGAAATGACCCTTCCCTCACAACCCAAATTGCTAAATTTCAGACGAAGTGATGCACTTACTCATCGAAAGGGACATTTTATTGCAGATCGAGACTGAAGTTAATGGTGAATTGCCTTCGCAAACGGCGAGTCCCATCTCCAGCTATTTTTTTCCACGCAGAAAAGTGCATTCTCGCTACTTCAGCTCATTTTTTCCTCCAGAGATGGCATCCAGAACCTCCGCAGCGCCGATCCTCTTCAAGTGTTGCCATGTTGATTACCTAAAGGATGAAAACAGACTGGAAATCCGGAAAGGAGAATATGTTGGTAAAACAGTTACCAAGGACGTGTTTGGCGGCTATTCTGCCAAAGAGGACCCGGATTATGATAGCACCTACGTGGAAATATACTCAGATGAGACTAACCTAGCAGGTAAGAGTGGTTGATAATAGGGCTGCTGTCATTTTTACAAATAGATCTGGGACTTAACGACTCTAAGGCGAGTTCCCAGTCGACAAAGAGGAAAGGATTTAAGATCAAGTTTTGAGTTAAATGGTATAGAAATACATTCTTTGTGAAGCATTTTGTACTTTTAGAGCTAAAGACATCGCTGAACTGTTTTTATTGGACGAAACTGAGCTCTTACCCTACTGAAATGTTGAACTGCTAACGTGTCTGTACTTTTTTTTGCCGTAGGGTTCGTTTTATGGTATTAAAGAATATTGCTTCTTCCTGTTAAACATTACGCAAGTTTGCTTTCCCACTGTTTCATTGTTCTATAGGAAGATTTTGAACCATAAGTCGTGCTCGTCTGAGAAAGTAAAAGTTTCCACCGTCACTGCGATTTTTTCACATTGAGCAAAACAATCCTATTGTAGCACGGTGTAGTGTGACCGAATTTCAGGAATGCCATTTTTCCTCCACCAGATCCTCTTAGTACAGAAGATTTCAAGAGACTTGACCCTATACTAAACAAAGTGCTTCTACCAATCAAAGATAGAGAACAGCGTAAGGCACTCGTTGAGAAGTATCTGTATTGGGTAAGTTGACCTTAGGCATAAGGTTTCAATACACCGAGTCGCCTGACGAATAGCCATTAAATTGAATGAAGGATCGTTTGAAGTCGATCGCATGTCCTGTTTCGTCTGGCTTTCTCTCTGTTGGTCTGTCTACTCTTTATCTGTGATTCTCTTTTCGCTGTGTTTCTGATGCCTTGAAGTCTCTCTCTGCAAACAAGCCTGGCTACCTGCTTGCGTCTGTCTGTCGATTTTGGTAACCTTTTTTTCGGTTCTCGATCGATGCTCGCATTGCCATAAAGAATATATAACTACATAAAAGTTTATCGAAAAAATTTCAGGATTTACGGACAATCACTCTAAAGAGACGATTCGCTGAATAATATATTCATAATCAAGGCGATCAAAAGTTTCGAGTTATTATATCACTTACACTCCTACATTGACAGTTGATCTGATCGTTGCTAACATTTAGACTTGTTGGCAAAAGAATATTGATTTTCTCTCGTTTTTTGGTCATTAGTTTGAAACAGCTTTAAAAACAGGTCAAAACAGGTTTCTGGTTCCGGAGCCAATAATTTCAGGTGACAGGGAGTTTCTCAGAATTGCCAATATTTCCTGTGATGAGGAAACGAATACGTTGGATCTGGAGGCTCTCACCGAAGACGACATTCATGGATATGCTGTTGTCCTCAGGAACCTTTTTGGTAAGAGAACAGTTTCACTTGAACTACCAGTAATGGTGCAATTTTACCGGTATCCGCGGGTTTCGCCCATAACGAGTTTCGCCCAAGAAGCGTTTCGCCCATAACGAGAATGGTTTCGCCCAGGCATAAATTCGATTCGTGCGGCGTGCGGATCTTAACTTCCGTGTACAAAAGATTTGCAACGATGATATGTTCCACGCGCAAGTGTTTTCAAAAGCGTTTAGTGTATCAACCACATAATCAACTAATGTAGTTTTTTTTAGAAGTGATCACGAACGCTAACTTTTTCTACAGGTTTATCGGACGAAACGTGGGAAGCAATTGAGAAGGATGGCGCAAAACCTTGACCCATGACTCACTTAAAATTGAGCAATGTTGCTTTTGCATGTTTTACATTGAATCAGAAGCTTATTAAGTGATTTACGCTGCAAAGTTTTGACTCAAGGAAAATGAGATTTAAACGGATAAAGGAAGTAACATGGTAGTATAAAGACACCAAGTATTTAAGAATAAACGGGAAAAAACGAGCATTGACAAAGGTGGCGAGGAATTAAAAACTATAACTTTGAAATGGGTAAACTGTGGTATACACTCTTTTGGAAGAGTTTTCAACTGAATGTCGAAACAATTACGGGATTGTTCCGTTTTTCCGTTTTTTTCTTTACTTCGTTAAGTAGTTGGTCCTAAATTAAGAGAAATGCAATTGGGTCACTTGCGTTTTCCCGCGCTTCAGTAAGTTTGCTCATTAAGACCTCATTGGCCTTTCAAGACTTTTTTTTTTTTTTGAGTGACTAATGTGATCACTTTGGTTTTGGTTCTAGGAACCTCAATCGAAATGTGCTTCATTTGAAAAGAAAACCCGTTTCACCGAGCAGTTCTGTAGAATGCCGATTTTATTTGATCCTTTTGAGTAAGTCGAAAATAGTTCAAAATTGGGGTTTGACGACAAAACTTTTTTTTAAGAACTTAATATTTTTAGCGAGGAGGGGAAGTCAGTTCTGATGTCGTCCTAAAGCTCCTTGTCGGCAAGAAAACAATTTCAATTGTGCTGTCAGCAAAAGTGTCGAAAAATGTCCCCCCCTATTCACAGTAAAATGAGTGTGTGTTCAGCGGACACCTCTATTGAGTGGACACGGACACCAGAATTAACCGCACTCATTACTTGAAACCTTTCAATCAATGAGAAACATGCTTTGCCCTATAGTCAACAGAAGCTGGTTTCCCCAAAGTAATCATGTACGCTGACGTTTTGACAGATTCATGCGATACGACTGAAAACCAGTGCCGCCAACGAAATTTATGAATATTCATGAATGTCGAAAAATAAAATATATTCAATGGCAAACGTACTTATTTCTTTGTTCTTATTGATCCTGCAAGGAATCCTCGTTAGTTGAAGAGAGCCTCCTACTGACTTCTTTACCGCGGTTGCCGTCAACACTCCGCTTTAGAGACAAGCTGTTCTTTGGCCTGCAGTTTGTTTTCAATAACTTCTCCTTCCCCTTCTTGGTGGCTCTCCTCCCAGATACGCATCCTATCTAAAAACAGGGTAGTTTAGTATTATCAATTGAGTTGATAACGTAAATTGGCTTCCGTAATGAGTTTAAAAGCTGACGTTTCGAGCGTTAGCCCTTCGTCAGAGCGATTAGGGAAGGGCTTTGACGAAGGGCTAACGCTCGAAACTTCAGCTTTTAAACACTTTACGGTGGCCGATTTACGTTATCAACTCGGTTGATAATACTAAATTACCCTAGCCTGTTTTACTCTCCCACCGACGCAGCACTACAGTTTCCTTAGAGACTTACCCCTTTTATTAATCCATCTAAGAGCAATCTAAGTTAGAAATCCCCACTTCTTCCCCTTTCCCCTTCGTTCCAGGGGACTTAAATATAATTCCATCGACTTTTCTTTCCAGATACCTCTCGTTTTAAAACCAAGTGAAACACTGGAAAATCAAACTTCAGCTTTTTTCACGAGTAGGCTAATAAGTTCCCCAAAAGCGAACTAACACTTATTGAAGGAAAAGATACCTCTGAAAAGAACTCTTGTGCGGGTAGCTGTGAAAACAACTTTTCAACCTTACATTGAAATCTGAACGAAACGACCAAAAACTCGACCGCTCATTTGATTTTAAAGAAACGACAAAGATGACTGTTCAAGCGAATATATTACCATTCTAAGGCATACGACCAGTTTTCACGGATGTCGTAAGTTTAATAAAAGAGAAACGCTCTGATGGTTTCTGGGGAATACGATACGCATCGGACTTCCACAACGAATCAGCCCTCACCCTCGCAAGTGCCGAAGTCGTGGTCGCTTAGCTGAAAAATATTTTGAATCTGTGAACGAATGAAGTTACCCGCGCATACCAAAAAAGCGAAATTGTCTCAATTAAGTTAAGAGAAAATCGATTCTCTCTCAAAAATATCACCAAAAGTGCAAATGAATACATTTTATTTTAAACATCGCAAAAAAACAAACAAACAAAAAACAAAACAAAACAAGAAAGAAAACAAGAAGCCTCAAATTCCACGATCGGGAGGCCTGTGGTAGCAAACGTCATTGAAGAAACCGAAATTAGTCTTGTTGTCAGATAAAAACAGCTTGTCGGATTTAAATATACGAAGCGGGAGGCCATGGAAGAATGAATTAACCCACCATAACTTTCGTTGGTGTCATTAAGATCAAAACAACATTGAACACAATTATTTTGTTGCAAATGGTAGGTCGTTTTTCTTTCTTTTCCCATATTTTATTAACTATTATTTTGATTTCAACTATGCAACTATTTGTTCTCATTTTAAATTCTAATAATTTCCATTTATAAGATCATTCGCAATATTTCAACGACAAAAGTGGTTTGTTAAAAACTCGGCTCATTCAGTAGAGTTATAGCTGTAGTGTTTACAAAAAGAGGAAAGTTGAAGGAAATTGAACTGTGCTGAGTTTGTTTAAGCTTGCTGGAATTGGCGTCAAAAGGTCTCGAATTCAAATCATATACGCTGATATCCTGGCGATATCTTTCTTTTGTTCCTCACGATTTCCTGTTAACCTACCCTCTCAGTTAAGCTGTTAACCTTTTGTTGCATTTGTGTTCGTCCGCATTTCCTTTTTGGAAGGTATTCCAACCCGTTCCTCCCGTAACTACGAACTGAGCTACGAAACCACATGTAAGGAGCGAGTCAGGGGAATTTGAAAACAGCTTGAAATTAAATGAATTTCATTGGACCTTCGCATAAAAATCAAGCAAAGAAATGATCCTCGTAGGTGGACTGTGATTTAAGCAAATGCAGAGACAGAGCCTGAAAATAACATTTGCTTTTACCAGCATTGCAGTCCACAAAATTTATTTCATTTATTGTTTGTCTCTTTTTCCTAGTTAGGGTTTTACCGTTCTTGCATGTTTGCATGTTTACGCTCTTTAGATACGTTTCCTGGTCAGTTATATGGTTTGGCGTTTTATCTATTTATCAATCTACTGATAGTTTGTTGCGCACGTTAAATGAAACATATTTTTCGAAGGTAAGTGTTGTTCTTCTTGAGAAAAATGTACGCTGACGAAAATGAAAAAGGTTGTATTTTCATTTCCATTTAATCCAGTGTGCCGTTCGTGGTTTACGGTGAGAGAAAATGAAGATGAAGACGTAATTGCATCGATCCGATAGTAGATCATCGAAATGAGAAATGAGCATACGGATATTGTTGCCGGGATTATGTTATTGCGGAAGTATGTGTCAGCAATGTCGTTCAATTGCTGTGCATCTGGGATATTTTTGGAAATGCCTTCACCACGCGCTAAACATGCCAGAACTACATATAATAGTAAATAGGGGTGATGCATTTTAGTTTCGACGGATGTAAGAGGACTCTAAAAAAATCAACATAAAATAATTTTGATGCGCATGCGCTGCATTAATTAGCACAAACATTAATTGGTACCTCAATCTTTGAGTTGGAATGATCGCAATTTTCCTTCACAGAGTGAGAATGTAGCACGAAATACACTAGTTGCACATACGGAACCATAAATATACCATGAATACCATAAAAAAAAAAAACTATCAATAGCATTCTCAGTTTCAACTAGTGACGCCGTTTGTTGTGCTGTTTTATCCACTTGTACGTCATACCAGAAAATTTGGCTCCTGACACGTGTATAGTCTTTGGCAAATGAGGCAGAAGTATTGTTATCAGGAAGTAGAGTAGGAGATGACGAACTTTTGTTTTCTATTTCTTCACAGCTGCAAATCTATTAATAATGTTGTGACTCTGGCTTTCTAGAGATTCGGCCCACAGAAAGAAACAAAATTAATACACTTCGCTCTTTCCTGTTCGACGGATAACTTTGCAAAGAAAACGTGACTAATGTCGAGGTATACAGAACTTCGGCGTTCGCTGGACTGGTCTTTTTGTTCCTGATATATATAAATATAACATAAATAAGAAACTAAACAAGTAAGAAGAGAGACGGTTCACAGAAAGAGAAATCGCAAGTAAGACATGATTTTATTTGATTTGTTTCCAGATGTTAGAAGAAGGACTACGAAAGTTTGCTCAGGAGAACTTTAGCCATAGATACTATCCCATTCTTCATGGAGAATCTGAGAAAATACAGCCACTAGCGCTTGCTGTAAAAAGGTCTCGGCCAATATGGAAGCGACCACGCGGAAAACATGAAATCATAGTCCTTGCGGAAATGGCGAAATATGTTGAAAATGACGAAATAGTTAAGGTGTTCCGTGATTCCTTGGAATCTCAAGTCAAAGAGGAAATGTTTCAGTCCAAACCGACCATCGATATGGGTAACAGGTAAATCATTGACAGAGAGGTTGATCCATGCCATTGTGATAGTATCAATGGGTTAATTGTTAGCCGTAAAAGGGCCCTAAAGTTCAACCGTTAGACGTAGAATGGACAAATTTTATCCGTTGGTTGTAAAATGGCAAAATCTTAACAGTTAGCCGTAAAAGTCATCACCCCATTGAGACTCCATTTTGTAAACACTGGTTTTGCTCTTCGTTCCTCTGCTCGTTAGTCATTTGTTGGTGTTTTGTTCGAATTACTTGAAAAGCACACAAATAAACTTTTACGTTCCCCAATATTCGCATGGTGTTATTACGCTAGTCAAACCTCCAACGGAAGATGTCGATTACTGATTGAATAAGCCGCTACTAGTTCTTGCTTTTTATTTACCCCGTTAGTGCTAAGGCGTACAGTATGGGTGTCTCAGGATATCTGGAGGGAACCATTAAGATCAGTGGTGATCAAGGAGTTCTAAAACTGGGTAGATTGAGCCAGAAATACATTGACGATCCAGATCTCCGTGGAATACTCGCAAATACGCCTTTAGATCACAACAAAATGAAAGGATTTAAAAGCGATGAACTGTTTCTGATTACATCTGTGATTTCAAGCGAGAAATTTCAACTTGAAGGAGAGAGAAAGCAAGAGGTAAATATCGGTATTGGAAAAATGACCCCTTTCTGCACACTTCAAACAGCTGAATTTCTGACGGAGTGTTTAGCAAATTTGCCAACTCATTGAAAGATATGTTTGTGTTGATCTTATTTCAGACCGAGGCCGAATTCAATAGCGAAGTGCCACCAATAGCGGCGAATTCCTACATCAAATATTTCATTCCAGCTGGAAAAGTACATGCTCGCTTCTTCAGCTCATTTCTTCCTCCAGAGGTGGCATCCAGAAACTCCGCTGCACCGATCCTCTTCAAGTGTTGCCATGTTGATTACCTAAAGGATGAAAACAGACTGGAAATCCGGAAAGGAGAATACGTTGGTAAAACAGTTTGCAGGGACATGTTCGGCGGCGATCCTACCGAAGAAGACCCGGATTATGATAGTACCTACGTGAAAATATACTCAGAAGATCAGACTGATCTACCTGGTAAGAGTGTTAGATACACCGATTTCTGTCATTTTCACATATAGATCAGGGGCCTGATGACTTCAAGGCAAGTTCGACATCGAGACTGGATGACATTTGAGTTAAATTACTTAGCGAAACTCCAATGACATGTAAAATGTTGAAGCATCATCTTTATACTCTGCGAGAAACAGACTTAGCTTAACTGTTGTTATCGGACGAAATTGAGCCCTTACACAGCTTAACTGTTTTTTCCAAAAGGCCATTTTCGCAAAACGGCTCGATCTTTGAAAAAACAACTCATATTTGCGTTCCCCCCGTTGTTTCATAGGAAGATCTCAGAGTAGAGATCATACTCATCTAAGAAACAACATATCCCACTTTTTTTTACCATATTTTTATCATTAAGTGGGATAAACCTGACATAGCACGGTGGACTGTAACCGAATTTCAAGGACGCTATTTTTCTCCAACCAGATGAACTTAATCCAGAAGATATCAAGAAACTTGATCTTATACTTACCAAAGTGCTTCTACCAACAAAGAATAGAGAAGAGTGTAAAGCGCTTGTAGAGAAGTACCTGATCTGGGTAAGTCGACCTTATACATTCATTTCAATGTATTTAATTGCCTTACGAGTACCATCAGATTGTAAGTGGGATCCTTTGAAAAGGAATGTCTTTCTGTTAGTCTGTTTGCTCTTTGCTTGTGATTTTTTTGTGTCTGACGCCTGATTTCTCTGTCTTTAAACCAGCCTGGCTGCTTGCTACCAAAAACTGCTCTTTGTTTTCTGATTGATGCTGGCATCGCCACATAGACTACACACAACTGTGTACCGAAAAGTTTCATGGTTTTCTGGCAGCGGCTTTGGAAAGACGATTGTCTGAATGAGCTATTTATATATTAAGTCGATCAAAAGTTTCGATTCATTATGTCAACTACAATCTTAGGTCGACTATTGATCTGAGCCTTGTTGTTCAAAGAGCGGAAAACACCATCCAATGGATAAATTGCTATCCAGTAGATAAGTGTTACCTAAACGTACTGCGCTATTGCTGTTGCTACTGCACCGGATAGAAATTTGCTCTAACGATAGGGTTATCCACCCTTCGAACAAACGGAGCCTGATCATCGCTAACATTTAGAAATTCTTTTCAATAGTTTGAAACCGCGTTGGAAAGTGATGAGACCAGGTTTCTGATTAAGCAGCCAATAACACGAGCTGATTGTGAGTTTCTCAGAATTGCTGCCTATCTTTCCTGCTCCGTGGGAGCGAATACGTTGGATCTGCGGGCTCTCACCAAAGACGACATTCATGGATATGCTGTCGTCTTCAGGATACTTTCCGGTAAGAATCATCAACAATAATGCAATCGCATCGTGCCCCGTATCAAGCAGACGCTAATCTAGGTCTCCAGAAACTTCTCCCATGTTTACAGAGGAAAAAGTCCGTGTTCCACTGACAGCTCTATTGAGCGGACGTGGACACGATAGTTACCCGCGCTCGTTCCTTGACAGGTGTGCCATGTAATCAGCAATTACAGGTTTTTCAGAAATGATAATGCACGTAACCATTTTTCCACAGGTTTATCCGACGAAAAATGGGAAGAAATTGAGAAGGATGGCGCAAACCTTATACCATAACTAAGTTAAAAATGAGCAACGTTGTTTTCACATTGAATCACAAGCTTAGAAAAGGAAATAATTCAAAATGTCTTAACTCGTTAAGTTTAGAGGAAATCAGCTTTAAATATATTAAGAAAGTAGTTTGCTTGTATATAAACAAACATCAGGTTTCTAAAATTAAACAGGAAAGGACGGGCATGGTCGAAGGTTTTACACCAAAAGCGTAGAATGGCAGGCGAATCTCTTCAATATGAGTAAAATGCGGCATAAAATATTTTTTAGAGTAGTTCTCAATTTAGTGTCAAGGGTAATCCGGGATTGCTTTGGTTTGGCTTGATTAGTGGAGAAAACCCGCGCTACTCAAAACTAAAACCAGAGACGACTGGGTCACTCGCGTTTTCCCGCGTTTCAGGCAGTTTGATTGTATTTGCTTTGACTAACTGCTTGTGATATTTTCCTTTGTTTCGACTTTTTTGTGATTACTTTGATTTTGGTTTAAAAACTCAATCGAAACACGCTCTAATGGCAATGAAAAACTTTTTCTCTGTAAAGCAGAATACTTATTTTCATCTGATCCTTTTGAGTAAGGAAACTAGTTTAAAATTTAAAATCTTGCGACCAAACTGTTGTAGGAAATGAAAGATTTTTGAGTGCTCTCTGAGCGGTTAATGTCCACGAACAAATTTCGAACACATTTACACGCCAAACACACTTACAATAGCCTCTATTTTCGTGCCAAATAGAGACTGTTGTTTATGTATATTTAAGCTAATTAGTTGTAACTTTGTTTATCATCGTCCTACTTGTTTTATGAAGCTCGCAGAACAACACGTTTACAAACAGCTCACCGTTAAACACTTTTGAGGGGGACTTTGTGAACAAAACAGTTAGTCTTTTCCTGTGTATTACTGACAAACGCACTCTTAACGCCAATAATCCCTTACAGGGAGACATAAAGAGCTTTAAACACTACTGAGGTTTGGAATGTGGTATGATACCATCGGATATTCTCCAGTTTATTCGGGACATGCACGAAGAAAAGTTAATAAAAACGATTGCTCACGTGTGAAATTGTTCATAAATTGTATTTAGAAAGTTTATAGGGGAAAGGAACTGAATTTTGAGCAAGGTGTACTTCGAATCGGCCGATTTGCAAACTCGTGTACACCTCCTTTAGCTTTGTAGTGAGTACCACACTCCCTTGGAGGGATGAAAAGAATAAACCACTAGAAATCATGAAAAGATTTCGTGTTTTTTTTTTAATTGCAAAACGTATCTCATTTATTAAATAGAGTTGGATCTAAGAGGCTCCACATGGCAATTTTGTAATAAAATTTCTAGTTTGTAAAATGCTAACTATGAATCACTGCATGACTAACAGTGGTCGAGGAATATATTTTTTTGGATCACTGGGTCTGAAAATTGCTTCCTTGAATCTCCCAGACAGTTTATGTCGTAACTTTATATCCCAGACAGTCAGGAACTTCTTACTTTAAAAGAAATTAACCAAAGATTAATGAATGAAGGGGATAAGCTTCTAAAGAAACTGTGATGCTGTATTGGTGGCTGAGAATAATAAGATAATTTGGTTCTATCAACTGAGTTGATAACGTGAAGAAATCCTCATAAAGATTTTCTAAGCAGAAGTTTCGAGCGTTAGCCCTTTGTCAGAGCGAAGGGCTAACACTCTGACGAAGGGTTAACGCTCGAAACGTTAGCTTAGAAACTCTTTACGATGGTTAACATGGGTTATCAACTCAGTTGATAAAACCAAAAGAACCAAATATTAAGGCTAGGTTCATGTTACACCTGTGGATGTAGTTATGGAGGTAGGTGGTTTTCAACCAGACAAATACCAGGTACAGTGATTGAGTCTTTAAACTTACTTTATCAATTCTGTCAGATTTATCTTTGGAGAAAATGTCATCTTAAAAAAAAAAAGTGTATTGACTTATTTTATGCAGTCTCTCATAGCTTCATTTTCCGATGCTGTTATAATACCATTTTGTTCTCGCTAAATGAGACATCAAACCTCCACTTCACTCCACTTCACTTCAGTAAGGCATCACATTGTCGGAGCCGCCCCCCCCCCCCCCGCTGAGACCTCGCCAGGCGTCACGTTCTCTGCATTTCCTACTGCGATAGCCATTTGGTTCTTAAATGGAATTCTCGACTTATTATTCCGACTCTCTGATTTTGTAGAGGGGCAGGGGCTGTTCTTAGTCGAAGCTATACCTCGAATAATCTAAAAAGGAGAAGCAAGCAAGCTCACCTCATCGACCACAAGATTAGTGTTTATTCGATAAGCACTAGGGCCAAAAGTAAGAAGGCTCTGGATGCAGGCTAATTAGGCCTTTCTGAATGGTTCGATTACATAATCAATCGAAACAGTTATATGAAATAAACATATTGAAAGTAGCTGTCATAATTTGCCATGAGTACGGGAGAAACTATGAAGAAAATATCACTCGTAGCTTTAAGCATGTCAGTCAATTATTTAACCATCCCTCCTTGAATAGATTGACACCTTGCTATGATGAAAAGGCTTTCATGAAACCTTGCCTATTTCGGAATCAAATCTACGGGCAAGGATCTTTCCCTAATGCATTTTCACGTGACAGGCACTGATCAAAGCTGAAGGGGAATGTCCCTATCATGGTAACAGTGGTTTTCAGCGCCACAATTCTACACAGATTGCCTTTTGTAATTTCATTACCTGGCCGGCGCAAATTGGAAGAACAAAGGAGGGGGTAAGGGGTAACGAGTGGGGGGGTGCTGAAGATCACGTGCTGGCGGAGGATAAAGAAGAAAAGTAATTATTGTTAGGGTGGCAAGTTAAGGGGACACAAATTGACATCCGTAGCCTGATACGTCCACGTTCGAGCCGCGGCTGTTATGTTGTTTTATCGCCATGATGCCTCTCCCTCCCCCTCCAAGGGGTACATAAATATTAAGGTAACGGCACGATTTATCGACAAATTTCTGGAGGGAGGGGGGTGGGGTGCTAAATGTGCTGAACCAGCATATCGTTCTCGTGCTCTCAATGATTGCGGCCTCAACACCCAACATGTTGAGTGCAGCATACTTGTATGAGGAGATGTTTTTAGTGAAATATTTGTTGTGGTCGAAATTAAATGTATTCCTTTAAATACGAAAGTAATTATCAGGTGTATGATTTTTAACTTGGAAATACAACACCTCCTCTCGGCGAAGGCGATGAGAAACGGTGTTCCTCGCAAACTTTATCATAATTCGGGCGTGCGGGTAAGATAGATTAGAAAGGTTAATAAGAATGTATATTGTCAACATTTGTGTCCATCCTAAGGCGACACAAGTTTCATAACAAAGGGTTTTCCCTAATTATTGAGGTGCCATCGTGTTTTAAAAATCCTCTGAAATGCACGATGAAATTTAACTCAGTTCCGAAAGGAGGGAAAATCTTAATTTTAGCAGAAATAACGTAACCCTGAAGTGTCTTCGAAAAAAAAGTAACATAAAATATTTACTCGCGCCTTTTCCAGATGACTGACATAGATTTATTCATGGAAAACATCCGCGCAAAAAACCGAAATATTGGATTTGGTTTCGAGCCTTGGTGTACCCACGTCACACAGGCGGAAATGTCATGGGATATCAATAAAAATTTGCATATATATATCATATCTAAGACGAAAATGATGTCTTGGTGTAGCAAAAATACTATTTCGTTATTCCACCGTGACAAGCGCGATTCCAACTTTGTAATCGGCCCAAACTAGCAACAGACGTAATTCATAGAAACTGAAAGAGAGTTGTTTGCTCTAAATTTTTTTGCTGCTCATACTACGTGTATTTACGTCTGGTTGTTTCGCAAGATAATGTTGCATTGGACTAAGCTGGCCTAACTCAACTTTAGTTTCTCTGCTAAGGAAACTTCTCAAGCGATTTATGTGACCTTCGATTCTAAGGTATGAGTTGATGTGTTTTTATTCTTTAATGCTTTACTTAATCCATCTCTCATGGCTCTCAGAGGACTACGTCTACAGTTGAAACCAAGGGAGCCAGTACACACACAGTGACCTATTTGAAAGTATGAATTAAAGAAACGGGCATTATCAAATTGTCTCTAAAGTCTTAGATATGAACCTGTTTCTTAAAACACATACATTTTCGCATTTAAACTTTGCATTTTTAGAGAAAGTTTCGTTGAAGTTTCACTGATTATTAGCGCCGTACTGTATTTCAAAGAAAGGCTCTTTGTTGTGAATTCTCTGTGCGGGAATTTATGATGTTGAACTTATCTATTGGGATGCTCTTGTCTGTTCAAGTGTTGCTAAGAATCGATAAATGACCGAAGGCATGGCTGAACTCTGTATGAAATGAGACTGATTCTTCAGAAAGTTTGAAGAAAACTACGCGAGCATGCTTCTATTTTCGAACATTTTCAGCCAACACTGAATTTCATTTTAATTGCTGTGGCCTGAAAATATTTTCAGTTTTGCAGAACATCTCGGATTGTTCAATAAGGAGCATAGTTATAGTCTCAAGGTACGACTCGACCCTCCTGCTCGACTTTATTTCTTTGACAGAAACGATTTAGTTTCTTTCTCCTGTGTACCAATGAAACTTTTTAAGCGACAGTAGAAAAAGAATGAAATCCACAGTGTGGCTCCGTAACGCTTTAGAAGTGGCAACGACTAACCTTGAGCCGTAACGATGACCACTTTTGTATAGTTTTTGCTTCTTTTTATCTTCTCGCGTTAGGATTCTGTAATTAGTTTTGCTTTGGTAAAACTCATGACAAATAAACACAGCATACTAATGAAAACGTTTTAAAACAATCTCATGCCTTTATTAGGATTTTGAAAAATTGAGGACTAAAGAGAAATAAATATTTGCATTTCTACATTTGGTGGAGAGTTTGGTCGGTTGGACAACGGATTATTGATAGCATAATAAAGATGATGCAATTCGGATTATATTTCTAGAAGCACACTCACTGGGTGATTTTTACATGTGGAGGAAAAAAAACTGAAAAGGCGAGGGGATGTTTCAGTTTTCGAAGGATGCCTTTACCTCGATGAGAAGCTTTTGCGCACCTTACTCTCGAAAAAAAAATTGAAAGATGGAAACTGCTGTCCTATGCAAATACGTGCTGCATATTTATCACTTAAATACGGTCAATCAAGGTACACATCATTCTGAAAGCAACACTACACTAATTTGGAGCACGTTTTAGATCTGCACGAGCTTAAACGAAGATCGAGGCTAAAAGTAAGTCATCTCGAATATCCTATGTTTTTTGGGTTATAGTGAACGCACGAATTGCAGTAATATTTGTGAGTCTTCAACCTAACATCTCGTGTTTTAAACCACTTCTTCATACACCGAGTCGTCTAACAGACGATAGCTTTTTTTCACTTCCATTCTCAGCTATCGAAACATTGAAAAGTTGTAAAGCGTTTTGTCGAGTGAAGGAGCGTGCGTCAATATGGTTATTATTCAGGAAGTATATTTTTGCCTTCGATTGCTCGCGGAAAAAGGGGAAAAAAGCCAGCTTGTTACTTCTGCTTCGAAATAGCAGGGTTCTTGAGGTGATGGATGCTTAAATCCTATATTTTTAGAAAGGGATTTTCTCACTGATTGAAAAGATTCAGGTCTGTTTCAGTTGTATTTATTTAGGAAAACTTAAAGTCATTAAGAGTTTTTTACTTTGGTTCAGTCTGCTGTCTTCTGCAAAAGACTTTACCGTTAGCGTTTGCCTCTTTTGGCAAATCCTTCTAGTTGTACCCTGTTCATAATCAGTTGTATTATGAAATGCTACTTTGCGTAAGTAAGGCTCACATTTAGTAAAATCATTCGAATCTTTTTTTCCAGATGATAGCAGACGCTCTACGAAAGTTTTCTAAGCAAACTTTTAGCGAAAAAACGTTTCCAGTGCTTCACGGCGAAACGGCGAAAATACAGCCTGGGACATTAGCTGTAAAAAAACATCGGTCGGTATGGAAGCGACCCTATGCAAAACTTGAAATGGTAATCCTTGCTGAACTACAAAAGTATGTCAAACGTGGAGAAGAAATGAAAGCCTTAAGCGAATCTTTCCAATCTAAGATAAAAGAAGAGGTATTTGTACTGAAACAAGAGATTGACAAGAACAAGATTGACGTGTCGGCCAGGTATGACCCTTAATTGGTGCTAATTAATAAAATGAATATTCACTTCTTTCTTTCATTCCTTTGACAACCTAATAAGGAAAAAAGAATTATTTAGGACGCATGTATTAGTGCCTAATTAAAGTCGACTAACAGTAAAAAAAACACACCCACACACACAAAAAACACCAACTGCAATATATCTGACGAAAATAAGAAAGATCAAAATCGTCTCCCTTTCCCTGAACTGTAGGTGTTCCTGTCTTCACAATCAGATGAACTTATATTTTTGCCTGTTTGTTGTTTTTTTGTCATCTAGAGCTGAGGAGCGCCATGAAGGTGTTGAGGGATGCTTAGAGGGAACCATTAAGTTAGGTGATGGACAAGGAGATCTGAAACTTGGAAAACTTCGCCAGCACTATATTGAAGATGCAGACCTTCGCAAAATACTGGCTGAGACTATTCTTGACCCCAACAAGATGAAGAATTTTGACAGGCACGCATTGCTTCTCATAACCTCCGTAATTTACAGCGAGAAATTTGAACTGAAAGGGAAAAGATTGCTGAAGGTATCAATTTAAACCCATGTAACTGAAATTTCATCCTAACAAAAGTTATAACGGGTTCTGTAGAAACACATATCAGAAAACACTCTTTAAATTTATGAAAGCGCTAAATGAGACCCTAAAAGTGATGATTCATTGAATCACAAGTATGATTCAGTGAAGAAAGAGATCTCCCGCCGGTGTGAACATTAATTTCAGAACCAGCTTTTGCATGGGGGTATAGATCTAGTATTTTGTAGAACGCCCTTTTTACACAGTTTTCCATGTTCCGAACTGCGGTCAATTCGCGCACGAGTCTTTTCGCCAACGATCAGTTTGCTAACTTGAATGTCTCAGTCACTCGTTTTGACAACGTCTCAGGTCAGTTTGCAGGTAGGTCCTTTCGCTAACGTTTTTAGTTATTTCACCAATGTCTCCTTACATTTTTTTTTTCTTAAAAGTAACGACAAATGAAAAGGTTGCTCTGTAAGGTGTGGAGGCATAATTTTGTTGTCATTAGGCAGCATTCATTGTCATCATTAAACATACTCAGGCATTTTTCGCCATCATTGGGCATCTTTCTCGTGGGCATCGAATTGACTTTAGTTTGTCTTGAATCGGCTTTATAAAATCGATTTCGGCTTTTACTGAAACGACCTAAGTCCCTTTACGACTTTCAGCCGATTAGAAGGCGATCAAGTTCTGCCAATGGAATCATTAAACGTTTGTCATAAGTTAGCAAAACGTTCTTGAGACGAAAGCGAATCTAACCAAGACGCTAGTGAACTGCTCGCCAGCGAAACAACTCGTGAGCGGAACCTCCCAAAATCATAATATTCAACCTGGATTAAGTGTTTATATTCATCAATTCGTTGATTTATTTATTTCTTGTTTTGCCTATCCATTTTTTTTTTATATTCTTTTATTCATCTCATTCGTTTTTTAACCTAAGGCTGCAACTTGATCAGTGTGGTGCCTCATCGGTTGGTTCCAAAATTACCTCCTTCATTTGCGGTAATTGTGATTTTGTTCACTTAATTTTAGACTGGACGTCAAGTTGAACTGGCTGAAATGGAACATCTGTGTCCATTTCTCAGGTATATTCTGCGTCCCAATCAACTAACGCAAGTAGACGAGACCTACCGTCCTCCTGAGGTGGCGACCAGGACCTCCGAAGCGCCGTTTCTCTTCAAGTGCTGTCATGTCGAATTTAACAAAGAAACTAATCGACTAGAGATCCGCGAAGGAGAGTTTATCAAAAAAATTGTAGTCAAGGACGAGTTTAAAGAAGAATATAATCAAGTGGACTCTGATGAAGAGGAAGATGAGGATGGCCATTCATTTGTTGATCTCTATGGTCAAACGGACGAGGCTGATTTGATTGGTGAGTACCACTGTTTTTTTTAAGTGTTTTATACTTGTAAAAGGAGCGAGGGAAAGTTGAAAAAATAATTCACTGAGTAGAATTCAAACTTCAGACCTCCCTTTCGTTAAAGACAACAGATTTAGCTCCATAAAACTCTTTCTCCTTTCTTAATTTTTCCTCTTTAATAAAAAGATACTCCTCCAGATTCCTGTGTGGTCAAAATAATGATCTTAAATTTGTTTTTCATTATTTTATTACCTACGCAGATTATTTCACAAAAGACGACTTCCAAAATTTGGACAAAATACTCCAGGATGTCCTTCTACCTTGCAAGAGCAGAAAACAGCGTAAGGCACTTGTCGAAAAGTATCTCTCCTGGGTAAGACATGCAAGTCGATGCAAACTATATATGCCAGTTCGTTAGTTTTTTCCACCCTTCTTGCAGAAATAATTGTCTTTATGCTTGCTTGAATCCTAATGTGGATTCATCTGCTTCTCTCTGTTTTTCCTTGCTTGCATTAGTTTAATGAAGTTGAGGATCTCGATACCTCAAGTTTATCAACACCATACTTGCCCCACACATTGTTCTTTGAGCAGTACTATGTTGAATGGAGTTAAAAAGGGAAACTTTAAATTGCAATAGATACGCATCTAAAGTGCATCATTTATATATATATAAAAAAAAACCTTTTCTGGTAAGCCTATAAATTTATACATCAGTCTTTGCTAACTTCTACAATTTGTCTCTCTGATAGTTTGAAACAGCATTGACAACAGAGCAGAAAGAAATCCAGATGAAGGAGCCAATTACGTCAGATGATGTTACCTTCCTTTCAAGCGTTGTCTCTGTACCATATATTGAGGGATCAACCAAGTTGGACCTGTCAGATCTCGAGAAGAAGCAAATCCATGGATTTGGAATAATCTTCAAAGTTCTTCATGGTAAGAATGTATCCCTATTTTTTCTGGGCTTCCACCTGCAGCTGAACTTCAAAACTATTATTTTCTAAGTTTCTAAAGGCTGTTCTCTGTTACTGTTTAATGAATTTCACAATTTCATTCCCATGAATGACTTATTAGTAATTTCATCATAAAAATTGACTACAATACTTGCCAGAAAGGTGATAAGAAAACGAAAAATTATCAGCTACTAATATGATATGCTTTATTATCACATTGCAAACAAATTTCCATTCCTTATTTGATGGCCAGGGAACGGGAGGCCAGCTATGGGAAATGTAATTTCCCATAGCATAGTTCACCCAGCCTGAAAAAGCACAATGTAGTTCTTCTTCTCTTAAATACTGGAAAAGTTTCCTTTGAACAGATTGCTTCTTAAATGTTTTGTTTTTATTTTGTTTTGTTCTTTTAACATTAATAGTAGTCATTTTTCAAATTCGCAGAGCTGAATGAAAGAGTGCCGATTTGAAAGAACAACAATATTGTCTCTGGACCAAAAATTTATCTTTCAAATCGATTAATCCCCGCGGTATCAACGAGCCCTTTTCATTCTACTAATTTTTTCTTGTTTTCTCGTCACCATATTCCCAACAATAGCGTAGCTCCGTTTTCTCCAAATAAACACACACACACAACCCACAATTCCTCCAATCAACCTGACGAAAGGCTAACGCTCGACACGTCAGCTTTGTAACTCTTCACGGTGGTCAATTTACGTTATCAACTCAGTTGATAATACTAAATTACCCTGACTCAAGTAAACATTGACTAATCATGTAACTGAACTTTTTCCAATAGATCTACCTGATGAACAGTGGAAAGAAATTGAAGACCAGCACAAGTCAAATACGAAGAAATAAACTGTTTGATATGACTATATAGAAACAAAAAAAAATTCAGGCAAACATTTTGTAGTCATTCTCTTTTACATAACCGTGGTTATTCAGTCTACTTTTAGAGTAATACTAGTTGTCCACAATAGAACTTGCTATCATTGTAAACTCAAGATATTTCCCAGAGAAATTAAATTTTGTTCAAAAAAAAGTATTGGGGCTAGTACTTGTCCAATACACACTCTTCACTATTCTTCAACAAACGAAATAAACTGAGGTATTGAAGTAATGGTAACAATTGGAGCGAGATGAATATTTCAAGCGGCTGCTAAAATAAAATGAAAAATAACAAGTTACCACAACTATACGAAAAACATTGGCAAACGAGAAACACAAAATAAAGGACAACCAAAGACACTTTACAAATGACACATACAAAGAAAAAATATGAAAAAAAGCAGCAGAATATCGATGAAAGTAATGTAAGCAAAAACGAAGAGAACTTAATGAAAAAGCAACAAAGGCAAAAAAATTAATAACGTTCCCTCTTTGGGCACTATTGCGCAAAGGGATTAATTGCCTCACGCCACGCGACACACCTTTGTCTATTCTTTATTGTTTACAGTATTAGGTTTCAGTTTTGTTTGTGTTGCCGCCAATTAATTCTGGCGGCAACACAAAGTCTGTAATAGGACGTTCTAATTCTTTTTGGACCTGGTCATGAAAGATGGCTGGCATCATTTAATAATTAAATTCCCTGATACAAGAAAATTAACACTAACATTAACTAATCGAAAAATCATTTGCTACCGCTGATGAGAAGATGTATAAAAACAGCAAAGACCATTATCTTAAAAGTGTGCCTCATGCCCTATGCAAAAACTTTATGCTAGTCAGAAGTTAACATAAAAAAGATAAACCGGCAAAATCTGCAAAACTGCTCAAACAGCCGTGAGTTAAAATGAGAGGCGGAGATAATATAGGGACATAGCGTCCGGTTAAGGCCACGATGGCTTGCTTTGTCCTTTTTGTCAGTTGGAACTGTAAACTGACATGTGACTCGTGGAGGAAGACTACTAATGCAAACTTTTTTATTTGATGAAACGTGACTCTCGTCTTGAAGCACGCGGGGATCACGTTTGGCGTATTAGAATTTCTATTACGTAATAATGTGCCGCATACTCGTCTCTCGTTTCGCAGGTAAATAGGGAGTGGGTACGATCGGCCACCCACGTCCATAACAGCTAACACCCTCTCCAGTAGACAACCTGTTTTCCTTGCATAGGCTATGACTAACTACACGCAGATCAAGAAGCTACCGAAAAAGATGGAATCTTAGCCACTACGGCTTTCGGTGGTTGGGGGAGGAGCTCAACAAGAGAGCTTAATTCCCTCGGTTAATCCCTATGTTATTGCTAAAGCAGACGTTGTTGGAAGAGAGTGTATCTCAAAAGTACCATTGTGCAGTTAAGACCAGTAAGCCGCGACGTCGAAAGCAATAGGCTTCTTTCAAAGGTTTGCAATGAATTTAGCTATTAGCATTTAAATCAAAGCTTTCCATGCTTCTCGACTCGATTAATTTTTGACTTAGATGTTCGGCAGTCTATATTTTATTTATTAGAATTTTTTTTTATTACAGTACATGGAAAAATCTCGAAAACGTTCTCTGAATGTAAACCATGTTAGGAAAAGAAAAGATTATTTATACTGATGAAATTTCAAAAGAACCGGGTGCGTGCGATGAAGATATGATTTTTTAGTAAAAGGAAAAATCCTGGTCTGCTGGTATTTCATCAGTATCTATAGAATAAATACATATATACAATCCCACTCTTTTGAAAAGACGAAAAAAGACGTCTCTCTCGATTACATTACTGAGCTCAGTTAACCATCTCTTTTAATCTATTTTCGCACGAGACGCTTTCAACATTGCTGATCTTCGCAATATGCAGAAAGTGTGTCGAATATGAACCTGTAGTGATGGCCTTGCTTACTATGGAAAGTATCTGTATAACTTAGCGGTAGAGCACCGGGCCACAGAACCTGAAGGTTTTAGTGTCGATTTCTCATGAATAACGGAAGTCTAACGGATTTTTCTTCGCCCGGCCATGTCAAAAACAATCCTGCGATCTATCACGCGTGTCCTTTACGCAATTGATTCACTCACGTGTGAGTTTGTTTAGAGGATATGACCTTTTGCTTGATTCATCCAACTTTAAGCACCTTTAATATTGGCGCAGAAAAGTAGGAGGAGTTCAAGAAAACGAAATTTAAACGATTACTGACAATAGGTTCGCTTCACATTATTAACAACTACACATTGAAATCGACAGATTGACTTTTTGCCTCGTCGAGTAAATTGTGTAGTCTCTAGCGAATTTTCCCGAAGAATGAAGTTCGTGGTATGTACGCTGTTTGTGTTCCAACAATTTTCCATTTCTGAAGCTCTTGTACTTGCGAATCTTTATCCCTCCGGAGCTTGTAACGAGGGAGAAACTTGGCTACGTCATCACGACGACGCAAGCTCCGGGGAAATACCAATATCGATGCCATTCCCTTTCTTTGGTCAGAAGTACAATTCTGTCTATGTAAGTATGATGCATGTCAATGTATCTTGATTACACCGCGAAAAAATGCCAGCAAACAAGCAATGAAGGAATGAAAATTAACGCCAGGAAATATTAAATTATGATTCAGTTTCTCAATGTTTGATATCCGATGTTACCAGAATGCTCCTATCTAGATAGTATGAACATTATTCAATAAAAGAAAGATATTTTTCGTCTTTTCACGAGCGTGGGGCAAAGAAAAAATTCTGAGTCCCCAGGAGGAATCGAACCTCAACCTTGGGATTCCGTGCTCCGATGCCGCACCACTGAGCCACAGAAACTCTATGGTGAGCGAGATCCATTACGAAGTTCATATATGACACACGTCCTGCATGCTGCTAGGATCAGCGATGTCGATGGCGTCATGTTTTTTTAATTTCGCTATTGTTTACCGAGCACAAAACTTACCATCTTTCTTACTCTACTTACACACAGTTCACCGCCAACTAATGAAGAAAATCTGAGCCTTTATAATCATTATAATGAACCCTCATTAAGGAGGAAGGCAAAGACTTGCTTAAAGCATATTTAGCCGGCTGAAGAAACGGTTCTGCCTAGTTGTGTTTACGGTCTTCATAAGTGAGACAAAAAAGTACATTCTAAGGAAGGACCAAGAGAAAAGCTATCCTGTCACATAGATAATATTCTTTGGCCGATCGCGCAACAACAGAAGTCATGTCTCAAAGATACAACAGACTTCATCAACCTCATAAAAAAATAGAGCTTCAACGACAAGTAATACCCGTTGCTAAAGGAAATCATCAAAGAACCGCCAATAATATCATACAGAATGGGGTGTTCACTCAGACATACTCGTGAGAACAATATTTTTACGAAGCCGAGAAAACCGGCGTAGTACGCAGTTGTGTAAACGGGAGCATCGGATGACTCGTAAAATTGAGCTGAATAATGATTCCGCCTATAGCCCTATCCCGCTTACGTAATTTTCATCCCGAATCTCGCCTCGATTTTAAGCCTCATCCCGCATCCTGCCAAACCTAAGGATGGATTGCAACAATCCAAATTTGAAAACTAGATTTGAATTAAGCAGGAGAGTTCTTTTCATTGACGAAAACAGATTCACGAATCAATGAAATTTTGGGCGCATTTGATAAATATGGAGCACAACTAAAGATTAACTGCTTCATCTGAAAAACGTTCTGCAGAGAAAATCTCACATATTTCAGCTACGAAGTCAATAATGTTTCTAGATATTTCTCACAGAAGCGTAATGCACGTTTACAAAAAAAGTTTATTTGGCTTATCATATGGAAAAACTAACTCCAATAGAAGGAAATCTTCAAAAATTAAACCTCGGTTTTCTCTGGTCCTAAAGTACACTTACTTTGTCTTAAAAGTGTCCCGTAAACTGGTAACGAGTTAGCGGGTGATGACGTAGAAAACTGTGAAAATTTGACGCTTACGAATCTCTCACATCTCATGTTATTTTGTATTAGTCAGCGTTGAGATAATGTTGAAATAATATCCGATAGCGATCTATACCTACTGTCAGCAAGCGCTTACGAGAGTTGGATAAATCGTACTCAGCTAGTAAGGAAGAAATAGAAGTTCGAGTACGGTTCAGCACTTCGAAGGAGAACCGTGTGTGTCAAACAAAGATTTCGAAAACCGACAAAGACGGTTTCTCGCGAGCGGTGTTCAGGTCAAGGTTAGAACTAAAAGCTCCCGTCGCTGATCATGAATCTTTAGTTTGTTGTGTTCGTGTTTTGCTTTCTATGGCGAAATCTTTGTTAAGAATGGGTATTAGCAAGCAAGTCAAGAATCTAGAGAAAGCGACAAAACTTTTATGTCTGTAATACATGTTTCGGTTGTGTCCTCGTGTACCGGTACACAAAGGAACGAAACATTAACGAACTGCGTCACAACTCCATGTATGGATGTGAAAACAATAGGAATTCCCCCGTGTACCGGTACACCAGGACAGCCCCCATGTTTCTGTCATCTTCAGTTAATTAATGTGCAAAACGTTGGAAGTTGAATCATATAATAAGTAGAACAATGCTAATTATCATAACCATTAATTATCCTAACCATAATTATCATAACCATTTATCATAATTGATGTGTTAATGCCAGTATCCGCCAGAGGTTTCGCACTGTTCGGTCAGCTCAGAAAAGGACTCGAACTTTATTACAAATGATGTATTTCTGTTATCAAAATACGATGGAAACTACAATTGGTAAGATTTTCATACGCCGGAGAAAACGATCTGAAAACAGTAAGCCTGGCATAATGGATACCAAGATATCACCCATGTTCTTTTGTTAACCAGATACTATTTTTGCTGTTGTACTGAGATTATACAATTTTTCAAGAAGAGGGAAAAGGCGAAGTTCTATACATTGCCTAACCTTACGTCTCAATAATTTTTTACATAGGATTTGAATGTAGTTCTCCCTCCCGACTTCAGAGT